CGGAAAAAAAACTTTACTGGAAATGTACAGTAATGAATTGTCCAGCACATATTCACACGGATACAAATAACAACTTACTGTACAAAAAAGGGGAGCACAATCATTTGCCTGAATCAGAGGATTTTATGGTGAAAAAATTTCGAGCCGCTCTCAAGGAACGAGTGGTAAATGAAACGATACCAATACAAAAAATTTATGACGAAGAAATCGTCAAAGCAAATTTTTCATCGAACACATACGTATGATTACATTTAAAAATACACCTTAATATTCTCTATTTTCAGAATCAGGTTTAAATCGTGCACGAAGAAAACTGACACCAACATTACCTACATCAAATTTATTCGATATACCGCCTGGATATCAAACAACAGCATCGGGTGAAACATTTTTAATTTGTGATAAAATGGTCTCTCGAAAAAAAAGGATGTTAATATTCAGCAGTCCAAAGCAGCTACAACTGTTATTTGATATTTCAATGGTTTTTCTTGATGGAACGTTTTATGCAACACCGTCATTTTTCGATCAAATCTTTACTATCCACGGCTTGAAGTTTGATTGCGGTAAAATCTTAACTTTCTATAGAAAATCAACTGTGTTTTTTTATCTTTTAGCTTTTCCATGTATATTCGCAGTGCTGCCCGATCGAAAAAAGCAACGTATCAAGAACTATTTCAAGAAGTAAAATCTATTGCGGCATCTATGGGTCAAATATGGCAACCCGATCAAATCATGTTTGATTTTGAAACAGGTCTCATGCCAGCAGTATCTGCAGAAGTAAAAAATCTCAATCAGTTTATCGGGCATATTCACTTTGCTTTTAGCTTCCTTTATGTGTTCATAAAGGCTGTTTCTATCACTACTCGCAGTGCTTGTACCGACGTATTCAATCTACTGGTTTAGCTACAGCTTACTCTCAAGACGAAGCATTACGAAGTTGTTGCAAAAAGCTCATGGCTCTTCCATTTCTACCAATTAGTGAAGTTGAAAATGCTTTTTATTCTTTACGTACAACAGCTGATCAAGAGGTAAAAAAAACTCCGTGATTTATTTTTATATTTTGATGATTATTGGCTAAACACTGTGCCTGTTGAAATGTGGAGCGTCCATGAATGTGATCATCGCACTAACAACATTTGTGAAGGTATCTATAATCTTATGCCTACATCAATAGATTGAAATATTTATATTTAGGATTTCACAGTCGACTGAATCGAAGAATCGAAAGCGCACATGGAAATATGTGGTCATTCATCCGATGCATCATTAGCGAAGAAGCTCGGTTTCAACACTTGTATGTGCAAACCATCACAGGTGTACGACGTCGACCATTTCCACATTCTACAAATAGTATTCAAGGGCGTATTGATACGCTTATGGCTCGATATAACGACAAAAACATTGATGTGGAACAATTGTTGGACAATTTATCGTTACTCATTGGAAAGAAAAAATAATTTTTATCGCGACGATGGACATTAACTCTGTTCGAAAATTTTTTTCTAGTTGTTTATCATTTGAAAAAGTGTACTTTTCTTTTTTTCTCATTGCAATCGAATAAATATTTGATAATCAACACTAGACACGACTTTCCTATTCATTCGACATTTTCCCCTTCGGTATTTTTCATTTTCGATATTTTTCCTTTCGACATTTAGCATACATACCAACGGATAGGAATATGCGTCTATCAAATGATCGACTTTCTCGAGTCATTCAGTCAAGCCGTAAAGATGATAACGGTCGTCTTTAATTTGTTTCATTATTTCCATTTTCTTCATAAATAAATATACAGAAATCTGTAACCAAATTAATATATATATATATCAACAATTCTTCCGTACTTCTCATGACTTCACGAGACTTCATGGGACTTTTTGGGACTTTTGTACTTCGGAAGTATAGAAGTCCGCTTGTTCCCCCTTGATTTTTCGACATTTTTCCCTTCGACATTAATTTTCGACGTTTTGACTTTCGATCTTTTTCAATCATACCAACTACAACCATTGTTTTAAATTATATTCCTTGTGGAATTAAAACCAGTTTGTTTCTACTCAACTTCAAACGTAATTCACTCAGAAAAATGGTCAGCGAATTCATCCGATGACCGTTACTTGTATTGCCTGAGAAATGTCGGCAAGACAAAGTTGGAAGAAAAAATATCCAAGTTCTTAACTGAATTCTTATCTTCTTTACCTGTTTCGAGCGTAGTGAAGTGACTTTCTTTGTGAGTGTTTTTCTTATCATCTCTACTTTTTTTTCTTGTGAGAGTTTGTTTAAGAACCAACAGATAACAGAAATATTTTTGTCCCCGAAAAGATTCAAGAATAGAACGACGTCATTTGCTGCCTATATAAAAAGAGAAGCGAATTTCTTCATTTTCACAAAAAAACAAAATACTGTGAATTTCAGTTTATTCAACAGAATGTACGCACAAAAATCAAAATCAAGTTCCACGACCAGAAAGCACGGTAATCAACCGCGACAACGCATGGTTCAAAACTACCTCTTAGTTTGGGTGGATGCCAATATCGATGAAAAGAACCAAGACTGTCAGAACACTTTGACACACTTACGAAGTGTTGTCAATGATGTCAATATATACACTCAACCAGATGCTTGCGTTCAATTCCTCAACAGCATTGGTGACGAAAAAGCTTTCGTCATCACATCGGGATCCTTAGGGCAACACTTAGTTCCCGAGATTCATGGCATTTCACAAGTGAATGCCATCTACATCTTCTGTGGCAACAAATCCAGACATGAAACCTGGACAAAGAACTGGTCAAAAGTCAAAGGTGTTCACACAAATATCAAAGAAATCTGTGAAGCACTGACCACGGGTGTTAAACAATATAATCAAGATTCCATCGCCATGAGTTTTGTTACCGTAAGAGGAGAGAGTTCCAATGCCAATCTCAATCAATTGGAACCGAGTTTTATGTACACGCAAATATTTAAGAAGATTCTCCTCGAAATGGAGCACGACAAGCAAGCAATCAAAGACCTGACCAATTACTGTCGCCAGCGTTTTCAAGACAACATCAAAGAGCACAAGGTTATCGATGAGTTTGAAGGTAAATATCGTCCCGATAAGGCCATTTGGTGGTATACACGCGACTGTTTTACCTTCCAAATGCTCAATCAAGCACTTCGCACTTTGGATGGCGAAGTCATTATTAACATGGGATTTTTTCTCCATGATTTACACAAACAAATACAACAGCTACACCAAGCGCAGGTCAGTAGTTACAGACGAAAACCTTTCGTAGTCTACCGTGGACAGGGCCTATGTAAGACAGATTTTGACCAGCTATCGAAAACTGTTGGTGGTCTTTTATCGTTCAACAACTTTTTATCCACCAGTATTAAACAAGAGAAATCTCTTGTGTTTACCTACAGCGCTCTCGGTGATCCCGACAAGGTGGGTGTTCTGTTCGTGATCATAATTGATCCCAATATTCCTAGTACTCCATTCGCATCGATTGGGGATCTTAGTTATTTCGAAGACGAAGCAGAAATCCTGTTTTCCATGCACAGTGTGTTTCGAGTCGGCAAAATTCGACAAGTGGGTGACAAGAATAAACTTTATTATGAGGTGCAACTTCAGTTGACTGCTGATGACGATCCACAACTGCGTGTGTTAACGGACCGTATTGAAAGCGAAGTTGGCGGGGGTACAGGATGGCAACGTTTGGGCAACTTATTGCTTAAAATCAGACAACTGGATAAAGCAGAAGAACTGTACACTACGTTACTGGGACAAACATCTAACAAGAGTGACCGAGCACTCTATTATCATCAACTTGGCTACTTAAAAAATGCTCAAGGTGATTATAAAATGGCTATAGAATACTATGAAAAAGCACTTGAAATCTGGGAAAAAACTCTTCCTTCGAATCACCCTGATTTGGCTACTTCGTACAACAACATCGGTACCGTGTACATGAACATGGGAGAGTATTCAAAAGCACTTTCATTCTATGAAAAAGCACTTGAAATCTGGGAAAAAACTCTTCCTTCGAATCACCCTGATTTGGCTACTTCGTACAACTGCATCGGTACGGTGTACTATAACATGGGAGAGTATTCGAAAGCACTTTCATTCTATGAAAAAGCACTTGAAATCTGGGAAAAAACTCTTCCTTCGAATCACCCTGATTTGGCTACTTCGTACAACAACATCGGTGCAGTGTATGACAACATGGGAGAGTATTCGAAAGCACTTTCATTCTATGAAAAAGCACTTGAAATTAGAGAAAAAACTCTTCCTTCGAATCACCCTTCGTTGGCTAATTCGTACGACTGCATCGGTTTGGTGTACAAGAGCATGGGAGAGTATTCGAAAGCACTTTCATTCTATGAAAAAGCACTTGAAATCCAAGAAAAAACTCTTCCTTCGAATCACCCTGATTTGGCCACTTCGTACAACAACATCGGTGCGGTGCACTACAACATGGGAGAGTATTCGAAAGCACTTTCATTCTATGAAAAAGCACTTGAAATTAGAGAAAAAACTCTTCCTTCGAATCACCCTGATTTGGCTACTTCGTACAACAACATCGGTGCGGTGTACTCCAACATGGGACAGTATTCGAAAGCACTTACCTATTTCGAACGTGCTTTGGACATTTGGCAACGTGCATTACCGGCGAATCACCCTCATATAAAAACTGTAAGAGAAAGTACCGAAAAATGTAAAAGAGCAATGACAAAATAATAGATTACTGTACCTTCTTAGTTTGAAATAAAATGTAACGATTTACCCGCGCACGCACGCGTACAGAGTAGAACTCCGTATAGAGATAGTAATAATGAAACATGGCGGAGATACACCCATCCAAGAAAGGCAGTACACATACATACGGACATAATTGTGTTTGACACATTACTCGGTATCAAAAGTGAGGACTTATGTGTGATTTGACAGGATTGCTTGTTTGCGTTGTTGAACCAGGCCTCGATTGCTGTTGATACGAATGAACGCGAAGGAAATCGATGTATATTTATATGGATGACTATCCATTGTCTAGAATAGACTGAACACGAACATGATAGACAGATACAAAAGAGAGAACGTTAGTCCATGTTTTCATTCGTAGTTTCTGCCCCGTTGAGAGATAGTGCACCGAAGAGAGAAAATGAACGTCGAATCGAGAAAGGACGCATAAAGAAAGATATTAGTTATTTTTCTCTTGTCTGAAAGAACACGTTATAGTCGCGTTCAAAGTTCGTTTGCTTAACCCTACTCGTACCGGGCGGAGTAAAAAATGACACTGTTTGAAAAAAAATATCGAAATACATTCGAAATATTTGTTTTCTATATCATTCCACTCCTTGATTTAAGATTATGTCTCTAGTTCCCTTTTCTGAAAGAAAGGGTTATACAGCGTTTAAATGCTGGGCCAAAAAGCTTAAAGTTTATCTGTCGATCATCCTGTTTGTCCGATCCAATCACAAAATCAACATTTCTAAAATCAATGAAATTAATCGATGATTGTTAGAAAATGATCACCGACAAGGTAGTCGAGGTCGAGGACGAGGAATCAGCGGTAAGTTTCTCGAAATGCCAATTAGGTAATTAGCCACTTAAGCAATGAGAAATTTTTCGTGGTCGAGTATCGGTCGACGGAAGAGTAGTCGAGATCGAGGATCTCGAATCCGAGGTTAGTGTTGCTTACTTAATTATTAATTTTTCATTAACTAATCATCACTTTTTAATATCCATTGTCAGAGTAGATCGAAGGATTTCTGACGTCGGGAAATTCGAATTTGAGGGTGAATTCCGTCTTATTCGCTGAGCCTGGGCTTGTTCCTTTCTCTTTACAAAGGATATATTTTTTCTTTATCTGTTCTGAAATCTTTTGTAGAAGATGGTGAGCTGAACGCTATTCATGAACGTCATGTGTACAAAGATAGTAGCTCAAGAACTTATGCGAAAAGATCTAATGCATTGTACATAATGATGTTTCTAATTGAAAAATCCGAAAAAGTGACATGAACTTACGTTAGTATCATGTTTGCTTTTTAGGCTACATACATCTTGTCTTTTTATGGGAATTTAGTAGAAGCAGATTGCAAAGTGATATACCCGTCAGTGGAATTCCATCTTAGTAATTACAGACGCGTGGACTGTAGAAACAGTATTCTGAACACATGCAGCGCTATGAAAGATGTTCGTTTCGAAGCAAATCATGCAATAAGAATTTCTTATCTAGTTTCTTTTGGTTGTCGAATGAATAGAAGATCATGACTGTCGGAGCGACAATAAAAGAAAACCCAATAGTTCAGTTTGAAAGCCGATCGAAGGCGAAAGGAATAACAGAGACAGCTTGGCAACGGCTAGCCGTGAGTGACCGACCGGAGGGAGGTCGAGGAACGACTAGACGTTTGTTTTGAAAATTACTTGAAAGATGAGATTTATCACTGTCTCAACTAAAGCCAATGGTTTTTGAACGAACATAATTGATGTTTTTTCGAGCTTCGAGAATAGGGATTGCACATTATCAGCGCTTCAAATTGAACAGAGCAATAGAATATGTACTGTAAACTACACAATTACGAAGGGTTTTGATAACTTCGATCACAGATCGACTCAGTATCAACGAGCTACTTCTTTATATGAAAAAACTATGAAAACTGATCATGTGTGTCAACGGCTAGCCGTGAGTGACCGACCGGAGGGAGGTCGACGAACGACTAGGCGTTTAAATGCTAGATTAATCCTAAAGTGTACGCTTAGAATAACCTTCTAGGCTTCAGATAATTTTGAAAGGGATGTGACGAATGAATATTCCTCAATGAAAATATTCGACAAAGTATCATTTTGTTGACAGGAGAGAAAAGAATCGGTTTATCGCTGGAAGACACAAGCGAATGTTCAAACTTTCAAGTAGTCTACTGTATATCATCCGTCTGTGAGTGACTTAGCAGGGCTGCCATCCGTACCCCTTTTTGAGGTACAGTACCCCATTTGAACGATTTGTACCTCAAAAAAATTTGTACCTCAGAGGTACACAATTTGTACCCCATTTGAACTATTCTAGTTTGCATCAATCAAAAATCATCTTTGATTAAAATCAATAAATTTATTGACTGTAATTAACATATTCATTCCCAGAAAAATGCGAAGGGGACGCTTCAGTCATATGAACCACTCATTATCTTCAATCGAACTCGATGCAAGTGAAGCAGTTGCTACGGATGTCAGCTATAAGATACGACTAAATATTAAGATAAAAGTTAAAACCATCGTTCTTTTTCAGAAGCGCGAACACAGCTGATTAAAATCGTTATGGTCAAAAGAAATTAACAAATTATGGTAATTTGGTTCTGGGCTCCCATTCGACTAATATTTCCTCTAAAACCTATGTCAGTTATGGTATTAGTCAATGAAAACATTGCATACGAAAAATATTCATATATAGAAAAATATATGTATCTTATCAAGCCTTGTATTTCATAGGCACGCTTGATTGATTTATGTAAACAAAGATTACTTGGAAAAAACCAAATGACGTCATTGAATATATATAATCGATGTAAAGCTAACATCATAATAATAGTTTCACATCGACATATAATTAAGTAAGATAGTCTGGCTCTAAGATCAATTAAAAATATTACTGTGTAAAATACGTTTATTAGTTAATGCAACTAGAGAAGACATACTTTAAGTAGAACCTTTTCTGAGAAGATCAGAGGGATTGATCTCTACTCGAATCGAAATATTTGAATTTTTAAAAACATTTCGAAAATTTATCGATGTCTCTAATATTTTTCGGCTGTCAAAATATTCCTGTAGTCGATTTCCCCAAACAAATTTCTGACTATGTCCTTGACTTTAAGGGAACTTATCTTTTTGAGCAAATACTTAGTGAAAAGAATGTGTACTCTGGGAACAATCGTTTCGAACATAAAAACTAGAGTCCGAAGACTAATTTCAGAACAGACAAAAACAGTCAAAAAAGCTTTTTTGCAAAAAAATATTTTATGAACTGCATTTCTTGATGTCAATTCTTTAGTTAATCATGAAAAAATTGTGTACCCCACATGTACCCCATTCAAGAATTTTTGTACCCCTTTTTAGGTCTGACCAGATGGCAGCCCTGCCCCTCAATCGCGAAGCGATAATCAAATACTACGTAGTTGATTGATAACTATTTCAAATATGTTTCACTAAATACAGTTGCGTAACTATCATAAGCAGAGAGCAGCAGCTGAGAAATAATAGCAGAATGATACACATTCTATGAAATCAAATTTTTGACAAGCGCCTGTTTCAATGACGAGAGAAGAGCGTTGCTTGTAAGTGAAGGATGGGAGCAATACATGATATCCCAGGCCGACCAATCCCATACCCGGATCCTATCGGTTCCGTTATCAGATTTGTCAACCTGGGATAGAACTAATGTTATTGCACGCCAAATCTATCGTTGTTGCATTACGGTCACCGGTTACTATCCTTCATCTGCGAGGGATCGGTCAGTAAAGTGTCGACATATAGATGTCGCGTATCGAACTCTTTTACTTTAATTTAGAACAAGAAAGAAAATGGTAAAAAATTGTTATTTTATATAAACGAATTTTCTGCCAAGTTTCAGTTCTTAACAACATGTTCCACGTCACAGTATAGAATTTAATCGATTGATGAATGCATTTTCATCTCTTATGCTCAGTTGACTGTATGAATAGAAAAGAAGGGAAAAAGCCAGTGTTCATGGTAGCATGACTCATACATGCTGGAATTTACCAAGTGCTATGTTTTCCTTCTCCATTCATGCAAGGATCAAGTTACCGCGTCATAATTCAATATTTCATTACTGGTACAAACAATGCGTTTAGCACCGAACAATCGTAGAGAGGGACAATTGGAAATACGTCAATTTTTTGTGAGTAGTATTACTCGATTCAATATGTTTGACCGTTTTTCGAGAAATTCAGTTTTCCTATGCTACAGTTAGTGGTGCGTATATGGGCGAGTCTACATACCATTTTCAAAATAGTCGCATTGAAGAATCTTCTAATTTCTAGTTTGGAAATTTAATTCTATATGAACACCCTATCTAAAGTTTCCTTTGATCCTAATATCCTGACTGGAAATTGAGAAAGTTAAAGATGTCTGAGCAATTCAGTGGATCTGATAACCAAATTCAACTTCCAAACAATCGCATCAATTCTCAGTAATATTATTACTATCTCTCATTCTGAAAGTTCTTTCATTTTTGTAAATGAAAATGTGATATTTATTTTAATTTTGGAAGAGAATGAATGATTCATCCTTCGAACAACAATGGTCTACCTCATTTAAGCCTGCCATAGAAATCCTATTAAAAGCTCCAAAATGCTGCTCTAACGCTGTTTATAGAGAGCTGTTCCACAATGTTTTCGCAATCTTACTGCACGGATATGGAGAAAAACTGTATGGAAATATGCGTGAATTAATTCATGAATACCTTGTCAAAGAGGTACGCCATATTGATATTTTTATCGCTTATTCTTTCGTTCTGTAACAAGTTAGATCAAAACTTATTGAATCACCTTCATCAGAGTTCTTCGCTGTGTTCCAATCAACATTGGAGAAGCATGACGAAAGTATGTCATTTATTTCTAAACCTTTTCAATTCAGAGATCGGGTCAGTAAGCCACCAGAAAAGTTTGAAACAATCTATGATTTGGGTATACGATTGTTTCGAGAAAATATCATTCTCTCTTCTAGTATACAAGAATGCTGTATAAACGCATGGCTGGAAATGACTTCTCAGGAGCAATGCGGTCGAGTTGCAGACAGGGCAATTGTAAAAGATATTTCTGAATTGTTAACAAAATTTAATGTCAACAAAGATTACATCGATCGTATAGAATCTCAAGCAATGTATTTGCAGCGTTCGGCTGAATTCTATCCATCTGAAAGTATACGATTATTGACTGAAAATGATGCATTGGAATATATTCGAAAAGTTAAAGCGTTATTCGACGACGAAATGGATCGTGCTAATTTATATTTTGATCAATCAATAAAACACCGTTTCGTTCAGTTATTAGTGGAAGAATTTATCAATAAACATCGAAAACATTTGGTAGAAATGGAAAAGAAGCACATTGGTGAAATGTTGAAAACAAACCAATATAAACAATTGGAGAACATTTATAAAGATTTTCAAGCCGTACCAGAAGGTTCATCGATTATCATCGATTGTATTGGCGAATATATACGTCAAACTGATCTTGAAAACAAAAGCTTTCGTTATTTTGTCGAAGATTTCATTGATTTGAAAGATAAACTCGATGGATTTTTGGGGAAAATTTTTAATTTTGGTCCAGTTATCGTTCAAAATTTTGATTGTGACTTCGAATACTTGATGGAATTGAATCCAAATAGTGAAGAATATCTGGTGTCATTTATCGATGAATATTTAGATGACGAACAAAATGATTCCATTCAAAAGTTGACAAAAGCAATTCTTCTATTACGTTTCCTGAAAATTGAAGGTCTTTTTGAACAATATTTCAGTCGTTTGAAGGAAAAATCGGTTTTCAATCAACTGTTTCAATCAAATCAATATGAAATCCTTTCAATCGTTTATAGAAATTGTCAACAAATGCCAAATGTTCGTTCTACGTTGATCGAATCAATGAGTCATAACTTACGTCAACGAGGCCAATCATCGATGACTTCATTCATGAAAGATCTTGTGGATTTAAAACACATATCCGATGAATTTCTTATGAAATCTTTTCGTTATGATCATGAATTCGTCAAACAGAATGACTCCGATTGGAAATATCTCGTAAATTCAAATGGATCTTTTCCTGAACATGCTTCCTTATTCATTAACGATCAAATGAAAAATAATGACGTCGAGAAAGCCGAAAAACTACTCGATAAAGCCATTCAACTTGTCGGTTATTTAAAAGAAGAAAATACTTTTCGGGAATATTATCAACAACATTTAGCAGAGCATCTTCTTTCCAATCAATCGATCTCATCAGATCTGGAAGATTATACGTTATCATTACTGAAGAAGAATTTCGGTAACTTTTTCATATCCAAATTCGAGTGTATGCTGACGGATATTGTCATTTTATCAAAATCATTGAACGGAGATTTCCGAACTCATACAATTCAAAACAGACCCGATTTACACGGCATTGGTTTAACTGTAAACGTTCTGAAAACGGATGTTTGGCCAATTTCTCCTTTGAACAACGGATGCACTCTGCCATCAACAGTAGACGATGCCTATCGATGTTTTCAAGATTTTTATGTGAAAAAACACCCTGGTCGCCGATTAATGTTATTGCCACAAATAGGTTCAGCAGATTTGAAATTAATGATAAATCAACGAAAATATCTTCTTCGAGTATCAACATATCAAATGACGATTTTAATGTTATTTAACCGAAGAAACAAATGGACACTTGATGTGAGTTTGAGGACGGAGAGTGAGATATTTCATATATTTTGACATTGTAGGAAATCCTTCAGGAAACAGATATAAACAAAGATGACGTCGAAGAGGCATTAATACCATTAATTATCAATAAAAAGATCGGAAATATTCTGGTAAAACAGCCACAAAATGAAACAATTTTACCGGATGATCAATTTCTCGTTAATGATCAGTTTATATCGGAACATATTTACGTGAAAATTCATTCATTGAATGTCAAACTGAACAAGAAATTAAGACGTGAACATATTGAAGTCAAACTTCAACGTGAGCACGAGAACGAAATCCGTGCTGCGATTGTACGAATTATGAAATCATCTGGTACGATGGCACACAATCAGCTTGTTACTCAAGTAAACGTTTGATTTCGTTACAACAATAGAAACTTTCTTTTCCATAGGTCATAGAATCATTGATATGTCGTTTTACACCAAATTCTGAGTCAATTGAACGAGAAATAAAACGAATAATTGAAACAGAGTATATTTCACAATCGAATGATGATCGGTATGTGACACATGTTACAATTAATTCGTCTACTCTTTGTCTTTATTTGATTTAGAAAAACTTACAACTACGTTGTCTGAGATAGGATTCTTTTTAATCGAGAATAAAGCATATGTTCTATCTCTTTTTTTGAAGGTGAGGATGACAGTCAATAGATAACACTCAATCCAACTATTATACCAAATTTTTGTTAAAATTCAGGAATAAATATGAATGTTTACACTTCCATCATTTGTTTCGTTTTATTTATTTTTCTATTATATGAATTAATTTTATTACGCTTTTCTTTTACATTTTTCAAAACTTTTCCTATAAAAGAAAGACTCTACAGGGCGATTGATAAATAACTCCCTATTTTAAATTCTTATAACTCTCGAACAACAAAAGCTATCATCCTGATTCTTTCACCATTCTATAGCATGGACTATGGCATTTTGTTTCATATAAAACAAATCAATTGATTGTCGGATTATATAGGATGAAACACCAAATTTGTTCAGATAATATCTGACAAGTAGCGCTCATCTGTTGGATTCGCTGACCCTCTTCTGAAAGAATTACAAGACTCAGATAAAAACTCTAACGTATATCTCACTCTCCCAGGTTATTATGGCACGGTCGGTTCCGACCATTTCCTTGCCGCCGGATTCCGGCCGGAAGTTCAAACGTAGGTTCCAGTCATTTCCCGACTGTTTCCTTCAAACTTCGAGCTGGCAACGGTCAGGAACTGATCGGATATTTCCTGTGCAATTCCAGCCGGAATCGAGAAGAGCTGTATCGGAACCCACTCAGATTTCAACGGATCCAGTCGCCGGAATGATCGACCTGTCGTGAAATTACACGTATGAAGACGAGAACGAGAGCGATCTGATGAGTATTTAATGCATCGCCAATAGGTTTTTTCGCCTTTTGATCGATCCACAATATAAGAATGATCATCAAAATCCAAACGTGGTTTTCTTTTCGTTGTGCCACAGTTTGAAATTGTTGCCATATTAGAATCAAGTACAATAACAGAACAGTTGTGTCTCTTGACACAATTATAGCTACAACAATTAATTGGCTCATCTTCACTCTCATATGATTTTAACCTGATCCAATTCAATTCTTTGATTCTCTTAGTAGTCAAAAGCAATTATTAATTGCTCTAACAAAGACAGTGTCTGCACTGATTGATCAATGCGCTTAATTTTCTTGTGCTGAACTGATTCCCAAATGTGCAACATTGCGGAATAGGATGTATTCTCGAGCATCATCCTGGAAGAAGAAAAGGTACGTCGAGAATATTCGAACAACGAAAGAAGAATCAACTATCTCTACCTCTTTTTCGCCCATTGCGCTTTCTCACTTCAAGATAAATCGTAGATGAGGAAAAAACAAAATATTTCAAAATATATATATGTGTATCGATCGATGTCCGCCACTTCGTGTGACACAGCCGTCGATGATGTTCAAGAAGCGAGAGAGAGGTGATCAGTTCCCCTTCATTTAGAAGATTGTCTAACAGGAATAAATACGGCTAGTTAAATCATTCTATTTCTGTCAATTAGACAAATACATACGAGCTGATTAACTTGATTCACAATATTCATGTTTTTTGGAGTCAACGCTTTATTTGTAATTAAACGAACAGTTTACAAGGAAGGAAAAAACACAGAACGAAAGGAGAGAGAGAAGAAAACAAACAACGGACAGACGGGTCATAAAGTTGGGAGGAGAGAAAAGATTAAAAAATACAGTTAGAAAGGTTGGGGCGTTGGTTGGGCTCGAGAGCGATGTGTTGGAAGGCAGTTTAGTGGTAGTTATCTTCGAAGGAACGAGCCTATGTATACGTCGATAATCATCTTTTCTTCGTTCTCGATCAAACGTTTTGTACGTAATTCCGATATAACAATTTTCGTACAGATTCGGCCAACCAAAGAATGATCAACGTTCAAACCTTTTCCTCATCGTCTTCATGTATATTTCGAGGAGTAGCCTCTGCTGCAAAACGTTCCTCATTTTGTGATCAGCGAATTAGCCGTTGTTGATCAACCATAACTTGGAATGTGTCTCGATGGTTGAGATGAAGATGATTGATGCAATTGATTTTTCGACGAGTCGTTGGTAGCGAGCAAACAGGACACAAATAATTTGCATTAGCTGAAATACAATAAACATGAGTGGTAACAAAATCTCGGCAGCGATTCTGTTCATTGATGCTGAGCTAGTCTCGAGTTTGATTCAAACGTTGCTTACCGTTGACAGATGGGATAATATCGTCAAACAATTTGGCAATGGAATTGGTAACAGCAGACATCTAGAGGCACAGATCAAAGCGAGAAAATGATCGTTATCTTCAACACTACTGTCGAATTTCGTGGATAGCAGAGATGGGCGATCCAACGGGGTCGACCCGCGGGGCCCGCGGGGCCACGTGGTAACGGGCGGGCGGGCCGGTATTAATTTTCTTATGGACGATCCGGGCGGGTAACGCTGCGGAAAAAAGTAAAAGATACGCGGGCGGGTGGGTAGAAATCTTCACGGGTTCGGGCGGGTAGAAAATTTTTTCGGGGCATCATGAAGCACTGTCAAAAATCATCTACAGATGTCTTTATTTTACGTATGTGATATATAATGTGTTGATTGGCTCGTTTCTTCAACCTTTCAGTTATAATCCATTTGTTCTTTGTCTCCTCTATCCATTATCCCCCTTCTATGCCATATTAAAACTCAATTAACGCTATTGAATTATTGATCTGAGAAGACAAACTGAAACTAGAATTCATTTAATTTTAGAATTGATATTCATTGTTGGTTCTTTCTGTCTTTAATAAAATGATTGAATTGTGCGATTTATCATCGGACGATGAAACATGTGATGTTGTCACATCATCAAATACCATTGATTCAACATTAGATAAAGTTGGTTCATCACCAAACGCTTGTCGTTCTCCTGGTCAAAGTTTAACAGATTCAATTGAATATAGTACATCGAATATCAAGAGATTTTTAAAAGAACAGCCGGACAAATATGTACTTGTGAATAACCACAAAGTCAATCCAACAAAACCAGCTGCCTGTTGGAATCGTTTTTCTCTCCCTGCAGTGAAAGATGAAACTGGTCGTAGTACTGTCATCAAAAACTTCGCAACGTGTCGATCTTGTTACACCACTTATTCATTCAGTCTTGGATCAACTAAATCATTAAATTCGCACAAATGTGCACCATCGACGCCATCATCTCCATCGTTTAGGTACTTCAATTATCATAATTTTACAATCTAATATATCGATATTTGTAGCATCAGAACACAATGGAAATCGAAGACCAGCCAACTTTGTGGTGGAAAAAAGGTCTCATTGACATCAATTATTACAAAGTGGGTGTGTGAGAGTATGCGTCCGCTCAGTATTGTCGAAGACAATGGTTTTTTAAACATCATTCAAGAATGTTTAAATTGGAATAGCGGTGAGAAATACCTATTTAAATTTGAATGACCATTCAACTATCTATTTTTCTGAATTAGGTCCCCTCGCTGGTGTTAATATAAAGGATATTGTCCCTTCGAGATCGGCAATTGCACGAGAAATTACTCGGCAAGCGAATGAAATTCGCGAACGTCTAGGCGTTGAACTGAAAGATGCAGCGAATAAAGGATATTTATCGATTAGTCCAGACCTTTGGTCTGACAAGTACAAGCAAAACAGCTATCTTGGACTAACAGCTCATTATGTTGACGATGATCATGTCTTACATTCAGTTATTCTCTGTTGCGAACCCTACAATGAAATCGATAAACGTGCTGATAGTGTTCGAAAGGTTAGGAATAATATTTGATACAAGTTCTCCTCAATTTGTCGTCTTTTCAATTTTTGTTGTGTCAACGAACAGGCAATTACTACAGCGCTTTCTCGATTTCAACTTGATGTTTTAATGGACAAAATCACGTATGTATGTGATCGTGGCAGTAATCTGGTGAAAGCATTAGAAGATTATGAAGTTGTTCATTGTTTTCCTCATCGATTAAACAACGTGGTCAAGCGAGCGTTTTATAGTGCTGGTACAGCAGAGAAGAACGAGAAAAAGAAGAAAGGGTCAACAAAGAAGAACCCGAACAATGACCAATTTAGTCGAATTTCTTTTATCTCAGATGATCAAGATCCTTTGATGGACTACGATGATCGAGACTCTAGTGAGAGCGAAGATGATGATGAGGATGTTGTTCTCGATGCAAAAACAGTTGAGCTGGCACTTAGAAATTTTTCACCGTCTCCTGAATGCGACCATATCAATGTGTTAGAGAAAGACTTGCCTCTTCCAGCCACTCACGTTTTGGCAACGATTGTTCGATGTAAACAATTATGTTGTTATGTGAAACGGGTATTCATAGCTTTTACCTTATATTGATCTATTCCTTAAACCACTTACTCATTTTTTTATAGGTGAATTGGAATCCGCTACTTCAACAATTGAAAAAAGCCACGATAAAACAAGAAATCATTGTCAGATGGCTTTCCATGTCACAGTTACTCGAAAGTATCCTTTCTTCATACTCAGCATTAACTAATATTGCAAGCGAGAAAGGGACTCTTCATACTCTTCCTTCAATCGATGTAACATCACTAGCCTCTATCGTTAGTTTATTTTCACCGTGGAAACAGGTAATAGAACGAATACAATCAACCAATACACCATCACTTCATCTTGTTGTTACGTCTCACTGGTATCTTCTTGAGAGCATGACCGTGACCAAAGAGGAGCTATCTGATAAAACAGCTCAAGGTAAATCATTTGATAAAAAAGAATCGAGGAACAAACTAGTTTTTTCAGGTATTGTTTTTTTTAAAACTCGAGCTCGACAATTATTGAAAGCAATGTTTGCCATTCACGAAATGCACTGGATCGCTGCAGTACTTAATCCACGAACACGTATGCTGAAAATAGCAACCGACGCTGAACGGTGTCATGCACATGGCTTAGTTTGCTTTAAGATTGCAAAGATCATAGAAACAGATCGAATTAATAGTAATCAATCAATGCAATCTGTAGAAACAGTTGCTCCATCGTCGCCTCCTCATAAGAAATATAAATCTTTTACAACACAATTTGATGATGATGCCAGCTTTAATCAAATAAACTATGACCCGACAAATACGATGCGAGCTCGCCGTGAATTAGATGCTTATTTGCAATTAGACTTATCGAAGTCTACCTATTCTGCAGAGCAGTATGATGATCCATTATTGTTCTGGAAGGAACATGAACGTATTTTGCCTAATTTGTCAAAATTATCGAAAATGGTATTCAGTATTCCTGCCTCTTCTGCTGCTGTAGAACGGTCATTTAGCGCTGCTGGCTTTATCATATCCCAAAGAAGAACTAATCTCAATCCATCAACAGTCAATGACATGATGCTAGTGCGATCAGCTGCTGCTCATTTGAAGAGTGCAGTTTGAATTTCTCTTCTTTTTCTTTATTATAAACTATTTGGTTATGTTTGATAAATGATTCAAAATAAATTAAATCATAAACTTAAAGATCTTCTGGTTTATACGGGCGAGGCGGGGCCCGTCGCGATTTCCTCGGGGCGGGCGGGTCAGCACAGAGAATTTGCCCTACGGGGTCGGGCGGGACGAGTTCTAAAATGTACGGGCTTGGGCGGGGCGGGGTGCGTTTTGAAAAAGTGCTCACGAGGCACGAGTCGGGCGAGTTGGTATTTCCGAAAAGACGGGCCCCGCGGGTCATCGCAATTTCATGCCCCGCCCATCTCTGGTGGATAGGCGATGGATTCAATGGAAGAATGAATGTGAAAAGATTTGACGTCAGATTCGTTCTATTTCAAGAAATATTCGAGCAAGATACGTTGGATAGACCAGGACAAGTAAGACGACGAATATAAACATAAGCAGCTAGAAGAAGAACTAATCGGACGATCTGGACGCGCGCGCTCTATTTTAGAATAATACCAAAGGAAAGAAAGAAAGAAGGAGAAAATGCAAGGAGGGAAACAAACTAAATAGAGAGAAAAGAAAATCACAGCTATGACAAAAATCTAGTAAAATGAAGCTCATGGTAACAGTGAGAAAATCATCGATGATTGTTTCCAGACAATCGTGGAAGCCGATCAAAATGGATTACGTTTCGAAATATTCGCTCGCTTCGAATCACTATCGATCACTTGTCACTTTTGCGTATATTCTTGCATACAGATTGACTTAGATTCAAGGCGAACTTTCAAGTTTATTTTGTTTTATTTCACGCAGCTCTATATAGGTTATAAGGTATTAGGCCACCATTGCTTGTGCAAACAATCATCATTTGAAAGTTTGCACCTGTGCCAAGTGAACTTATTTATAAATTTTCTGTAAAGATCGACTATCTCCTCGCAGATCCTGATATTTGGTATTAATCAACGGATAGTCTTCAGTTTCAACTACATATTCCATTACACGAACAATGCCATCACGAAAAACATTCTCAATGAAGAAAATTTTTGAACACGGACATAGTTTTTCTTCCAAGCTTTGATCATTATACGTAGAGGAAAAAAGAGGATTAAGATCGGTATCGTGGTACAGAGAGTGAAGGACTATGCGATCAAGAAGCTTGCAATGGAAATCGTTCGGAGAGAATATCTCGAAGAATTTTCTCTTGTATTAAAACTCCATTAAGTGCATTTTTTGTCAGCATCAGAGGATGGAATCTCAATTGTCCAGCATAATTGTGACAGAGCACCGAAAACATGTCAATCGAGTCAGCAGTTTGTGTTCAATTGATCTGTTGGTCAGGACATTGTTTTCGAGTGTCTTCGGAAAGTAGCCTGTCTCCAGCTCTTTCTTCGATCAGTCGCATCTATATTTCATCACGCAACTAATTTGACCGAGCATCATTCAATGCATCTCTCTAATCTGTTAAACTAACGGCTAGTAACGTATTAAAACAACAGCTACAAGATATGGTTGTGTTCAGTTTAATAAATATCAATGTAAAGCGCAGATTCAACTGATTGACGTAGAAGAAAATGTTTAAGTAACTAATTTTCCATCAATGGTTTGAAACGACCAGTTTTGCGATGGAATCTTTCCGACAAGCCTCCTTACTCATTAGTAGAAAGTGAATGTGAAATGAATATAAGCTAACAATTGGATAACTGTGTTGAAAGTTTTCTGAAATGGTTTTTCGAATAATTCAGAGAATGCATTGGTGCCAGAGAAAAAAATCTAAAAGTTACGGCTTTTTTCAGTAAAAACAATGATAAGATATCTCTTTCGGATTTGTATGTGGGAAAATTACGTTTTGCACCTCTTTGTTTTCCGAACTTACAACACAGATGCTTGTTACGAAACTCGCGACAAAAAGAAACTCAAAATTTCACCACGGAGTCGGTGAGACCACACTCTAAGTAAATTATCAGCGTTTTTTGAATGGATGGAGGTGTAAAATGAGCACTTCCATGAAGTGAAAGCGAATGAATCCGTCCCGTCTTGCTTTTCGATGAACTTAGGCCTTCATTGCCGACTCTAGAGAGTATTTTTGCATTATTTCTAGACAAGAGATTTCCAAAAATGCGTCCTAAAATCGGAAAACGATTCTGAACCTCCGGTCTAGACACCATTCGAGAAACTCGCATCAATATTCGGACGTTTCCACACTAAAATGGACTCTTCTTTGAATTCAAAATGATGATTTTGTTCGATTTGGGTATGTGTCAGTTGTGATTTGTCTTCCGCCAAAACCAGCGCATCATCAATATCAACTAAGAGTAACTTCTTTCTCGTATTAACCATACATATATGTATATTATTGATATTACATTACTTTAGTATATAGAATATGAAACGATTGGCTGAAATGAAAATGATGCAGTTATGGTGACGACAGATTGCATAGTTTAGTTAGGCGTTGAATTTGTGAGAGTCCTATACGTTCGATTTGTATGAACAGAAGATATGATAGTAACCTTGTCGTTCTGTTAGTGATTGTCGCTATATCTTACGAACGAAAGAAAAGAAAAGAAAAGAAAAAGATAACGATAACGATCACGTGTTACTACCAGTTAGAACTCAATGTGTGATCGAAGTGTGATGATTGTTGACGAGGACATGTGTTTTATCTGATGGATACAAGTATTGATGTATCTTACAATTCTATAACGAAAAGAATACTCTCAAGCACATTTTGATTCGTTCGTGAGAGAACGTCTACTGTGAATATGGTTCTCTTTGTACTTGATGACTTGTATCAAATGGTCGATGCGTACAGAATCATTCAGACTATCCATTGGAAAGACAAATGTCTTCGACGAACGAATTCGAGTAAGGTTGATTTTTCTTTATCTTGATGAATAAAAGATTTTTATTTCTTTCGCAAAAAAGGAACCGAGAGAAGAATAGTCATGAACTATATTGGAATGATTTAAACAAAATGAAATTTCTTGGTCTTTTATCAGCAAGTTCACTTGTTCTACGTACATGTTTCCATCCGTTAGCTGTGATCAAGACTCGTCTTCAAACACAAGAGAAACATTCGAAATTAACAACATTTCAACTTGGAAAACAAATATTCTTCAACGAAAAGATCCGGTTCGGTTTTTATCGTGGATATTCAATTAGTCTCTGTGCACTTTTATTCGAACCAGTTTTCATGACGACATTAGAAACAACACGAAGTTATCTAGAAAATCGTCGACCAAATTCGATCTCACTTTCCCAATGGAATACTTTGACGAGTTTGTTCTCTGCTAGTACAGCTGCTCTCATTCAACAGACATTTCTCGGTATGATTAAAATCTGTTTCCATGTACATCGACGTTGAGTTTTTCTTTTTCACTAGTTCCAATCGATGTCTTAACTCAACGCGTAATGATTACTCGTTCATGTGATGGAATTCGAATAAATGATATCATGCGTGATATTTATTATCGATCTGGTGACGGTTTGCGTGGTTTCTATAAAGGTTACTTAATAACATTGTCAACTTCGCTTCCATTCAATTCAATCATTTGGACGCTCTATTGGAAAGTTCAACATCGACTCGAAAAATGGATTCCAATCAAATATGATCGAACGATAAGTCCTTTATCGGCGACAGTTGCAGCACTCTTAACATCGTTATTAACTCAACCGATTGATGTTTTGAAAACACGTCTGCAAGTGTCAGCAACGAGACATTCACTATGGAAAACGTTTCTTATTCTCATGAATAAAAGAGGTTTTGGGGGTCTTTTTTGTGGTTCATTACCTCGTGCATGTATTGTTGTACCAAATTCTGTTCTGATGATGTCGCTTTATGAAACGATCAAACGCGCTTCAGTTAGAAAGTAATTTATTTTGAAATAGATAATCAAGCTTTGCAACCTCTTTTCATGTTCTAAATATAGACCTTTAAAATATCTTCAAGGATCCGTAGATTTTCTTCGTATTCTTGCAAATCAGGATGATCGGGCGGTAATGACTTTCTTGCAGTATCCAATGCTTCTTGGTAGAAAGGTAACGCTTTTGAATATTCTCCTATATCGGTAAGTAAAGAACCAATAGTGTTTAGTTTTGTTGCTAAATCAGGATGATTGGCGGGAAGGACAGTTCGACTGATTTCGAGATATTTCTCATAGAATTCTAGCGCTTTTGAAAAGTTTTTCATGTTATCGTATAAATCGCCAAGATTGTTGTACAGAACAGCCAAATCAGGATGATTCGATGGAAGAGATTGCTTATACACATCCAACGCTTTTTCATAGTATTCTAAAGCTTTCGAATAATTACCTGTTCTTTCATGAATAGTTCCAATGTTGCTGTATGTACTACCGATACTTGGATGATGTGAAGGTAACGTTTCTTTCTTGATATCTAAAGCTTGATAATAGCACTCTAATGCTTTTGGATAATCGTCCATTATATCATACATAGATCCAATGTTGTTGAGACTAATAGCCAATTCCGGATGATTCGATGGAAGAGTTTTCTTGTAAATTTCGAAAGCTTTTTGATAATATTCTAACGCTTTCGTATACTCGCCGATGTTGTCATAGGCCGAGCCCATGTTATTGTACGTTTGTGCAAAACTAGGATGATCGTGAGGAAGTAATCGCTGACGAATTGCAAGAGATTTCTCAAAAAATTCCAGCGCTTTCGAATATTCACGTAATCGATCGTAAGCCGCTCCCATGTTCCCGTAGACACTTGCTAAATCAGGATGATTATGGTTGGGATATACTTTGTAACAGATATCACGAGCTTTTTCGTAGTACTTCAGTGCTTCACTGTAGTTCCCCATAGTGTCGAAGAGCGTAGCGATATTATTGTAAGTTGCAAAACGTTCGTGATGGTTTGGCAGAAGCGATTTTTCTTGAATTGCTAGCGTTTTCTGGTAAAATTCTAATGCGTTTGTAAGTTTTCCTGCTTTTTCATATATGATAGCAATATTTCGATGGATCACAGCTAGACTTGGATGATTTGATGGTAAAACTTTTTGTCTGATCTTCAATGACTTTTCATAAAATTCCAAAGCTTTTGAATTATCCTCCAATGAATTATACACTGTACCGATATTGTTATAGAGTGTTCCCAATGCAGGCTCATCGGGAGGAAGAGTTCTGTGATAAATTTCTGAAGTCTTCTCGTACATCGAGAGAGCTTTATAATAGTCTCCAAGTTTATAAAACACTCCACCAATATTGCTGTAACTAGAAGCCAAAGCAATATCACCTTCCGAAAACGTTTTAAGGTGCAATTCAACTGCTTCCTGATAGAGATTAAGAGCTTCCGTATAATTACCTGTACCATTTGATATCATACCCAACTGATGGTAGCAATTCGCCAATCCTTCATAATTATCGCTCGATAGTGAGCCCATCAACGTTAAATACACTTCCTTAGCTTCACTGAAATGTCCCACTTGGATGAGCAGTTGTCCCAACCGACTCCATCCTGTACTTCCTGCTGTCTCTTTTTCGAGCTGTTCTCCGAGTACTTGCAGGTCGCGATCTTCGTCATTCGTTAACACGAGTTTCACTCGCCAAAGAACATCGTCCACCTGCTCCATACTTTCAATTCGAAACACACTGTGCATCGAAAACAACACTTCACCCTCGGAATCCTCATAGTAACTCATACTGCTCACCAGAGCAAACGGCGTCGACTTCACCGCTTGATTAATCTTCATTACGAACAGCACAGGAACTGTATCCGGATCCTGTGGAGGTATCGGACAGAACGTGAGAGCTGTTTCTCTTTCTACACTCGTTGACGTAAATGCATTGAACGACAACAGACCACCCACACTTTTACGAATATTCTCGAACTCACTTTTCACGACGCCCTGTCCTCGATATAACACTCCAGGACTCCAAACTGCAGACTGAAATGTATAGAGTTCGTTGAGTTGTTGATGCAGATCGTACAAAAAGAAGCTCATTTTGATGATGATTTTACTGTCCATGAGTCGAAGAGCTTGATTGAGCATTTGGAAAAGAAAACAGCCTCTTGTGTACCACCGAATCGCTGAGTCAGGCTTATAGTTTTGTTCGAATTCGTCAACAATGCTTAGTTGGACTGGCTCAGTTTGATATTGCTCACGCAGAAACTGAACAAATCGTTCTTTTGTGTGTAGATGACGATCGATATCGAACAAGATTTGTTTGAGCAATCGAGAATACATGAATAATGGCTCCAGTTCATTGAGATCGTATTTTGAACAGTCGGCGGGTGAGATGACACTGATTGGAACTGAGTCATGATCATATTGTTTTGTTTTTTGATTGATCGATTGACAGATGTTAGCAATGGTACGAAAATATCCTTTCAATTTAGGTGTAACGTCGTTGAGTTGTTGAGAAGGTGGTATAGTATCATTGCAGAGAACATAAATGGAATAGATTTGAGGTATGTCGTGAACGAGAGGGATGAGCTGTTGTGCGAGTGGATATTGTAGTATGATGAATACTTTGGTATGTTGTAAATCTGTGCAAAAATCGATGCATTGGTCAGAATCGTTGTGTAGCTCGACGGTATCTATTATTTTTGATGTTTGTGTGAGTAAATATTTATATTCATCGTTATCTACATTCATATTCGGATCCAACCAGAGAAGAGCAATATTTCGAAGAACACGACGGCATCGAATAGGTCGTACAATTCTGGTTTCATCCTCTATGCAATTCATTCGTAAAACTTTCTGCGTCTGATGAATGCAAAAAAGCGAAACCAATGCAAAGTTTACAGCTAATCTACAGGAAAGAAAAACGAATGCTTTTTTTTCGTCTTCCTTTTCTGATACCATAAAAAAACTTTTTGAAGGAGAGAACAGATCAACCGTCGTAGTTAGTAAGTTGGAAAAAGCCTACTGTTGTCGAAGCCATTCTGCTCTTACTCTCAGACATCATATTTCGTTTAGAACAATATGTGTAATAGAAAAATTGATGACATTGTCAGAATTTCATTTTTTCCATTGCCTGTTCTATTCTGGATGATTTCAATCTTTGATCAAGTTTCTTAGTATCTATTTGTTGTAACAATATAATGAGTCATGAAAAGCCGGGTTATAAAATCATGCAAAAGAACAAATATGTATTTGAATTGGTATTGCGTTCGATTACAATCTATACGTTTTGATCTTTTTGTCAATTCAAAAATGCTGATTTTATTCCATATATAAGTAATACAAAAGTATATGCTGTCATATACCGATTTAATCCTATGAAAACACCATCCAAATCTTGTCCAAAAGCATCACCTTCGAAATCGAAGGGAAGCAGCTGTTTGAAAGTAATTAAATTTCTCCTTGCAGCTTTTCCTTCGGTTGTTTTTGGGGTATTTACAATCGTTTTCACGGTTCAACAACATATAACAGGTATTGAAAATCGCAAACAAGATCAAAAGCAAGCCGATGAACAAAACATTCGTTCAACTTTCGAAAACTACATTGACGACATTTCCAATCTTTTACTTGACGAGAAATTTAATCGTAGTAATTCCGAGCATTTGTTGCATATCCGTGTGAAAACCTTGACTACTCTTCGTCATGTTGACATTAATCGAAAACGAGATATAATCTTATTTCTTTATGAAAGTCGACTGTTACGAAATGATGTTCCGTGTAATGAACGACTCTCGTTACAAGATGCTGATTTAGACAAACTAACATTCCAAGGTTCATCGTCGAATCCTATTCAACTTGACAATCTATACTTACCGGGAGTTTATCTATCGAACGCAGTTTTTCATTGGTGTATATTAGACTACGCTGTTTTCGATAATAGTTCGATGGCAAATGTTAGATTTATCAATTCAAGTATTTCTCATGTGACTTTTCGAAGGATTTACGCTCCTGATGCAATCATGGGAGATTTAGTATTTCATGAAAATGATTTCACTGGATCCATGCTTGTTCGAACATCGTTTGTCGGTGGAACTGATTGGAAAGAAGAAGTTGATTTAACAAATACGGATTTGCTTGATAGTCGCGGCAATCACGGACAATTAATTAATTGGAATTCTGTTCCGGAAAATGTATTAATTCTTGTAAATGCACGGTTACCAAATGGATCTTTCCATCAGATCAATTCAACCGAATTAATCAGCGATGGTGGAGCTGAATTAGGTGTAAGTCTGTTCTTATGATATCAAAGAAAATAATTCACTGAAAATTTACTTTAAAGTGTCAGATAAATCTAACTGAGAACACATGGAAACATGGACCGTACGGTTCAAAGATAATACTATCGCCTATATCAACCCATCCTTCAATATCAATTTCATCTTCTAATGAAAACTGTTATTTTCTCGCTGATTCGCTTAATGCATCGTCGTTAAGTCAATTAATCGATGTACATTCATTCTCCGTGTTAATTCATAGCGAACAGGCTCGATATAATATGTCGGCGTATCTGACTTGTTCACAGGACAAATCAAGCGAAGCGTGGATCAAATTAGTTTCTCTGAAAAACAATTATCTATGGATAGATTCACATAAAGGTAAACAATTGTGAAGAGATTATTTGTGAAAGAAAAGTTAGATATTTTTAGTTCACACGAATCAAGTAAAACCACGAAATATATTTGCAACAACTGGGAATATACCAAGATATACTCGATTTATTCGAGTTGAACTTCATGCGTATATCAGAGAGAGTTATGCACATTGTGTTTTTGATAATCTTCGGTTGAGAATATTTTGAATTAAAGATTTTATTCGAGAAGAAAATATCGTTATGAAACTATTTTCTATGAGTCGTCTGGTCCGTCGTCACTGTCATGAATGCTCTCTTCGGAAGCTTCGGCGACTGATTTGATATTTTCTAAAAAATAATCTGTCAAGATGAAAAGTCGAGAGATTGAAAACAAAACTTACCTATGTGTTCGACTTTGTTGACCTGCTTCTTTTTCATGGGAATTTCATCTGAATGAGGTTTTTGTCGTGATTTCGAATTCTCTCTAACCAATTTTCGAGTTGGACTATGATTTCCAGTTGCCTTTTGTGTTGTCGGTTTTCCTTGCACATTTAAATGATCAATGGTAGGTTTACGTTCTGGACTCTGACTATCGACTTTTCTACTTGTTGCCTTTTTCACTTGAACATTAGAATTGTCAACTGTCATCGATTTTTGAAGTTTACCAAGATTCTTAACCTTGATTTGTGTAGCTGAATGATCAGGTATAGATTTACGACGTGAACGAACATTGTCGGCTACTTTTTTCTGTTTATCCGTGTTTCCCATATCTTCAGGAGATTTTTCTGAAGCTATGATAAAAAGACAAAGTCGTTTTAGGGGTCTGTCGATCGAAAACAAACCTGCATGAGATTTATGACGAATTGGAGATTGTTTGTGAGTAACAGTTTTGTTTTTATGCTCCTTCTTAGAAGCGTTTGTGTCTGGAGAAGACATTGCCGAAGATGCAATTCAGTGCAAGTAAGTCGTTACTCTATATATACGAGAAAAAAAGAAATGCGAAGTTGTAGTATGCGATTAGAGGTCTCTTATTGAATGAAATGCGTCATTTTAACAAAGGTTCGTGGGTTTAATTTGGAGAAAAGGAAGAAAAGTAAATCCGCAATTATCGATTTTTTTCTCTCTTTGTTTTATTAAATACTGTTTAATTATGTATCTGGGTTATTTATCGGAAATAAGTCGCATCATGAAAAGAAAGGAGAAAAGAAACTTTTCTTTTAGTTATACTCTAAAAGCAAAATTACTTCATACAGTCCATGAACGTAAGTAACAAAAAAATAGAGTTAAATAAAAGCAAACATATATAGCTGAGAGTCGACTTTCGATTCACTTCGACAGAGAACATTTGTATTCGATAATTGCCTGAATCGTATATACTTCAATTATCCGATGTTTGGATGTTTCAGTTAAGTAGAGAATCCCATTGGTATCCATGTACATCAGATTAGATCGAATGTCCTCTCGATCGAAATCAGTTCGATGGAGAATTTTTGTCTGCTTGTACCGAAAATGGTTCCATCTCAATTGAATTTCTCAGTTTCAACATTGACTCAAAAATTATCTTATCCGCTCACGGCATTCTCCATGGATTAATTGGACTTTCACTTTTGTTTTGATCAAATTTTGATGACCATATTGACAGATATTATTTTCAAACTTATGCATCCAACTGAGTATTTGTTATACAATCTGCGTTTACCGAATAGAATATTGGCTTTGAAAAAGCCCTACCATGTATGAAAATTGTGCATTCACACTCTTATCTAACGAAAAGCTTTCAACATGAACGAGAGTATTGCAAAAATTTTGTGTAATTACTATTATTCTGTTTTTCTTTTCATCATTCTCAGCATTTCACTCACGTGGAGAATAGAACGGGAAAGACATATTTGAAAAAATCTCTCTCGAAGAATTACTTGCTGTTGTGCAACACAAGATGAATGTAGTTGATGGTGCGATAATTGATCAAGAATGTGCTTCACTTCTCAAACAATCTGATATCAATCAACTAAATCAATTTCTTGATGTTGTTACGATTCAACTAACGAAATCTTCATCAATGACAAGCGACTACAATCTCATCAACAAAATCGTTTTAACTTTGATTACCGTTGATACTAAACAACTATTTAAACAGCGTCAACTTATTCAACATCAACTCTTGGTTATTCTTCGAGATTATTTAGTTAAACTATTATTCGAACAGGATCAAATTGCCTTAGTTAATAACTTATCAATTTTTTTCCATGATATTTGTTCTTCTACTCTTGTGGGTAATGGGATTGATAAACTCATGATTTATACACCTTTGGTAAACAAAATCTGCGTATTCTTTAATGAGATCGAAAACTATGCTCGAGAAAGTCAACAAATTGAAATAATCAATCGTTTAATGCTGATTTATCAAAACATGCAAATGACTCGTTTGGATACACGAGATGACTCAACTTTAGAAGTTTTATTTCTGAATATTTCTACATGTTTTTCTTCAAAGTTTTTTCTTCAAGCCCTTCAAGCTTTATCAACAAATCTACCAAATTTGAACAGTCTTCTCTTCGACACATCTGTCGAATTTCTGTATTGGCAACCTTATGAAGATAGTCTGTCACGAAAAAACAGTCTATTTACCATTTACAAGGTATTGGTAGGTACAACTGCCGATTTACTATCATCTCCACCACCGATTGAACCCATTGTGCGACTTGCTCGTCTACTTGCCTTGTTGGTTATGGTTACTGATGGCACAGTTGATGATAAAGATTATTATAATCTTATTGATNACTTGTTCACAGGACAAATCAAGCGAAGCGTGGATTAAATTAGCTTTTCTGAAAAACAATTATCTATGGATAGATTCACATAAAGGTAAACAATTGTGAAGAGATTATTTGTGAAAGAAAAGTTAGATATTTTTAGTTCACACGAATCAAGTAAAACCACGAAATATATTTGCGACAACTGGGAATATACCAAGTTATACTCGATTTATTCGAGTTGAACTTCATGCGTATATCGGAGAGAGTTATGCACGTTGTGTTTTTGATAATCTTCGGTTGAGAATATTTTGAATTAAAGGTTTTATTCGAGAAAAAAATATCGTTATAAAACTATTTTCTATGCGTCGTCTTGTTCATCGTCACCGTCATGAATGTTCTCTTCGGAAGCTTTGGTGACTGATTTGATATTTTCTAAAAAATAATCTGTTAAGATGAAAAGTCGGGAGATTGAAAACAAAACTTACCTATGTGTTCGACTTTGTTGACCTGCTTCTTTTTCGTGGGAATTTCATCTGAATGAGGTTTTTGTCGTGATTTCGAATTCTCTCTAACCAATTTTCGAGTTGGACTATGATTTCCAGTTGCCTTGTGTGTTGTCGGTTTTCCTTGCACATTTAAATGATCAATGGCAGGTTTACGTCGTGGACTCAGACTATCAGCTTTTCCACTTGTTGCTTTTTTCACTTGCATATTGGAATTGTCAACTGTCATCGATTTTTTAAGTTTACTAAGATTTTTAACTTTCGCCTGTGTCGGTGAAGAATCATTTATGAATTGACGACGAGGACGAACGTTGTCGACCACTTTTGTCTGTTTATCCGTATTTTCCGTACTTTCCGGAGACTTTACGGTAGCTGCAAGAAAAGGGGAAGTCCTTTTAAGATAGTCGGACGAGAACAAACCTGTTTGCGATTTCTGACGAATTGGAGATTGTTTGTGAGTAACAGTTTTGTTTTTATGCTCCTTCTTAGAAGTGTTTGTGTCTAGAGAAGACATTGTCGAAGATGTACTTCAGTGCAAGTAAGTCATTACTCTATATATACGAGAAAAAAAGAAATGCGAAGTTGTAGTATGCGATTAGAGGTCGCTTATTGAATGAAATGCGTCATTTTAATAACGGTTCGTCGGTTTAATTTGGAGAAAAGGAAGAAAAGTAAATCCGCAATTATCGATTTTTTTCTCTTTGTTTTATGAAATACTGTTTAATTATCTGCGTTATTTATCGGAAATAAGTCGCATCATGGAAAGAAAGGAGAAGATGAACTTTTCTTTCAGTTATACTCTAAAAGTAAAATTACTTCATACACAGTCCATGAAGTAAGTAACAAAAAAATAGAGTTAAATAAAAGCAAACTTGTGTAGCTGAGAGTCGACTTTCAGTTCGCTTCAACAGAGGAACGTTTGTATTCGATAATTGCCTGAATCGTATATACTTCAATTATCCGATGTTTGAATGTTTCAGCTAAGTAGAGAATCCCATTGGTATCCATGTACATCGGATTAGATTGAATATCCGCTCACGGCATTCTCCATGGATTAATTGGACTTTCATTCTTGTTTTGATGACTATATTAACAGATATTATTTTCAAACTTGTGCATCCGACTGAGTATTTGTTATACAATCTGTGTTTACCGAATAGAACATTGGCTTTGAAAAAGCCCTACCATGTATGAAAATTGTGCATTCACATTCTTATCTAACGAAAAGCTTTCAACATGAACGAAAGTATTGCAAAAGTTTTGTGTAATTACTATTATTCTGTTTTTCTTTTCATCATTCTCAGCATTTCACTCACGTGGAGAATAGAACGGGAAAGACACATTTGAAAAAATCTCTCTCGAAGAATTACTTGCTGTTGTGCAACACAAGATGAATGTAGTTGATAGTGCGATAATTGATCAAGAATGTGCTTCGCTTCTCAAACAATCGGATATCGATCAACTAAACCAATTTCTTGATGTTGTTACGATTCAACTAACGAAATCTTCATCAATGACAAGCGACTACAATCTCATCAACAAAATCGTTTCAACTCTGATTACCGTTGATACTAAACAACTATTCAAACAGCGTCAACTTATTCAACATCAACTCTTGATTATTCTTCGAGATTATTTAGTTAAATTATTATTCGAACAGGAACAAATTGCCTTAGTTAATAACATATCAATTTTCTTCCATAATATTTGTTCTTCTACTCTTGTGGGTAATGGAATTGATAAACTCATGATTTATACACCTTTAGTAAACAAAATCTGCACATTCTTTAATGAGATCGAAAACTATGCTCGAGAAAGTCAACAAATTGAAATAATCAATCATTTAATGCTGATTTATCAAAACATACAAATGACTCGTTTGGATACAGGAGATGGCTCAACTTTAGAAGTTTTATTTCTGAATATTTCTACATGTTTTTCTTCAAAGTTTTTTCTTGAAGCACTTCAAGCTTTATCAACAAATCTACCAAATTTGAACAGTCTTCTCTTCGACACATCTGTCGAATTTCTGTATTGGCAACCTTATGAAGATAGTCTGTCACGACGAAACTGTCTATTTACGATCTACAAGGTATTGGTAGGTACAACTGCCGATTTACTATCATCTCCACCACCGATTGAACCCATTGTGCGACTTGCTCGTCTACTTGCCTTGTTGGTTATGGTTACTGATGGCACAGTTGATGATAAAGATTATTATAATCTCATTGATCATTCAATTTCAATGCTTGATCTCGATACAAATGCTACAACAAAACGATTGCTTCTTAATACTTTATGCCATTTNTACAAGGTATTGGTAGGTACAACTGCCGATTTACTATCATCTCCACCACCGATTGAACCCATTGTGCGACTTGCTCGTCTACTTGCCTTGTTGGTTATGGTTACTGATGGCACAGTTGATGATAAAGATTATTATAATCTCATTGATCATTCAATTTCAATGCTTGATCTCGATACAAATGCTACAACAAAACGATTGCTTCTTAATACTTTATGCCATTTAACATATAACATCGACATGACAATACATATGAAGAACAATTCCTCGCTAAAAGCATCACTAGTAAAATTGAGTGAATCTGAGGATTCGGAAATATCTTTCGATGCATATCGTATTTTAGCTGTGATTATGAATGAAGATGATATTAAAGCACTGACGAATACAAGTAAAATTGTTGCGATATTTTATCTGTATTTTATTAGTATGATGAATGATCCAATTCAGAAAACTGCTTTTCATAGTTTACTTCATAGCCTAAAAAGTAAGTTCTGTTCTGTATTACAAAGGAATATTCAAATCTTTCTGTTAAATGGTTTAGGTTTAGTACAACACGATCAGGTTAAAAAGGAACTAATTGAAAAAGATTTCGTTCCATTGCTTATTCAATGTGCAGTGGAAACAAGTTCGATCAAAATTCAACAATGTGCATTGGAAATTCTACTTTCGCTTTCTTTTTACAAAGACACTTTGAATATGCTAGAGCAAGATACGAAATTTATGACTACGCTAAAAACGCTAAACACCTCAAGTGAACTGAGCATACAGCGAACCGTTAACCATTTACTTTGGCAATTCGAACAAAAGAACAAAACACTCGTTTCGTCATCGAGTTCCACTTGTAATATTATGCTGAGCTATTCACATAATGATAAAAATCTATGCTTTCAAATATACGATCATCTCGTCAAAGATGGATATAATGTCTGGCTTGATCGAGATCAAATGCATGGAGATACAATGACAGCGATGGCAAATGCTATCGAAAAATCAGAATTTGTCATCATCTGTATGTCGGAAGCATATAAACAAAGTCCGTACTGTCAGGCGGAAGCACATTATGCATTCGAACGACGTCGAAAGTTGATTCCGTTGGTAATGAAGTCAAAATATAAACCCGATGGATGGTTGGGAATAATTGTTAGTNTCTGGCTTGATCGAGATCAAATGCATGGAGATACAATGACAGCGATGGCAAATGCTATCGAAAAATCAGAATTTGTCATCATCTGTATGTCGGAAGCATATAAACAAAGTCCGTACTGTCAGGCTGAAGCACATTATGCATTCGAACGACGTCGAAAATTGATTCCGCTGGTAATGAAGTCAAAATATAAACCCGATGGATGGCTGGGAATAATTGTTAGTGGAAAGATTTACGTAGATTTCACTAAACATCAATTCGATCTAGCTTGTTCAATGCTTAAAACTGAAATCGAAAAGAAACAGCAAACTGAAAGCATCGCTTCTAAGCCATTAGCAAAAACAACAACTGATTTATCTGCTCCATGTACGTCATCAATAGTTCCTATGAAACTACCACATTGTATCGATGTCTGGTCTGCAGATCATGTTCGTTCATTTCTTGTTGCTAACAATTTCACATCACTTTTACCCGTTTTCACTGATTTTAATGGTCAATTGTTACATCAAGCATATATCATGTGCCAACTAAATCGAGAAACTATGTTTCATTCAATGAAGAGCGAAGTCGCAACGTGTGAACATGTTGCGCCACTAACACTCGGTACTTATCTTCATTTTCTCAATGCCTTGAAGCAGTATATTCCAATATCTAACAGTGATACTGCACAAACACCAGCGTCGATGATTTGCAGTGTTATGTGAATTCAAGCGTCGAGTTTTTTCCTCAGTCTTGTAGAACATTGTTTGTTCTATTCCTGTATGAGAATTTCTTTTATTGATTAACAAAGCACTAAGAAACAACAGGTAGGAAATACGGTGAAACGTACTCCATCATTGCTTTTTCTCAGAAAAATATACAATGCGAGAACGATATAACAAAGAGGCTTCCATTAAGAGAAAAGAAATATAAAATTCAACAGAGAACTTCCATATACTCGCATATCGTGATCGATCAGACGGTATCATTTTCCTTTCGCGACACTGAAAATGAGTCTCTTTCGATGAATTATATTTGCTGTTACCGATAGCCATAGATGACATTATTAGAGTTTCCAGTTTTCTTCACTCATATATCGTTTTCATAGTGAAATCAGTGCTTGCATTAGAATGTGCTACGTACGTATTTACTTTTCCAACGGTTCTCTGAGCAATCCAACAGTATTTTGATGTATCATTCTATTCATCGATATAACGTGAAATAAGAACATTCACAAATCAACAATCATGGAATCCAAATGTACAAAGTGTTATGCTCTTCAATTTTCACAACTACTTTGTATTCATCATTTCTATTTAAACCAAATGATTGACGTCGCTTTTCAATGACGTGATCTCGCGAAATTGCATCGTCAATCAAACCTTCATGAGAAAATCCTATGACAAGATGACGTAGCATTTTCAGACCGCCAACAAAAATATCGACGAGTGGTACAGTGCAATCAAGTGAGTATACATCAGTTTCGATATNTCTGGCTTGATCGAGATCAAATGCATGGAGATACAATGACAGCGATGGCAAATGCTATCGAAAAATCAGAATTTGTCATCATCTGTATGTCGGAAGCATATAAACAAAGTCCGTACTGTCAAGCGGAAGCACATTATGCATTCGAACGACGTCGAAAGTTGATTCCGTTGGTAATGAAGTCAAAATATAAACCCGATGGATGGTTGGGAATAATTGTTAGTGGAAAGATTTACGTAGATTTCACTAAACATCAATTCGATCTAGCTTGTTCAATGCTTAAAACTGAAATCGAAAAGAAACAACAAACTGAAAGTATCGCTTCTAAGCCATTAGCAAAAACAACAACTGATTTATCTGCTCTATGTACGTCATCAATAGTTCCTATGGAACTACCACATTGTATCGATGTCTGGTCTGCAGATCATGTTCGTTCATTTCTTGTTGCTAACAATTTCACATCACTTTTACCCGTCTTCACTGATTTTAATGGTCAATTGTTACATCAAGCATATGCCATGTGCCAACTAAATCGAGAAACTATGTTTCATTCAATGAAGAACGAAGTGGCAACGTGTGAACATGTTCTGCCACTAACACTCGGTACTTATCTTCATTTTCTCAATGCATTGAAGCAGTATATTCCAATATCTAACAGTGATACTGCACAAACACCAGCGTCGATGATTTGCAGTGTTATGTAAATTCAAGTGTCGAGTTTTTCCCCAGTCTTGAAGAACATGCGCAAATGTAAAACATTATTTGTTCTATTCCTATGTAAGAATTTCTTTTATTGATTAAAAAAGCACTAACGTAAGAAGCGCCAGTTAGGAAATATGGTGAAACGTACTCCATCATTGTTTTTTTTTCAGAAAAATAGACAATGCGAGAACGATACAACAAAGAGGCTTCCATTAAGAGAAAAGAAATACAAAATTCAACAGAGAACTTCCATATACTCGCATATCGTGATCGATCAGACGGTATCATTTTCCTTTCGCGACACTGAAAATGAGTCTCTTTCGATGAATTATATTTGCTGTTACGGATAGCCATAGATGACATTATTAGAGTTTCCAGTTTTCTTCACTCATATATCGTTTTCATAGTGAAATCAGTGCTTGCATTAGAATGTGCAATGTACGCATTTACTTTTCCAACGGTTCTCTGAGCAATTCAACAGTATTTTGATGTTTCATTCTATTCATCGATGTAACGTGAAATAAGAACATTCACAAATCAACAATCATGGAATCCAAATATACAATGTATTATGATCTTCGATTTTCACAACTACTTTGCATTCATCGTTTCTATTTAAACCAAATGATTGACGTCGCTTTTCAATGACGTGATCTCGTGAAATTGCATCGTCAATCAAACCTTCATGAGAAAATCCCATGACAAGATGACGTAGCATTTTCAGACCGCCCACAAAAATATCGACGAGTGGTACAGTGCAATCAAGTGAGTATACATCAGTTTCGATATATGACAAAGATGGAAAACGTTCAACGATTTTCGATCCACACTTCGGCGGAAGATACGCATAATCTGAAACTAAATTTAGTTGCGTTATTCGACCAAAAGCGAGAAGATGGTAAGGATCGTCGATGAAGTCAGACGAGAAAAATAATGAAGTGGGCATAATAAGCTTTGTAACATTGACACATGCTCTAAATTTACAAAAAGAAACAGATCACTGTATAATATTTATTCATAGAGTATATTTGCAAGAAGTAGACTTACAATAAAACATGTGGTACAACGTATAGTCGTGGTGGGTTATTGGTATGCTCAAATTTCAAAGTCGAAACAGTGGATAAATCAATAAGAGATGAAAGATTTTTAACATATTGATATGATTCATTCTCATATGAATGTGTAAAAACTAAACAAAAGCAAACAACAAATAAACATATGACTACTTCATGAAAGAATTAACAATAATCTATCGATATACATTTGCTTACTTGACTTATAGATGCTTTGGAATAGTTGAGACATATCCAGTAATTCGAAGGATAAGTCTATCGTAAGAAAATTGACATTTCTAAACGGAATCTTTGAAGATGGTTCAATATTTTGTTTTTCCATATATGTCGGCATATAAAACGTTACTGCATCGTTATGTGATTGATATCGGTAGATACTACCATTTGACATATCCGAGGATATTATTTTGACCGTGTTACAACATATATCTACTTCGATCGGACATTTATATCGTGGTGGCAGATATCTGTAATTCAGTGTGCGCAAAACAATCTGCTCATCTAAACATAACCATACCGTTCAAAATAAAAGTTTTAAAAAATAATCAAAATCACGATCTATTTAGAAAATGATCGGAGTCATTCAAAACGGGAAAACAAGAATCCTGTGATGAAATCCACGATGAACGAATAAAACTCATCAGAGATTGTCAACAACTATTCCATATAGAGCTTTTGTTTTAACTACTATGTATACTTTTATTTCCCCAAAGCATTATAAACATCCTCTCAGCTGTAATTTTTGCAAAAACACCTAGTCTCTGATGCTCTTGACAGAACTATTCTTACATGTCATCCTTTTCTATAAACAAAAGAACATTGTTTTCACTTTACTTTCCACAGTATCTGACAGATTCGAACGTAAGTCTATTGTCCCCTTTTATCGTTCACAAACTCAATAAAAGTCATATGATATTCTTTACTTACACGGCATGAATTCTTCAAGGATTTTCCATCGACTGACAGCCATATGCCAACTATCATAGTGTTTTTGAAAATAATTGAACGAGTGAAGGATCATGGTCGAATCTACTAATTTCTCACAGATTAGAAAAGACATGTGAAAATCAAATTTCTTCAGATTTGCCACGTGACTCGTGAATAATCGTTGCCAGCTGTGTCCATCAACTAACAAATCCATATATGATGCATTCATATGGTCACTGACGAGATTAACACAAAATTCTTCAAGATTAGGCACACAAGGAAGAATAGAATTCAGTGAACGAACATCAAATTGTGTAAATATCTGCAGTTCCAATCTTTTCAATGGCGATATTGTGGATGACTCGTGTTCATTCACTGACAATAAATTTGGAGTACTGAAAAGAAAATGAATATTATCTTGTATCGCATTCATTTCCATTCCATATACACTTACTTGATATAATTATCTTCTGATTTTGTGGCTTTAAGCATAACATTTAGTTTGCGTAATGCAGTACACATACGAAGAAGAGGAATCAAAGAATAGATCGATATCTTCTCTTGTGTTCCATAAAACAGCAATTCCAAATAAGTAAGTTTTGTATTGATGATCATACTTGTGGCTAATTCAGGATGGTCATGATGGAAGCGAAGAGTAACCGAACGGAGCGAGGATAGTTCATTTAACACAGTCATTCTGGTAAACGCATCTGCATGAATTCTACATAAGTTACCTTCATCAGGATTATAAGATTGAACGATATGAAATGAGACCATCTGGGTTTGTAGTCTTAATTTCTCGATAACATTCGTCAGTTTAGACGATGTGTCCATCGACGAAAATATGCAGGAACGAAGGTTAGGAAAGCTGTGCCGATTAAAAAGATATGCAATCACATTTCTCTGATCATGTATTCTATCACAAACTTGGAGCGAAATGACTTGATCGGAATGAAAAGTCAGATTATGAGATAGGAACTTAATTTGATGATGACTATATGTAAAATCAATAATTTCAAAATGGATGAAATACGTGAATTAAGAGAGTTGAATGCCAGAAATAAGTCAAATGCATTTAAGTAATCAAAGATTTCACAAAATAGCTCGTTGGACAAATCTTCCAATTTGAAGCCCGTTTTCATTGTATTGTGTGAAGAATTGACAAATATGTATATGAAACAAGGAGCGAGCCGAGGCGTATAACAGTGCAATTGATAACATGACCAATAAATAAACAGGGCATTATATTCATGCATGTTCGACGTCAGCCGTCCATATTTCCCAATGTTATGAATGATTGAAACACAATGAAAGAGAAAAAAAATACGACAATGATAACTTCTTTGTTTAAAATGGTATTGAACGATAAAATGTGTCAAACAAACAAAAAAAAAAAGAAACGGGCCGGTAGTACAACGGCACTTCTGCACTTTAGTGACACTATCACATCGCACACACAGTTGTCGTGAGGGTGAAAGGGATGGGTGTGACTAAACTGCAGTTGTACCAAAAGTTTGTTTCGTTGGTTCTAAGCGACAACAATTCGCTTCTCTTCCCAATCTAAAAAAAACAAGCTAAAATAATAATTCCGTTTGCATACACATACGTTCACTTACAGGAGGACCATGCGTAAAATGCAATAGACCATACCACGCCCGTAGCGAATGACAATATCCCGAACGCAATCCAGAAATATCGATGTTCTCGAAGTTCTTGATGAGCAACTTGAATAAATAAACAAATTTCATAGGGAAAATCATCCTAAGCATCAATTGCGACCAATCGTAGCAGCCCAGGTCGAAAAATCCGGTCCGGAACCGACCGTTGCCGGGTTTATCCGTACATTTCATGGAAGCAAGATTCCAGATCGGATTCAACCGGTTGAAATCCGCCCGATTCCGGCACTACCCAAACGGAAAAGTGGGGAATCCCATCAACAACTTCCGTAACATTCCAACGAACCACAACCTCTCGGAAGCTAACAAAACCGAACCAATCCGACAAAATCACTAAACACACGTATCGAGCTGCAATAAAATGCATGACCGCATACTGCCAAAATCCAAAAAACAACGCTGTCATAATTCATTCTACTAACAGAAACCCCACGAACTCATAACAACCTTCCCCGCATTTGAAACAAGCCCAGCGTCAATACCAGTGGATTGCATGTTGCAATGCAGGATTCCCAGCGGATTTCGCGCTGGACTGCAATCGGGTTACCAATCCAAGAAAATAACTTATACATCTCCAACTAGCTTTTTGGTTATGGATTGCCACGGTGGGTGTCTGGAGTATCTATGGCGTGTAGTTTTTGGGTGAGTTTTGGTAGGATGTTTGGTAATAATAGCGGGAAAAAGTTGGAAAAGATGGGAGTGGTAGTTTTATGTTTGCTCACGATTGGTTACGTTTCGCCGGATCAGAAGGTTGCTTGCCAGTTATGGGCGGTTCTTGGTTTAGAGAAACGGTTGGATACTGGGTGTGGTGCGGGAAGAGGAGGGATTTTCCAGCAAATGTGCGGGAAATTTTTTGGCGATTGCAATATTTTTTGTTTCCGTAGGGTTATTTTCTGATCCGGCTGTTTTCTGTGAAATTATTTTAATCGGAATTTCGGGGCATTCCGGTCTGGAACACTGCTTCAACATTCCTATGGCTTTCCGTCGGGAATCTTTCGGATACGGCGAGAGCGGGTCGGAATGAGCCGGAAAAGGGCTGCCTTCCCTTCGGTACCGATTGTATCCTGAGGCCAGAACGTTCGTCCTGGGAGTGAACCAGCCCAACGTACGAAAAGCCAGGGCGCTAGCCACAGCGGTTTGATAAATCTTATAAAAACCTTGAACTAAGTTGACAACAAAAGCGTTTAAAAAGAAAGAGAAATATTTATCCTACTCTTTTTGTTGCAATGGAGTCACGGAAACGGCCTGCATTTCCCAAAGATTTCATCTAGAGAGACGAGAGAATTAGTTGCAGTTCTCGATGTACCTCTTAGATTTGAACATAATAGTAAGGAAAAGGAGTCGTTAGACATAAATAACGCTCGTCAAGGCAGACTCGCTTTACCTTCGACTGATTCTTTTAAAATAAACGACATATAGTGAAATGATTTCTTGAAACGTTTTTTATTTCGAAAAATTGAAGATGATATTCACATACACAATAACGTTAGTTTTCAGTTAACGATACAAATTCCACAATATGAAAACAAGTTTAGTGACAAAAATAAACCACCTTTACTCATAACTGCAAACATTTAGAGACTTAGATAATGCTCGCCGAGGCAGAGTGGCTTAGCTCTTCACTGGTTTTCTTTTCATTCCACTCATTTCGTAAAGACTTTTCAGAAGATATATCAAACCATTCATCTCGCAGTCGGTCGTGGACTCGATATTGGGCATTATATATATAGCCTATACAAAGGGCACGCGTCTTTCTCTTCGACGCTTCGAAAACAATTAAGCTACTTTAGCAAAATCATAGATGAAGAAGGCTTTCAGATAGCATCTGGCGTTCATTTACTGGAGGTTATGGAAGGAGACTCACACAGCTAAATAATATAACGTATTGAATGACTGCTTTCCTGATTCATTCATCCTAAATATCCAATTTGTCAGCTTTAAAGACCGCGATAACTGATCGGTCAATTTCACAATCCCTCACAGTTATCGATTTGCTTTATCAATCTTCGAATTCTACTCGTGAAGTCACTATCAATGTTGCCTTTTGACTCTCACACAAGCACACCCCCATATGCAGTATTTGTCGTTATATGACCCTCTCTCCAGACCAGAGAATATCTAATGTGTGCATATGCATATCCATAATATCTTATCGTATCGGTTAATTTATTGCTGCGGCCAACGTCTGTTTAAGACCTAAGACTCTTTCCCTGGCATATAAAAACTAGGCTCGGTTAACCTTTTAACAACTCCAAACAATATTTTGTTAAATTTTGAGCATTTTCGAAAAGAATGTTTTTTTTTACCTTTGACCTTTGGCCCTGCCACAGACAAACTATTTTTTTGTATGACCCTCCTTTCAGTCGAGGGAATAAAGCTACACAATATCAATACTCACTTGTAGATATTATTTGTATGCATCTACAAGGAAATAAAATATAAGACGAAAGACGTCAAAGATATAATTATTTCCTGCTTGGTAACAATGACTTTTTTCTCATTATTTTTGTTATTATTTTTGTTATTAAAAAGAGCAGAAAATTGTTAAGATATTCTTCTTTATTTTGTAGAAGATACTCAAATAGTAAAAAATATGAATATTCAAAGTTCTAACATAACATGGGAATTAGAAGAAACGTCATCTCGATTAAATTTAAAACAACGTTTAATAACAATGACATTATTAGCCGCATTTGGTATCCCATTTGTAATTTGTTTTCTATTATTTTATTCGCTTACGAAAAACTTTACTTATCGATCGAATAAATCATCATGTTATTTTATTAATTTTAATGAGTAATTTTTCAATCATAACAACTGAATTACCATTTACATTGCATTTTCTTTCATTAGGAAATGTTCCAACTTTGAATCTTTGCAAATTTTGGATCTTTTGGGATTATAGATCTGAAGCGGTGCCTTTATTTTTAACAATGTATGCTTCAATTGAACGATATTTATTAACATTTCATAAACAATTAATATTAAAGTCTAAAAAGATCTTTCATTTTATTCCAATGCCAATTGTTTGTTTATATACAATTGGAATAAATGGATATCTTGTTTTATTAATTCCATGTGAAATCGATCATAAAATTTTATTCGAATGTGTTTGTTTGTGGTGGTGCATGTTATTTTTATTATTTCATTTCAAATATTTATGATACAATTGTTGATGTTATGTTACCACCGTTTATTATTTTAATTTTCAATTTATTAATTCTTATTCGTGTTATTATAAAGAAATAAAATATTTCATCAACAGTTGTCGTACCGAATACTTTGAAAAAAAAATCGACGAATGATTTTGCAATTGTTATCGATTAGTTTTTTGAGTTTAGCAACTTGGATACCTTGGTTTGTGATTATTTTAGGAGAAGATTTTTATGATCCATCATTTGCACACGAGTTTATCGATATTGTTATTCATTATTTACCATATTTTTCAAGTTTTCTATTTCCACTTGTAGCATTGATTGGCTTGCCCGAAATTCGAGCTGAATTAAAGAAAATTAGCAGACAACAAACAATTGCTTTGAATACAATTAATCCACTTAATTTGTGAACATTTCACAAATAAATCTTCGAACTGAATATATGTACTGAAACTAAAACCAAGTTATTCCTATTTTTACAGAGTTTAGTTTTTTTTCGATATATTTTAAAATAAAGCACACTATATGAACATCGATATGCGATTGTCATTTTGCCGAAGGGAGTCAGAAAAAGTAAAAAAGTATGCTTTTGCCGCTTGTCGTTGCGTTAAAATTCAGTCATTACAATGAATTATTTTAATTGGTTCATTTAATTTTTCTAATTTCAATACGATAAATTCTCCATGTGTATGATGGTTGTCTAGACATTTCGTTTGATTTTCGCTGAATTCTTGAAAATCTTTCCATGTTTTCATATTTTCAGGTTCGACGGTTAACTTTTGAAAATCTAAATCAAACTTTTCTAAATTTTCCAAGAAAAATTTCAAAATGAATTCTTCATTTTGTGCTCGTAACTGATAAATGTTTTTCTTTTGTTCCATGTGATATTGATTATATTTGTAAATATTTTGATCTGTAAGTTCGTTTTTACACGGTGTATCGAATTGAATCGAAAGTTGAAAAACTTGTCCACAATCCGCATTAATCTCAATAACTTTTCCATCATATTTTTGCGGATCAATTTCTTTAATCGAATGCCAAAAATGTTCGCCCTGTGAACATTCTTCATTCATTCTCTCATACTCTTCCAAACTTCGTTCTTCAGCCACTTGTTTTGCATGAATTTGGTAAATTTCTGGCAAATCATATTCTGCATCTGGATAAAATTTTGGTGTAATTTCATGACCATTCAGTGTCACAAAGACATGAGCATCATGTAAATCACGCGCTCGTAGAAAATAATATTTAATTTCATATTCCCATCCCTCTCCGTCGAGTAGTTCATTTGCATGCGCGAGTTGAAAGAGTGACATAGTTAAGTTTCTAGACGAGGTGTCTCTGACTTTATATTTCATTTCAAAAGTATTGCTGTTTGGTTGTGAAATAACTTTGAATTAGATAAGAGCAAAGAGTTTTTTTTTTACTCAATGTAAGAAAGCTGAAACAATTACTTGTCCACGATAGATTGTAAATGGTGTTTCTCTTTAGAAGTCTTTATTTACATATTCTAACTATTGATAACGATCTTCGGTAGAGAAACCAAACAGAATGTTGACTTAATATGCTCTGTTAAGTAATCGAAACAGAAATGAATCACGTGTACACCAGCAGAAAGCATCTGGCGAATAATAATCTGACTGAATATTCATCTTAAATTTTGAGCTGGGCTGGAGAAGATAAACTGCATAAAACAGTAATTGGACGAGATCAGCCGGCGAAATAAATGTCTTCAACAGTTTTTTTTAATGATGACTGAGAGTTTCAAACGAAGATATAAGCCTTCGATGTTTTCAATATTTTCGAGCATCTTCTGATAGATCACCAAGTAAAATCCGTTTAATTGAGTATAAACTTATTTAATCTTAAAAAGTAATGAAGTCACGATGCAGATTAAAATAGATCTAGAAATTGACACTGAAATCTATATTTCACACTTACTTTCGAAAAATTTAAACTATGCTCTTGCTTAGAACATTGTACATCACCATAGTTGTAAACATAAATAAATGGAATATTCCCTCGACTAAAAGGAGGGCCATGTCGAAAAAGATAGTCAAAAAACCGAAATTCGTTTGTGTGTGTGTCTGTCGCAGGTCAACTTTTAGTGATATGATGAAAACTCTATAGGCTGACGTGTCAAAGTGGCAATGATGTCTACAAATGAACGACTGGGATGGAGAATAAATATCAGAGTAAAAGAAAATTAATCAAAGTTCTATTGCAGAAATCAGATTCAGCAACGTCTTTGCGTACAAAACTGCAACCGAAGCAACTGTGTTGTGCAATGGAAAACCGGAAACATAAGGACCGCAAATGTCGAAATTTTGAGCATGTTGCTTTTTCTAACCAGTACAATTTCTCCGTATGTCATACGTTCGCCATAGATATTTCGTATTTGTCATCGGATACCCATGCTAATGCCATATAATGAAACTGCGCAAATACCTGCATCAGAACTGTTGCTCCAAACAAAATTTCAACTATCGCTCAGAAAGCTCTTTAAGACCATTCCATATCACACCCGCAGGTCGCCGCGCTTCCAATCGCTCAACAGTCGAAATGAGTAATATCTGTATATTCAAGAAAACCCCTTTCCTATATAACCACTGCCCACTATACCGGCCATCATCTCACATAAATGCGTGAGAAATAGCGCAGGTCTTGATTCGCATGGAACCAAACGGTCACTCATCGCTTCTACCACACCACTTTAGACAAAGACTACTGCATCCAAAAAATACCCTCAAGATAACTGGGAAAAACCAAAACTTCTTCGAATGTCAAAGTGAATGCAATTCGACAATACACAAGCAGATTCATACATATACACCATCAAATCTGAATCTTCATTCCTATACACAGAGTAAAAACGCCGATCCTCCCAGTTCCCCGCTACCCAATTCCATCAGCGCAGCAAATTCTTATTCAACGTTGAAATGAAGCTTCTTTCACTTCATACACCATGTAATCGCGAAAATCATGAGGCTCGATATCCAAACTACATTCCCCTTATATATAAAAACCTACGACTTCAATCCTTCTAATAAAGAACAAAATTCGACTTTACCATCAAATTCTCACCACCCCTGCACATATACCGATGTCGACCAAATCTAACAACATACCCGTGAGCCTTTCTCCATCTGACAACATAATTTCTGAGCATCACATCTCCTTTGTCACTGCGAAACATAATTCCTATTTCACAAAAAATCACGAACGATATCTACAACCGATCGTAAAAGCGACTTCCCAGTTCAGAATCACACCCACAATCCATACATATCCAACCGCGCATATCTGTGGATACACTTTTGTGTGATTATTTGATTTTGGAACGTGAGTTAGATGAAGGTGGATGATTAGTTAGAACGAATATACTTGTGTGAGGGTGAACATACAACGTATAATAATGGTCGATCTGATCGTGACGGTATGGGATGGAAGCACATGATCTGTGCATGTATCATAGTTTGTTATCACGATTGTGTAAGAGATAATGCGGGCATATGTGCTTTCAGTTGGACGTGTTGAAGCTAATTTCATTCATTTACTATTCCGGTTTAGTGAAGCTCGTTGCTCTTCTGTCTGTTGGAAGTCACTCGGCATTCGTGTTGAATCGTCCTCTCTGAAATTAAAAAGTGTAATACTGTTTTGAATAAATTCAATTCATTGTAGTGTAAGTTTTCAAAGTTGAGAAATGATGCGATTGACGAAATTAGTGGAGATGAATTCGAGGTTTAGATAGAATGTACCATTTTTTCCGAATTGATTTCCTTTTCGTTTTGATTTGGTATGGGTCCATATGTTTTGAAAGTCTCAAATTATGATACGCAAATTATCACATACAATTTGTGTGATGCGGCTAAATTGCTTGAACAGATAACAGCTGTGATCAATGAAAAAGTTCGCAATGGAGTTCATAAACTTGTGAGCATACTTGCTGTTCACAATACAGTTATGCTCATTAATATGCTACTGCTTTTACTAATGATTGTTGCTATCGTTATCTGCTGTTTATTTCAACATTGTCGGAGTACAGCTGTATAGATAGATGTCGTGGACGAACCACAGGNTTCCTGATTCATTCATCCTAGATATCCAATTTGTCAGCTTTAAAGACGGCGATACCTGATTGGTCAATTTCACAATCCCTCATAGTTATCGATTCGCTTCATCGATCTTCGAATTCTATTCGTGAAGTCACTATCAATGTTACCTTTTGACGCTGACACAAGCGCATCCCCATATACAGTATTTGTCGTCATATGACCCTCTCTCCAGACCAGAGAATATCTAATGTGTACATATGCATATCCATAATATCTTATCATATTAGTCAATTTATTGCTGCGGCCAACGTCTGTTTAAGACCTAAGACTCTTTCCCTGACATATAAAAACTAGGCTCGGTTAACCTTTTAACAACTCCAAACAATATTTTGTTAAATTTTGAGCATTTTCGAAAATAATGTTTTTTTTTACCTTTGACCCTGACACCCACAAACAGACATACAAACTATTTTTTTATATGACCCTCCTTTCAGTCGAGGGAATTATATAGATCTAGCAGAGGTATCTCTAACATATTATCTGTAAATGATATAAACCCGTCCCTATATTAGAAGCCCCTCTCATATTAGAAGCACTCCCGTATTAGAAGCCCCCTCTGAAAGAAGCGATATGAAAGAGTATTAGAAGCCCATGGGCTTATATTAAGTCCAAGATTTAAAATTTTTCCAAAATCATTCAAATTTTGTTTGGAGCGTCTACAAAACATAAACAGATGTTCATTGTACATTATGCTTTATAAAATTAGTGTATATATTCTTCTTTTATCTTTTCCATTATCATACATTCTATCGTATGTTTGTAAAATCAAAAACAGTTCAATGTTGCAACTCGATCTCAATTAAACAAATATGTAAGACAGAAAAAATGCTCTAGTCTTATTTAAGAACAACGAAGTGATTGTATAACAATTAGTCATACACGTATGTTGATGTTTGATACTTTAACTGTTTGAAAGAGAAAAATGCACTGAATGAATGAATGCTAGATAGACATCTATGTACAAATAAATCTCGACGATGGCATTCACATATCGTTCAATTAAAATATCTTTCATTAGAATTATTCTTTCCATTAGTTATGTATCAAATAGAAGAGCATCTTGCACCATTATCAGCCATTGTTACAAACTCGTTCTTAGATGAATCCATTTCCGACGATGATTCCGGCGTCGAAATTACGTCTCTTATCGAGGAAAATGAAAATGATTTAATCAAATGGACTACATATTTACAACTTAATTCGGACAGTGACGAAGATAGCGATGAGAATTGTTCTTCGACTCAACCTGCATCACTCGTTAATTATTCGTTGTCAGAATCATCCAGCGAGGATGAAAACTTATTACAATCATGAGTCAAGATAATTGAAATAAAAGCTTTCTCATTTTTTTTATAGTTTTACGCAAAAGTCATATTAGAAGCCCTCCCATAATAGAAGCCCCCCTCAAAAAGTTTTAACCACAAACAGTTTAGAAGCCCCCTGGAGCTTCTAATACGGGGAGGGGTTTATACAGCCATGCCATCCACGATCGTTGGTATTTGAAGTACTTGATATGGCTGAGTATTTTATCACATGGCATGAAACTAAGCTAACTCAATTTCTTTCCATCTAATCTATCGGTCACGGCTTCATCATTACTTTCTTAGATTATCTATACGTCAGCACAACTAACGGGCCACATAATTAAGTCATGACTGAACTACTAGTCGTTGTTAGAGACGCTGTAGATTATGTATAAGTAAGAACAGAACATTGAATATTATGAGTAGACGGCGGCAGACTCTTTTTTAATTGATTTTTTGTATATGGTCAGAGAGGAATCATGAGAAGAAAAGAGCGAAAACTTAATGACATGCAAAAGCTCACTCCGACTCCACTCCAGCTCCGCTCCGGAAGCGGAGTTAGCTCCACGGAGCAGGCGCTCCGGAGTCGGAGCCGCCCATCTGTGATTACACCAGACACATTTCGAAGCCATCTGATGAAACCCTTGAGCAAGATCGAAACCGGTAGAGAATTTTAAATTTGAAGTTGAGGAAGAGAAAACGAGATAAGAAACGAAAAGAATATCAAAAGGCTGCTTGAATGTGTCGATACCAGAACATCCAAAGCGATGTTCCGTTCGAATAAGACTACGAAATAGTAAAAAGATAAGCATAACTCATACGAACAGCGGCAACAGCATCTTTTCAATATAAAGTACTAAAAGCCTGTAAAGTAGTTGTCACTCAAGATGCAAATGTCGCCTATTCCAAAATAATTACGACTTTGATGTCTGTCTTTGTTCATTAGATAAACCAGAGCTGGGCAACTCAACTCAAAAAGGTATTCAATTCAATTCAATTCAATTCATCGACAGTAATATGCAACTCAATTCAATTCAGTGGTTTCTAGAAATTTTTTCAACTCAATTCCATTCAATTCATGTAGCATGAAAATTTCTTGCAACTCATTCAATTCAACTCGTGAATCAAATTGAATTGAGTTGAATTGGGCCCCGAGTTGTGCCGTTTTTAGGTAAAATATGTAGTTTTTAATGGGTAGAAATTAGGAAAATTACGTTTCACAATATAATAAAACATTGTTAAACAGAACACAACACTTTATCTTGATGAAATTTGATAAATAAATTTTTGTCTCTCTCAATTAATAGAATATTTTTCTGAATTGAGTTGAGTTCAATTCGGAGATAACAAAAAATAATTTTCAACTCAATTCAATTCGATTCAGTGACTTTCGAAAACTTTTCTCAACTCAATTCAATTCAATTCGTCAATTCAGAAAAATTTTACCAATTCAACTCAACACAATTCATCAACTCAAAAAAAGCATCGTCAACTCAACTCATCCAACTCAAAAAATGAGTTGAGTTGAATTGAGTTGGCCGATTTTTGAATTGAGTTGCCCAGCTCTGAGATAAACATAAAATCAGAAGTGACATTCAACCAATATCGCCAGACCAATTATCGGAAGATGTAGACTCGAGTCCTGCTCTGATTTTATGATATTTACGGGTAAGTTTTTTGTACTTATCTTAGCATACCACTGTGGACACTTAGAATATATTTGGATCTTTAGTCTCGTGGACAGATGAGAAGATTTCTAATATTTGATTCTTTTCGTATCTATCTTTAAAGTCGCTCTCACCCACATCAATGCCGGCTGATATCGAAGTAGATGACTTCTTCACTTGCTTTTCGACCTGTTCGTAGGCTGAAAAAGGTAAGCATCTTCTTTCGGCAATTCGCTCTTTGTCTTGCAAATTCTCTAAACTATCTTAGTTTTCATGTTTAAAAAACATATATATGATTGCCCTTGCGGTATTCCATAGTCGGATTTCCTAAATTCTGTCTATGGTTTGAAACTAGCAAAAAAACTCGATACAAGATGCACGTAAGCTGCTTGCATGGCCATCCGTACCTGCATTCACATCGCACCAACGGTCCCCCTTATTCTACATGATACGATGAAGTGAAAAGGAGTGTTATATTATCATGATTAAAATAACAGATAGTCTTTATTCGCGTTGTATACACCAAATTACGATAAGGCTAGTCATCCATCTTCGTCGTCACAGTGGGTTATATAGTTCAGCACTTCGCAACACTGCAAGATCGTGTCCTCCCGTAATTAATACTTGTCCGTCTCCAATCACAGAAGCTGCGTGACCATAGCGGAGATGACTCATGTTACCGGTCGGCACCCAGACATTGCCTATGGGATCGTACAACTCGGCATTGATTAGATGTTCGTAGCTGTCTAATCCTCCAGTAACTAGCACCATCCCAGTTTTCACTACCGAAGCAGTGTGTTCATACCGTCCAATGCTCATGGGTGCAGACATTGCCCATGTTCCTTTCATTGGATCGTACAATTCCACCGAACTAAGAACGATGCTATTGCTCATTCCACCTGCGACGAGCACTTTGCCATCTCTTAAAACTGACGCTGTATGCTTATATCTTGGACCAGCGAGAGACGGTCCAATAGTCCAAGATCCTGTTAAAGGATCATACAGCTCACATGAGTTAAGAGCAGCATTGTCTTTCCCGCCAATCACCAAAACTTTACCATTACTCAAAGTGATGGCAGTGTGATGATATCGATGGTAGCGCATCGCTTTAATCATGAGCCAGGATCCTGTTAACGGATTGTATAATTCCGCAGTGTTGAGGGCATTTCCATCCCATCCTCCAGTTACCAGCACTAAACCGGTCTCTAATACCGATACAGTATGATATTGTCTTGCGCGAGTCATGTTCCTGATGCTTTTCCACACGTTTATGGACGGATCGTATAACTCGGCTGTGGCTAGGACCAAACCGTAGCTAGAGCCACCCGTGACCAGTAATTTTCCGTTCTCCAGCAGAGATGCCACATGCCAAGCCCGTGTGTCTATCATATCACGTGCTTTTTCCCAAGTGTTTCTACTTGGGTCGTACAGTTCGGTGCTTTTCAAAGTTCCAATGTTTCGTCCTCCTGTAACTAAAACTTTCGCATTCAACAGCAGAGTCATTGTATGATCCCGTCTTGATTGGATCATGTTTTGTACAATGTTCCACCCTAAACAGGAGTAGAAGGTGACTATCAGTAAAAAGAAAGTTACTTTTACACCCTGAAAAACTCTGCAAACAAACATAATCTAGATTGAATATGAAAATGCTATCAACGAATACTCTACAGCTTACATCTTGCTCGTCAAAGTCGAAGTTTAGGATGATGGAGGCTATCTATAATGATAAGATTCAATAGCCCATTTCTCCTATTCGAACAATCACAATGCAAGCTTCGATAAAACTATGTCCAGAAAACAATTCAATACTGATTAATCTCTATGGAGAATTCAACCATGAGCTTGCTAATCAGCTCTTGTTGTACGGAGAATCTGTTTCATACAACTAGCTGTCGTGTAGACATACCTACGTTTCTTCCGCTTACACCTTGGAAATGCTGTTTCATTATAATACAGATGCTTGGCGAAACTGGAAGGGATATGAAGCTTCTACGAACAACACACTTCGACACACAAAGCTTCTATAAACTTGGCAACGAACTATCCTTGGAAAATGTACTATGATTTCGGATAGCATTGGCAATCTAGGTAACACCATGCAGGATATAATAGAAATAGAAATCTGACGGATTTCACATTCTGCATGAATAATTCATCAATGTAACGAGTGCTACAGAATCAATCGACCTTTCAGAATTTTTGCAAGAGCTCTCTTGACTTTTATCCAATCTGTGTGACTGTTTTCTTGATCAATGCGTCTATCTAATCTCTAAGAAAACGGATAATTTTTGTTCAAGTCAGTAAGTCATATCACATTCAGGTTAATAAACGGTAAAGACGTGCAAAAAATATCGTACTTTCAAAGTACCGAAACGGTGATACTTCATCAGAAACTTATCGCGATCTGAGTGCTGGATTCGATCTAATACTAGTAAAGAGGTGACACCAAAGGATCCAGGCCTACGTCTGTATAACAGAACGATCGATTTGTCACTTTGTGATGACTAGAAGGTCAGCTGGGGAAAATGTGTGAACTAAGTTCGAACAAACTTCGGAAGAAAGAGTCTTTGAAGGAACTATTAATCATGCTTGTTATAGTCCAAGAGTATAAAAATAAAGTATTCAGGAACGACTCGATCCTCCATAAAGATGGAACAAAGCCACCCCAATGCCATTTAATGCAACAATGGTACAGCAATAATCTTTTATCGTATATCGGCAAAGATCGTCGGCATTCAAATAGGATAGCTTTGAATCCTCTGGACTATGTTATCTGATACAAATTTGCCAATGCTACCCGTTAGAACAAGGTCGGGTAAAAAAGAACAATGATTAAGCAATTAAAATCATCAGTGAAAAAGATCTAGAGAATTAAGTGTCTTGCAACGTTGTGCTAATTGAACCGATCGGTTATATTATTTTTCTCAAAGTGGAGAGGATTATCTACCATAATAAAACGGAAATCTCTATTTACATTCAATCGCGCTATCTGTTTTTATAAAGAATAGCTAGAGACGAAAGTGGTCCATAATTTTGAGAAGCCCTATATCAATCTGTAGCGATCAAATAAAACTCCTCAACAAAACACCTCTATGGTAAAGTAGTGCTAAGTGATATATAGTGGCACTTTTTGTACAATAGTTGATTATATAGAAACTGAAGAGATATGTGTTTAAAATTAATAAGTAACTCTCGGCCGAATGACACTGGTGGCTATCGACTAAAACATTCTAAGCATTTTCTTTTGTGCCCCGAACACCCCCTTTCATCATAAAATGAGCCCTCTCACGGTCTGACTTGCGAGTCTTATTCACAAGACAGACACATGTCTCAATTAGTCATTGAATCGTTTTCTGCTTCAATGTTGATTATTCGTCATTTACACATCTTTTAACAGGTTTCCACGACTGGTATTGTTTCATGACGTGATATAAAATGCATTCAGAGACAACTATTCTCAGTCTCTCGTTCTAACATACATGTATCAAACACCTTCGCTCCTAACTGTGTCGCATTCAAAACATCAGCACTACTTGCATCATGTCTGTTTCTGATAACAGCGTACACGAATTGAGACGAAGAAGTAGGATGAGTCCATCACAACGTCATATCCAATTAATCTAATCACCTACTTCTGTAAACTTCAGAATACATCTGCACCAGACGCTGCACTGATAAAAATTTTCGTAGAATGATAAACCCTCAAAAAAGGGTTTATAACTGAAAAATTCGTTTATCAACGTGATCAATCCCTTGATCAATCCTTTTTTCTTAATAAACCCCAAAAAGGTATATTATCCGTTGCAAACTGATAAACCCAACAGTTTATTGTCTCTTGATAAACCCTTTTCCCGTTGATCGACTGGATCAATTCTAATCGAAAGGTTTCTTGGAATTGATGATAAACTCTGAGTTTGAGGGTTGATTCAGTTGATCAACGGGAAAAGGGCTTATCAAGGGACAATAAACTGTTGGGTTTATCAGCTTGCAACGGATAATATACATTTTTGGGGTTTATTAAGAAAAAAGGGTTGATCAAGGGATTGACCACGTTGATAAACGAATTTTTCAGTTATAAACCCTTTTTTCAGGGTTTATCATTCTACGAAAATTTTTATCAGTGTGTTCCCTTGATCAAATCTTTCTAACTATAATATGAGCATGAGAAGCCGCTTTCACTTCCTTTCGTCAGTCAATGCTCCCTCCCCCTCCCTGCTCCTTGCTCCATTCCAATCACCTCTTACCTATCTTCAATCGTCTCTCTTGCAGCCCCTGTTCGATCTTAGCTTTTCCCCTTATCACTCGTTCGAAATAGATCAATTTACTACACCTACAGTTGTCGGCTATTGTCAATCCACCTTAGTTTTTTCACGTCAGGCGTTGGTACACAACACAAGCACAAATATACATATACATTCATCCAGAAAACCATGAACATCGTCATAAAAAGTGCTACATGTATGCGAATGTCAACGTTTTCACATAGCTTGAGTTTCCCTTACTACGGTTTTGTCAATTCATTATAACATGGTATTTTCAGATGCATCACTGAGGTTTTTAAGAGACGGAAAGAATATAAACGCATCTAATGCAGCATTTCACTAGAGCTTACCCATAGTGTGCGGAATTAAAGTCGTGGTAGGATTCACATCTGGTTTAGCGTGACCCTTTTGTGCTTTCAAACCGAGAACTATACCGACTACCACTCCAGTGATAATGAGGAGGCATACGATCACGGCACAAGCGCCAATAGCCAATCCGTTGCTCCCTCTACCCATAATGTAGAACAAAGAAGAGTGTGAAAGATTTTGCACGTATATGGCTGATGTATGTCACTTATATATCAATGCTTAGCATGTAGATGCAGTTCTTCCAACATACTATCTGTGTTGACAATTATTCATCGAAACTACGATAAGAACACGTCCACGAAGTTTTCAACCCCTTCTCTCGCACACAATTCTGAGGGTGAAGGTGAGGGTGAGATCGTTGTAAAGCTACCACGAAGAAGCTAGCACGAACAAACGATGTGTTAGCTAAAAACTTTTTTACCAACTATGGCCCATCCCTGAAAACTATACAATTCGACTCAGAATTTAATTCTGCATCGAATGATGGTACCTTTATTCGCGGGACAAGCTTTTGAACACTTTTTATCTATATCTTTGTTCGTTTCCTTTAGATCTATTTATAATCCAGATAGAATTTTTCCAAAGTTTGTCCCGCGAATAAGAGTACCATCATTCGATGCAGAATTAAATTCTGAGTCGAATTGTATAGTTTTCAGGGATGGGCNACGATATGAAATGAGGCCATATGGGTTTGTAGTCTTAATTTCTCGATAACATTCGTCAGTTTAGACGATGTGTCCATCGACGAAAATATGCAGGAACGAAGGTTAGGAAAGCTGTGCCGATTAAAAAGATATGCAATCACATTTCTCTGATCACGTATTATATCACAAACTTGGAGCGAAATGACTTGATCGGAATGAAAAGTCAGATTATGAGATAGAAACTTAATTTGATGATGACTATATGTAAAATCAATAACTATACGAAGACAAGGTAATTTCAAAATGGATGAAATACGTGAATTAAGAGAGGTGAATGCCAAAAATAAGTCAAACGCATTTAAGTAATCAAAGATTTCACAAAATAACTCGTTGGACAAATCTTCCAATTTGAAGCCCGTTTTCATTGTATTGTGTGCAGAATTGACAAATATGTATATGAAACAAGGAGCGAATCAGGCGTATAACAGTGCAATTGATAACGAGATCAATAAATAAACAGGGCATTATATTCATGCATGTTCGACGTCAGCCGCCCATATTTCCGAATGTTATGAATGGTTAAAACACAATGAAAGAGGAAAAAAATACGACAATGATAACTTCTTTGTTTAAAATGGTATTGAACAATGAACTGTGTCAAACAAACAAGAAAAAGAAACGGGCTGATAGTGCAACGGCACTTCTGCACTTTAGTCATACTATCACATCGCACACACAGTTGAGGTGAGGGTGAAAGGGATGGGTGTGACTAAACTGCAGTTGTACCTAGCGCTTATCCGTTGGATTGGCTGACCCTTTTCGGAAAGTATCAGAAAACTAGTAGATAAGCGCTCTCACTTACATCTCAATCTAATTGGGTTCGAACTGAAGTCACTTTTATGCTCATTCTTTCATTTTCTGCTGCATTCATGTCAGATTACTTTCAATTCATTTGCCCAAAGACGTAAACAAAACGAACACCGTTTATAAAAATTTATTCATCGACTCTCTTCAGACTACTCTGAATAAAAAATCAATTTATTTTCACTTATTTTATCTCCTCTAAGCAATTGAAATAAACACCTAGTTGTCTGTGGGTCTGCCTCCGATGGGGCACTCACCGCTAGCCGTTAATGTCCAACTTTCATTCTTCCATCTAATTTAGAGTTTCCTTCCATTTCCTGCTGAAGAATCACCAACTTTGTGTCGTTGTGACTGTCCAAAACAACATTTCTCAGAGGAAGTATTACTTTGAGTGGTTAGCATCAGACAATGTTTGCGTAATATAACTGTTTGTATAATCGTGATGTTATCAATGTGGTGATGTGTATGAATATCCAATAATCCGATGTTAATCAGCTATTTCGTTTCAGTTCTACATATTGCTGCTTCAAACACTATCGCCTAAAAAGACTTCCTTGCACAAAAAGACCTTTGTCTAAAAAACAGAACAGGATTTTTTATTGAGAAACAAACAACAGATTACAGATCTTGGGAACAGATTACTCTTCGATCAACCCTTACTCGACAACCAAAAAATTTTTCATTGCCTAATTCGTAATTGGCCAATTGGAATTTCGAGAAACTAACTTCAGATTCGAGATCCTTGACCACGATTACTTTGCAACAATCACTTCTTAAGGAACATCATTAAGTTTTCATTGATTTATGAAATTCTGCAATCTGATTGGCTTGGACAAACAAACAAATTTAACCAGTTTTAACGCGGCTAATAACCCTTTCTTTCAGAAAAGGGAATTATATTTGAAAGAATTAAAGCAAGACAAATAATATCCATGGCGTCTTGTTCGTATTATTAACGCAACTTTGAAATAAACGTATAATTCAAAAGAGTACAAAGTCAACACAGCACTCAAGAATAGAAAGTTGGAGCTATGTACAACATGCGTCAGTATAAAGAGCGAGAGAAAATATATTTTAAATTCCCATATGAAATCTCTTTTATTGATTAAAAACGCACTTCTGTGACATCAACAAAATAAATATCAATTTTTTCACACACACCTTCATTTGTTAAATACATGAAAAAAAAATTTTTTGCCCACATCATATTCACCGTTCGAATGCATGTTAACTCGACGTCCATGTTGAAAAGCGCACCAACAAATATATACTGATCGTCAGTGCTGTCAAAGCAAACAGTCCTATAACAGCACCGAATGTAATTATGATTGCCTTCGAACATTGTAATGGATTTCGTTCAAATGAATCCATTCGTGGATAATCATAGTAGTTGCCCGATGGATATTGTTGTTCATATGCTGATCGATATGGATAGCCATTCGGATAGAAATCTCCACTGTTGTCTTTTAGTGGCTCATGATAAACACCTTTCCTAAGAGTAGAGAAATGCTTTGGAACAAAGCATCAAGTGATCAAAAGAAACAAACTTATTTTTAATTTTATCAGCATGATTCGAAAGAACTGGTGATAGATCGTGCTGATTTAGTTGTGCCCGTGTTGATAACGGTCCGTATGAATTTATGGTTGGATTGACATGAGTCGATGGAGAATAATTATCCAAATATTGATGCGAATATGGATCTTCGTTTACTGGAAATATCTATGAAATTCACTTCGTTAGAATAGGAAAGCCATTGCAGGGAAAGAAGAATGTTGTTACTTTCGATGGATTTTGAGAAGGAAGGATGCGAGGAACTACCGGAATATATGGCGAAGCATATTCCATAATTATTCTTTTGATAGAAGCAACAGCACGATAATAACAAACCAAAGAAATTTCGATCGCAACAAAATCAATTTGGAATTCAAGAGAGAATGTACGAAGCCCTTACAATACTCATCTATATTGAGATTTTGTTTCGAGAAAAAAAAAGAAACGATGGAAGCTCTTTTTTCAGTAAGAGAACGGCTTGATTACATGATCGAGGAGGTATCTATCAGGGTTTTTTTCAATAAAATTCCATGTACTTATACATCACGATCAGTAAACTGATAGCTAGTATTTCATTGATAGTCACCGATCACATAAGAGAATCAACATATTTCTTTGTGCATATGTTTTATTCAGTGTTATTTTACATTGAAGTTTAATGCATTCCTCAGAGACCGGTATTTTCATCTATATGCAAATGTGAACGAAGGAAAATAATCGTAAGGAAGAATGAAAGAACAGGAGAATAAATCAAATAATGAAGTGAGATTTTTTAAATTGAACTAACGCAACATATTCTTTCCTTTACCATATGTTTTAATCTAGAAGAAGTACAATCTTCTCTCGATACTGAAACTAAGTTAGGATAGTTTTCTTCTATTTCTCGATTGTTTGTATCAATGAATGTGGAAATTAAATTAAATACACGGATAACAATATAACTTAAATGTATAGGGAACGTTGTTTACTTCGCGATATGATATCTCACGGCAGAACGAACAAATTTCTATTGTTAGTAGTTTGTGCCTTTTACTTTTCAAGTTTAATATGCAACAAAGCAGATGAATATTCGCGCAATTTTGTCGTTATTAATCTTTGTACTAGTGAAAGCCAAAGATTCGGGCAGTTTCATCCATCCTGGATTACTGCACAGTTCAAGTGATCTTCTGCGCATGAGATCAATGGTGACTGGTGAAAGGGAACCATGGAACACGGCATTTTTGTCTTTTGCAGCTGATAGCCACTCATCATTGTCTTATTCCATTCAAGGTCCAGATACCATTGTCACGCGCGATCGAAAAATGTCTAATGTCGGGAACAACCATCTCGCACATGATTCAGTGGCGGCGTTACAGTTAGCATTGATGTACTCCATTACTAGTAACGTATCCTATGCAGCACTAGCAACTAGAATCCTGGTATCGTGGACGAACACATTGACCATTATCAATGGTACGTAACTTCCTATCTGCATTTGCATTGATTGTATAAAATAAATTGTTAATCTAGGTTCGGATGCACAACTTGCAGCTGCTCTATCAGGCACACAACTAGTTAATGCTGCCGAAATCATACGTTATACATATTCTGGATGGTCTTCTGAAGATATTTTCAAGTTCGAAAACATGCTCGTGAACATCTTCTATCCACCTACAAGTCAGACAACTCCAACCCTGGAGCAACAGTATCCATTGTAAGCATTATTTTTCGCTGAAAATCAATTGATTCGTTTATTAATGAGTATTCACTTTTCTTTTAGTGAAGCTAATTGGGGCACAAGCGGTGAGAAAGCAATTATTGCTTTCGGAATTTTTCTCAATAATCGAACGATGTATCAGTATGGAAAAAGTCTTATCAACAGTTCCAAGTGTGCAAACTTGACTGGTACAATCAATCCCGAAGGTCAAGCATCAGAATCAGGAAGAGATCAGGCGCATACACAACTCGGTATAGGAAACCTAGGAGAAGCCTTCCAAATGGCATGGAACCAAGGCGAAGACTTGTTTTCACTTGTTGATAATCGTTTATTAGCTGGCTTTGAATACACAGCAAAATACAATCTTGGTTACACGGTTCCTTACAATGAGAGCTTCTATCGATGCGACGCTTTCCTAGTTGGCGGACCCTGGCCAATCATTTCAAACACCACTCGTGGTATGTGGCGTCCTATCTGGGAACTTCCGTATGCTCACTATGGTTCGATTAAAGGTTTATCAATGCCATTTACTCTCCAGCAAGTAAGTTTTTGGCAATTAAAACCAACAGGACACTTTTCACTTTTAATAGATCAAACGCAATTCTCCTGATGGACCTAATCCCGCCAATGCGATCGCGGACAATGCGGCCTGGGAGACTTTACGCTTTCGTCTCGATCCAACCCTGTAAATCTTTATCTTTTAACGCTCTTCGAAAATTTATACATGAGTTTTCGAAGAAAGCACGGATTATCTTTATTACACCAGATGGAAATAAATGAAAAAAGTAGCAATCAACTTCTATTGATAGTTCAGGACAACCCTTCTACATCTCAAAGAGAATAACTAATATCCCTCGAGTGACGATGGCAAATCAGACTGTTGTCACCCACTAATTGTGAGTTTCATTATCACAAAATTTCGATCGAACTCCATTGAAATAACGAAGAACTGTTTGGATATCTGGTTATATTTTCTCGAAAGACGTATGCCCTGTAAGAAATTGCGTTTTGGGAGTACAGATTCTGTTTAAATAAATTTCCTGATTAGTTTCTCTAATTGATTTATTCAAAGAAGTCGTCAATGGAGAAAAAAAACCCTATACAGTACAATAAATGTCTCATTCAGTTAATGAATTTTCCTTCCGTCGTCATTGTACAGAAGGAAAAAACCTGTGAGTCATATATTTGCGTCATTACACAAGTTTGACGCGATAATATAAGAACCTATCGATTCTTTTTTTCTTTACTTTATATACCAATACAATGCCGACGCGACTGGAAGATTTACCGAATGAAGTGCTCTTCGCGTGCTTTGATCATCTCAATGCGTATGAGATCTATGAATCATTTTCGAAGTTAAATACTCGTTGTGATGATCTTATTGACAACATTGGTCTTTATCTCAATTTCACCAATACTTCAAAAACAAAATTTGATAAGTTTTGTTTGAAATTGTTATTGAACCCTCGAATAGTGTCATGTGTAAACAAATTAATGCGTTTCTTTCGTTCTTCTCATTAGACGAATTTTCTCATCTTCGATTATTATCTTTGTCTGGTATAAATGATAATCATCTGAAAATGCTCAAGTCAACTCTTCCATCAATGCCTCAATTATCTTCTGTCTATTTAGAATCCCAAAGTCCAATGAATGAGATATTCTCTCCAACGAATGTCTACTTACCAATCACGAACTTAACAACACAATATCTCGAATTCTCTGAGCTACTTCAGATCCTTCACGATCTTCCACTGTTGAATTGTCTTAATGTAGGATACATTAATTCAGAATACGATTCTGATGAAGACTTATCTAATCAATTGTGCAATGCTGTTCATTTGCGAAAACTCAATATCAATGAGTTTCCATATTCATTTGAAAAGATCAAGATGTTATTGCAATGCACACCTAATTTAGCCCATTTAGCATTATCCGCCCACAATAACTTGAGTATGTTCGATGCTCATCAATGGGAAGATCTGATAGTATCATCATTACATAATTTGAATGCATTCAAATTTTCTTTTACTACCACTAATGCTAATAAAAACATAATGTCGAAACTGAAACAATTTCGAAGTGATTTTTGGCTAAAAAAACANACAAAAAAAAAACATTCTAAGTGGTTCGTTTGTTTTTCCATCTCAATTTTGCGCCTTTTATAATGAACGAATTTCGACTAAGTTTAATTTTGCCTGAAACTTAATTCTGCCTATGACATAATCGTAAGGAAGAATGAAAGAACAGGAGAATAAATCAAATAATAAAGTGAGATTTTTTAAATTGAACCAACGCAACATATTCTTTCCTTTACCATATGTTTTAATCTAAAAGGAGTACAATCTTCTCTCGCTATTGAAACTAAGTTAGGATAGTTTTCTTTTATTTACGCTTTTCGTCTACAACAATTTGGCTATCATCTATGTGATCGCATGATATGCTAGATGTTATTTATCCTTTTACCTAAACTGTTTGGAAAGAGCTAAAACGGCTGGATAAAAGATGCAGTTTGATCTGGTAGAACTTCACTTGAGACAGCTCGGTTTTTTGTAAAGGGCATAAAATTTTTCATTGAATACAGTGAGAATACTAATAGAAATACATTTACACAAAATATATGCGGAGCAGCATTGAATTTCTTATTCGCCGTTGTATTCTCAGCCATCGTGTTATTTGGTAAACGATAACATGCAGAATCAATGAAAATATCCAACTCGATCAACGTGATCTAGATTGTATATGCTCTAACGCTGAAATCTATTAATTTCGATCAATGTTGAGAAAAAATATACGCACTACACCCTGCAAAGGCAAGAGAATTTATCATTCTACTAACCTTATTGTAGTACTCGATTGTTTGCATCAACGAATGTGGAAATTAAATTAAATACACTGATAACAATGCGCCTTTAATGTATAGGGAACGTTGTTTACTTCACGATATGATATCTCACGGCAGAACGAACAAATTTCTATTGTTAGCAGTTTGCGCCTTTTACTTTTCAAGTTTAATATACAGCAAAGCAGATGAATATTCATGCAATTTTGTCGTTATTAATCTTTGTACTGGTGAAAGCCAAAGATTCGGACAGTTTCATCCATCCTGGATTACTGCACAGTTCAACTGATCTTCTGCGCATGAGATCAATGGTGACTGCTGAAAGGGAACCATGGAACACGGCATTTTTGTCTTTTGCAGCTGATAGCCACTCATCATTGTCTTATTCCATTCAAGGTCCAGATACCATTGTCACGCGCGATCGAAAAATGTCTAATGCCGGGAACAACCATCTCGCACATGATTCAGTGGCGGCGTTACAGTTAGCATTGATGTACTCCATTACTAGTAACGTCTCCTATGCAGCACTAGCAACTAGAATCCTGGTATCGTGGACGAACACATTGGCCATTATCAATGGTACGTAACTTCCTATAATCTGCATTTGCATTGATTGTATAAAATAAATTGTTAATCTAGGTTCGGATGCGCAACTTGCAGCTGCTTTATCAGGCACACAACTAGTTAATGCTGCCGAAATCATACGTTATACATATCCCGGATGGTCTTCTGAAGATATTTTCAAGTTCGAAAACATGATCGTGAACATCTTCTATCCACCTGCAAGTCAGACGACTCCAACCCCGGAGCAACAGTATCCATTGTAAGCATTATTTTTCGCTGAAAATCAAGTGATTCGTTTATTAATGAGTATTCACTTTTTTTTAGTGAAGCTAATTGGGGCACAAGCGGTGAGAAAGCAATTATTGCTTTCGGGATTTTTCTCAATAATCGAACGATGTATCAGTATGGAAAAAGTCTTATCAACAGTTCCAAGTGTGCAAACTTGACTGGTACAATCAATCCCGAAGGTCAAGCGTCAGAATCAGGAAGAGATCAAGCGCATACACAACTCGGTCTGGGTAACCTAGGAGAAGCCTTCCAAATGGCATGGAACCAAGGCGAAGACTTATTTTCACTTGTTGATAATCGTTTATTAGCTGGCTTTGAATACACAGCAAAATACAATCTTGGTTACACGGTTCCTTACAACGAGAGCTTCTATCGATGCGACGCTTTCCTAGTTGGCGGACCCTGGCCAATTATATCAAACACCACTCGTGGTATGTGGCGTCCTATCTGGGAACTTCCGTATGCTCACTATGGTTCGATTAAGGGTTTATCAATGCCATTTACTCTCCAGCAAGTAAGTTTTTGGCAATTGAGATCAACAGGACACTTTTCACTTTGAATAGATCAAACGCAATTCTCCTGATGGACCTAATCCTGCCAGCGCGATCGCGGACAATGCCGCCTGGGAGACTTTACGCTTTCGTCTCGATCCAGCCCTGTAAATCTGTATCTTTCAATTCGACTTACTTTTCTACTTGTTTTAACGCTCCTCGAGATTTTATACATGAGTTTTTGAAGAAAGCACGGATTATCTTTATTATACCAGATGGAAATAAATGAAAAAGTAGCAGTCAACTTCGATTGATGGTTCAAGATACTCCCTTTACATCTCAAAGAGAATAACTAACATTCCTTGAGTGACGATGGCAAGATCGAACTCCATTGAAATAACGAAGAACTATTTAAATATCTAGTCATATTTTCTCAAAAGATGTATGCACTGTAAGAAATTGCGTTTTGGGAGTACAGATTCTGTTTAAATAAATTTCCTGATTAGTTCCTCTAATTGATTTATTCAAAGAAGTCGTCAATGGAGAAAAAATTCTATACAGTGCAATAAATGTCTCATTCAGTTAATGAATTTTCCTTCCGTCGTTATTGTACAGAAGGAAAAAAGCTGTGAGTCATATATTTGCGTCATTACAAAAGTTTGACGCGATAATATAAGAACCTATCGATTCTTTTTTCCTTTACTTTATATACCAATACAGTGCCGACGCGACTGGAAGATTTACCGAATGAAATGCTCTTCGCGTGCTTTGATCATCTCACTGCGTATGAGATCTATGAATCATTTTCGAAGTTAAATACTCGTTGTGATGATCTTATTGACAACATTGGTCTTTATCTCGATTTCACCAATACTTCAAAGACAAAATTTGATAAGTTTTGTTTGAAATTGTTATCGAACCCTCGAATCAAAGATCAAATTCGTTGTTTAAAACTCTCGAATAATTTCACATGTAAACAAATTGATGCATTTCTTTCGTTCTTCTCATTAGACGAATTTTCTCATCTTCGATTATTATCTTTGTCTGGTATAAATGATAATCATCTGAAAATGCTCAAGTCAACGCTTTCATCAACGTCTCAATTATCTGCTGTCTATTTAGAATCCCAAAATTCAATGAATGAAATATTCTCTCCAACGAATGTTTAACAACACAATATCTCGAATTTTCTGAGCTACTTCAGATCCTTCACGATCTTCCACTGTTGAATTGTCTTAATGTAGGATACATTAATTCAGAATACGATTCTGATGAAGACCTATCTATTCAATTGTGCAATGCTGTTCATTTGCGAAAACTCAATATCAATGAGTTTCCATATCCATTTGAGAAGATCAAGATGTTATTGCAATGCACACCTAATTTAGCCCATTTAGCATTATCCGCCCACAATAACTTGAGTATGTTCGATGCTCATCAATGGGAAGATCTGATAGTATCATCATTACATAATTTGAATGCATTCAAATTTTCTTTTAGTACCACTAATGCCAATAAAAACATAATGTCGAAACTGAAACAATTTCGAAGTGATTTTTGGCTAAAAAANGAAAAGATCAAGATGTTATTGCAATGCACACCTAATTTAGCCCATTTAGCATTATCCGCCCACAATAACTTGAGTATGTTCGATGCTCATCAATGGGAAGATCTGATAGTATCATCATTACATAATTTGAATGCATTCAAATTTTCTTTTACTACCACTAATGCTAATAAAAACATAATGTCGAAACTGAAACAATTTCGAAGTGATTTTTGGCTAAAAAAACATCAATGGTTTACAGACTATGTCTTAAGAGAAGGTTCAGCAATGATTTGTACATTACCTTACCATTTATCTTCATGCATGTTGCAGTCGTATAAAGAAAAATATTTCGACCAATCCAAGAGAAAACACCAACGATTTAGTTACGTTAAAACATATCAATCGATTTTAATATTATATCTGAAGACACGGAATGCTATATTCCATGTGCTGATTCTCTGATTTTAACATCAAAAGCTGGACTTGATAAAACCGAAACAACACAATTCTGCGAGAAGAAATACCTCGGAATATTAAAAACGATTGTCAATTTATCAAATATACGGTCTTTGCGGATTCCAAAGATGAATCAGGGAGACTTGTCATTATTATTGACAGAGATCTTGAAAGAAGCTCCATGATTGACATCATTGTCTCTGCACGCAAAGGATTTGCTCGAATTATGCAACAATGAATTATGTCTAGACTTGAACGAAAGGATCACAAATTTGCATCTGGATACGGATACAGTGACCTCATTTAGAGATTATGATGAATTAAACCGTTTTTGTAAAAGATTCCCAAGTATTTCACAAATGACTTGTAGATTCGACAAATTAAGAAGAATGTTGTATTTAATGAAGCAATTGTCCAACTTATCGGTAGTTAACGGCATTTTTCCACAGTTTTGGTATTCTCATGATTTATCCTTTCGATTTGGAACACTAACATCCGAATGGAATGCAGTATATGAAGTGGATTATCTGGAAACCAGTTTGAGACTTCATGTTTGGATCGGTAGAGAATGATTCATTGATATTTTATAACATTTTCTTTTAATCGACTAGTATTGTGTAAATTACTACAAATAAAATCGTTCGCGAATAAAATTCTTTAGCATAATTCGTTTTGTGATCAAAAGTGACAATTGTACTTCTGGATAAATCACAGTTAAGGAAGAATTTGCTAGAATAAATTTCACTCAGATGATTCCTTGTGAGCTAATATAACCAAACTTTCTAGAATCCTGTTCAATAGATGGAATAGACTGCACCAGATCCGAATTAAACTACTTACAATCGACTTTTTAACAATTCATATAATACTACATCTGCGGGTTCATGTAGATTTCTTACATGGGAGAAAATTGAATGAGATGGAAAGCAATGAGCTCTACATGACAGTTTTTTCTATCGATCACATCTTATAGGAAAAAGAAGGAAAGATTCGATAGTAGGATTCTGAAGACAAGTTCGAGGGGTGAAGTATATCACGTGATATGCGAGTTACCCAATATTCGAACAAACATTCTAGGAATGTATAGTGACAATATACTTGAGGCCAATCAGCGCCATCTAGGAAAGACTTTATCCTAATGGCTGAACTAACCATATCAGCTATCAATTTACGTTATTTTGCTCTTTTTCAATCTACTCACTGCAATCCTATCAAAGCAATGTCAAGCTGTTCCCAATACGGAAACAATTTCGTGAGCTTTTAATTATACGATCCACTTCCCGGTCGAGAGAACCACAAAAATAACGAAAACTAATAACAAAAATTTGTTTTCGAAAATAATTGAGGCATTTGATTGATTTCCCAATGAATTATTGTTCATTGTTTTTTTCGAGCATAATTCAATGTTTAAATCTTTATATTTTGGAAGAGTTGGTAAAATCTTCGATTCAATCCCATTTCCTCGATAGATTGTGACATCACGTTGAGCTGTATCATAGAATTGTTGCCATTCAGCAGCTAATTGAGATGTCCATGTAAGGTTCATCATCCATTGCTCTAAGTCATTATTCGTTATATTTCTATTTAATACAAAAATTATATTAAGCATTTATAATACTCAGAAAGTAAACAGAAAGACGCCTTATCTAATCAAGAAAAGATCAAAAGAGACTCGTTTTGTTCTTCAAATATCTTTTAAGAATCTCATAAAAGTTGTTTAGACAAATCATTACCGCACATGGTTCAGTTGATCTTCGTCTCCTTTTAATACTCACAATGATGTATTCATTTTCATTTGCCATGACTTGACATCAATTCTTGACATACATGCTGATAGACTATCAACTAATGGATAATACGAGAATGTATGTGAACACATTTCATCAACAGTTCTTTGGCCACCCTACAAAAAGAAAAAAAAAGAAAACCATTGAAATCTTCGTTTTTTCAAAATATATAAACCAATGTCATTTCTTTCTTATTGACTGTATTATATACACAACGAGTAGCGAATGCATCGCCCTAGAAATATCAATTTTGATTGTTGAACAATGATAATTTGTTTTTTCGTTACTGGATAAACTTTAATTAGTTTTGCCAATTGATTTGCAAATTGATGATTGAAATCGAAAGCTTCTGCATTGAATAAATACTGAACAGCTGTATGATTTCGAATTAATTTAGTCCAGACGGTGGAACCTGTACACAAGCTTATCTTTTTACATTCACAAAATGTTATATTTGTACCTTGTAAGTGAGTATGTGGCAAGGCAGATATGACATTAACGCCAGACGAAGGAAAATTCTAAATGAAGATAATGTTAAACGATACAATAATCAAATGATATTCCTACACGAGTTGCTTCAGGAGGACAATAAGAATCGACAACAAATTGTTTGACATTTGGTGGAAGAGCCAAACTTGATGGATAAGAAGACGTTCCCAATACTAAATAGCCCATATCATTTTCTCGAAGATTATCTCCAAGATAGAATCGAATTCCTGAACTATCTCTTAGATCTATAGAAAGATATGAAGACTAAATATGAAGAATAATTCTATTACTTGATAGTAAGCGTGGATTGTCGTAATGTATTTTAATCATGAAATATTTCGAACCAATATCGGTATTAATCGCATATCCAGCTTCTTTTGGATACATGGTCACCTATAAGGAAACATGTTCTAACTCTCAACAATAAACGCTTTTTTTTCTCGAAGCGCGTGACGCAATGCAAGAGAATTTTTCCTACCACGTCAGCACCGACTGCCCAGGCCGTAGCTAAATTTAACGAGCACATTCTCACTCTCGTGAGAATCTCATCACAAATTCCGTCGGGTAAATTCGTATCATCAAGAATTTCTTTCGAATTACATTCAAACAAATCTAAATGATGTAAAAGATTGATGTTTCTTGGATCAATCAATATTTCATGCTACAAAAAAGATGAAACAGCCAACATGGTTTTTTTAGCATAAATCAAATTTACTGCTATGGCATGTCTCTTCGCATGAAATCTCGTTGGACTCTTGAATACTTTACAATAATATGTTGTATCTGTCGATGGAACCATAAGCTGAATGAAAACAAGAAAAGCAATGAGAAAGAACGGGTTATATTCTTACTAACATCTTCAAAATGTAGATCAAAGAAATCCAATTGATTAAATATATTCTCCATCGGTTGGTTAGAATAAGATCGAAGCGGTAATATCCGTGTACCGCGTCGTTCTTCATGATAGGTTATATCAATATCAGGATCAACAAGACCGTATGCAAATATCAAAATATTTGTGCCAGACTATTTCATCACATGTTCATTATTTTAAAACGAGAATAACAATTATACGGTTACTTTTATTGGAACATCCATTGGATCGCATGAATCGAACGCCCGTTTGAATTGTGTGGCAGTCCATCCGTTCTTNACAGAGATCTTGAAAGAAGCTCCACGGCTGACATCATTATCTCTGTACGCAAAGGATTTGCTCGAATTATGCAACAATGAATTATGTCAAGACCTGAACAAAAGGATCACAAATTTGCATCTGGATACTGATACAGTGACCTCATTTAGAGATTATGATGAATTAAATCGCTTTTGTAAAATATTTCCAAGTATTTCACAAATGACTTGTGGATTCGACAAATTAGAAAGAATGTTGTATTTAATGAAGCAATTGTCCAGCTTATCGGTAGTTAACGGCATTTTTCCACAGTTTTGGTATTTTCATGATTTATCCTTTCGATTTGGAACACTAACATCCGAATGGAATGCAGTATATGAAGTGGATTATCTGGAAACCAGTTTGAGACTTCGTGTTTGGATCGGTAGAGAATGATTCATTGATATGTTATAACATTTTCTTTTAATCGACTAGTATTGTGTAAATTACTACAAATCAAATCGTTCGCAAATAAAACTCTTCAGCATAATTCGTTTTGTGATCAAAAGTGATAATTTGTACTTCTGGATAAATCACAGTTAAGGAAGAATTTGCTAGAATAAATTTCACTCAGATGATTCCTTGTGAGCTAATATAGCCAAGCTTGCTAGAGTCCTGTTCAAGAGATGGAATAGACTGCACCCGATCCGAATTAAACTACTTACAATCGACTTTTTAACACTTCATATAATATTACAGCTGCGGGTTCACATAGATTTCTTACATGGGAGAGAATTGAGTGAGATGGAAAGCAATGAGCTCTATATGACAGTGTTTTTTAATATCGATCACATCTTATAGGAAAAAGAAGGGAAGATTCGATAGTAGGATTCTGAAGACAAGTTCGAGGGGTGAAATATATCACGTGATATGCGAGTTACCCAATATTCGAACAAACATTCTAGGAATATATGGTGACAATATTCTTGAGGCTAATCAGCGTCATCTACGATAGGACTTCATCCTAATAGCTGAACTAACCATATCAGCCATCAATTTACGTTGTTTTGCTCTTTTTCAATCTAATCACTGCAATCCTATCAAAGCAATGTCAAGCTGTTCCCAATACGGAGACAAATTCGTGAGCTTTTAATTATGCGATCCACTTCCCAGTCGAGAGAACCACAAAAGTAACGAAAACTAATAACAAAAATTTGTTTTCGAAAATAATTGAGGCATTTGATTGATTTCCCAATGAATTATTGTTCATTAGTTTTTTCGAGCATAATTCAATGTTTAAATCTTTATATTTTGGAAGAGTTGGTAAAATCTTCGATTCAATCCCATTTCCTCGATAGATGGTGACATCACGTTGAGCTGTATCATAGAATTGTTGCCACTCAGCAGCTAATTGAGATGTCCATGTAAGGTTCATCATCCATTGCTCTAAGTCATTATTCGTTATATTTCTATTTAATACAAAAATTATATTAAGCATTTATGATACTCAGAAAGTAAACAGAAAGATGCCTTATCTAGCCAAGAAAAGATCAAAAGAGACTCGTTTTGTTCTTCATATATCTTTTAAGAATCTCATCAAAGTTGTTTAGACAAATCATTACCGCGCATAGTTCACTTGATCTTCGTCTCATTTTAATACTCACAATGATGTATTCATTTTCATTTGCCATGACTTGACATTAATTCTTGACATACATGCTGATAGACTATCAACAAATGGATAATACGAGAATGTATGTGAACACATTTCATCAACAGTTCTTTGGACACCCTACAAAAAAGAAAAAAAAAGAAAACCATTGAAATCTTCGTTTTTTCAAAATATATAAACCAATGTCATTTCTTTCTTATTGACTGTATTATATACACAACGAGTAGCGAATGCANGGTAATATCCGTGTACCGCGTCGTTCTTCATGATAGGTTATATCAATATCAGGATCAACAAGACCGTATGCAAATATCAAAATATTTGTGCCAGACTATTTCATCACATGTTCATTATTTTAAAACGAGAATAACAATTATACGGTTACTTTTATTGGAACATCCATTGGATCGCATGAATCGAACGCCCGTTTGAATTGTGTGGCAGTCCATCCGTTCTTTTCTTGTGCACCAAGGAGAAACCAATCCTGTGTTGTATTATCAATCATAGGTTTGGTTTTACCAAATACAAATCTATCCTTCAAATAGACCATTCATTTTACGCATTGCAAACATAATTGAATTTACTTCAATGAACGATTTTCCAGACGATGTGACCCAACTAACGGCTATATCAGCATCTTTCATACCTCCAGCTAAGTAGAATGTTTTACATGCATCAATATATTCGATTTCTTCCTACCTGGACTAATTCCTAGGGCAATCCATCCAGTTGTTTTTACATGTAATTCAAAAAGAATTTGATGTTCTTCTTCGTTGACTGTCCACCAAAGCTGGACGCAATTCTTTTCAAGTTCTATTGTATGATCATGTACGCTTAATGGTTCGATCGGACTAGATATTCCCATAACTATTTTCGTCGTAATTAACGAAAAATAATAATAATAGAGTAAAATTTTAGACGACATCAAACGATTCTTTTCAATTGAATTAGATCAAGTCACGGCATTATTTATACGAGGATTCTATCGAATCGAGTTTAATCACTTAAATCCTCTTAATACATCTCGAGTAGAACTTTATCCTATTCGATGCTTTGCTTTCTCCATCTTTTAGTTGACAAAAAGGATTTCTAAATATTTGCATTCGTTAACATTAAGATAAAAGGAATCGTGTTGATCTTATTAAAATATAAATAAAGTAGGCCAATAATGTATTTTTGGACAAAAGACGATTGTATTCCTCTTTGAATCGAAAGACATCTTTCGACGAAATGTTTTCCGGCAAAAATGATTCATATAAACAATTTCGTTTCTTTGTACAGTCTTCGAAGAGAATGACTCATCATGACATTATAGTTTTGCAATTGTCCGAGAAACAGTAGTAATTTCATGAAAATTCCATCAGTTTCTACGCACACTTTCTTCCGAGTATTGTTAATCAAGCAATATTTACGAGGAAGAAATTTCTGCATATTATTCAGTGTTAATCATCTCCAAATAGCTATCCTTGTGAACGTTAATATTATGTCAACTTCTTGTTCTTATATTCTATCGCGCATAACCAAAATAATTCACTCGTCATTGAAGCAATTGTATAGCACGAATATTCGACCAGTCATCTTGTGTGGAACACAGAAGGATGCTCCAGCTGTTTTAGAACTGTATAAAAAGGCTGCAGCTGCGTATCCAGATAGTCTGACTCCAGCAGATTGACGAACACTTTGCCTTTCCTTCAGTCCATGCTTCATCAAGTTTCTTTATGTGGTTTGGCTTTATTAATGTGCGAGAACGGCGCTTCAATTGGCTTTCTCAAAGCATACACGAGTAAGTACCGTCGTCAAGCTCATATATTAGGTAATGCAACAATTTTGATGGACTCTACTGTTGAAATCTTTATAATAAGTCATTCACATACGTTGGATATCTTTGAGCAGGATCCGACGTTTTCTTGAGCCGATTCATTTCAGTATATGTTCCAACCGAACTAACACTGGTTCCAAGTACAACTTGATGAGGTCTATCATTTCCAACCATAAAATTTTTCACCTATACACACCCACCAATCAATCGACAAGATTTTCCAACTACGTAATAGGAAAAAAGGAAATTTTAACGTTGATGAGTTTTACACGCGAGTTTCTTAATGACTCTCACAATTAATATAGGTAAATGTATATAAGTGAATGTATAGGATTGATTTTCGGTTCTCTCCGTTCAGCTCAATTGATGTATATTTGCTATTGAGTAAACATCGCATGAGAATTAGATGAAACCGAGAGTATGTGATTTCTTCGTCGTTTAATTATGTACGAGCTGGTTTATTGTATGGACAATCTGACGACGAAACTGTTTTTATGCAACGTAGTAACAATAGAAAGAACTCTGGAAAAACGACAAGTAAAGATTGTTTTTGACACAAATCCAGTCACTTACTGCACATATGCCGTATATATGTGGATATTGAAAAAACGTTTCAGCGAGATTGTCTCGAAGCTGCCGCTGAGGACTTTTAACGAACTTGGTGGTACTAACGAAGTGACCTGTCGCCACACCAGATAGAAGTTGAAATATTAACACAGCGGTAATTTGATACAATGCCATTCTCGCCATTTATCTGGCAAAATTCAACAGAAAACGAACGTTTCCCGCCGTGATCGAACGCAAGTGTCGATAATCACGAATATCGGAATACATGTAATTAACACTAGTGCTGCTATGTACATGTGATAGGATAAATAAATGACGCCGGCTACTGTACAGACAGTTGTTCCATGAACACGGACCATGAGGTGATGAAATAGACACTCACAGATTGTAGACAAAGATATGTGATTCATAAGCGAAAGATCCACACCGAAGCCTTGACTAAAGATTCAAGTACTCAGTCCAACAAGAAGAAAGACAAGATCGAATATCGATCTAGCAAGCATATGTAAAGAGCAGGCATGATGTTTGTAATGGCCGACGGTGAGAAAAGCCAGAAGATTTAGACAGTTACCAATAGTGCCACAAATAATGATCACAAAACCTAAAACAAGACTCAGATATTTCGAAAGAACGTGAAATTGAAAGTTGTTTGCTGCACTGCCATTGCTCTTGAAAAACATTTTACAAAATGTACTAGCGAACTGAAGAGAGTGTATTTGTAATGACGCGAATGTGCAGCACGCAAACTGAAGTACTTATTTCCTATGATAGAAGTTTTCTGCAACTCTAATGCGCGCGTTAGTTCATGGCCAATTAAGCTGATGCACTGATTGATTAAAATTAAAGAGAGATCGATTTTGTGGTTGTGATAGTTAATTGTTCGCTTCTCTACGTTCTGAAAGCTTTCTTTTAAAGCTATGCTGAATTCTAAATAAAAATGTTAGCAATAAATGTTCTCTTGGTCCGATCGTATTATACATTGTTTTTTTATTGAGTCGTCTGCTCTTTCCGCCATTGCAATCGTTAGAATATTTATATTACCAGATACAATACTTGACATAATACTGGCGTCAACCACACGTAGACCTTTAACTCCCATCACCCGTATGTCCGGTGTGACAACAGCCGTTGGATCCTGATCTTCATTGTCGAATGTATCAGCTCCATCCATTTCTTCTGCCGACGATGTAATTGCACTTCTCAATGGTTCAGTCTATAGTAAATTTCAGTCGCTTTTTTTGGATCCCTCCACCCTTACCCGAACCTCTCTGTCTGTGCTAATTAATTCGGATTGATCAGTGGATGTGCACGAGGATCAGCACTAGTTAGAGTGATTTTACCAGTTCACTACGGATGAAGTAACGTGAGTAGTTGAACAACAGTTGATTGTTGTCCGTCCACAAGATGTGGTTTGAAATATTGTTCGAAAACTTCTGGTTCGATATTAAGATTTTGGAAGAGTACAGTGTCCATTGTGGGCGGGCAAAAATGCGTTTGGATATCGGGCACTTTTGTCTTCTCTGGGAACGGAAGTGAAAACGGAGAGAGAGGAAGAGAGAGAAAAGAATGAATTTAAATTACTCTTACTATCACTTCCATTCACTTGACGCCAAGATTGTGATTCGACCACACACGATATTAGACAACCTTGTCCTTCAGTTGCTCATCGTTGTAAGTTTGCCGGTGTTAAATTACGACTGGAAAGCGTTGGTGTTTGAGTGAGATAAACGATGATCGTACACAGATGATCTTGTAGATTCACAACCAACGGAATCTGATGTTTCTGTAGTTCTTCTCGAAGATCAAATTTCCCATCGTTAAACGTGATAGTTTTATATTTATAATATAAGTCGAATTAGGCAACTCATGTTGTTTCGTGTCTTCTGTGAGTTTGTATTGTAAATTCAGACAGTTGTTGGAAGATTTTTGTATGCAATAAACATTCCTAAGTTCACGCTTCGATGCTCTCTTTTTTTTGCATTACAAAATAGATGGCTCAATTAGAATCGATGTCATAAAATGCATTTTATATAAACATGAACGAAAACAATGCGTCTGCTATAACTACATTACATATCAATCGTGTAAGATATTTTATTGATTCAATTTTAACAAAAGATCAATCGAAAAATCCCTCTAAACAATATTTTATTTGTAAAAGGAAATTTATGGCAATCGAAAAGTGATTTCGCATTCTAAGACCGTTTCCATTGGTGTTTTTTGCCATGTGCCTATAAGAACAAACTAAAGCTTCAGAAAATTTCCATGAGCACCATCTTGTATGCCTAACCGTCTTTTTTTTCAACCTACATAAAGAAAGGGTGTAAAACCTTCCAACAAGCTACATGTGGATACTCGTTTTACGAATATACTATTAAGGATGGACAACAGAAAGATAAAAAGGAATGATTTTCTTTCGCTCAGTTGTTGTTATCTACATTATAGTTATCCACATGTTTTCTAGGTATAAGAACGAATGAAAAATAACAAAATATATAGTCAAACGTGTTGAACTGACCTTTTCTCCTTTTCGCATAAGTACACACATACGTATTTCTTTTCTTTCTCTATACTGCAGGTTGACGCAGAAGTAAACATAGTGGATTATCGTGCACCATTCTTTTCATTATAATATCTACATTTCAGATCTTTTTTTGCAACAAAAAGTACACCGTTGACAAAATGACATCTTTATCGAAGGTCATCCACGATGTGGAATTCCAACATTATGCCTATTCACCCACTGGCGAGTTAGGTACCAGACGATTATCATCATGTGTAGGTATCATCATCGTTTTCGCTAATCGCACTGTATTGATTGAGCACCGGTCGGCTAGTGAACTATGGGATGAAGGGGAAAGTTTTGAACCAAAAGATTTATTTGAAGATATTGTCGATGACATTATTGCAATGAAACAACATCATTTGAATATCAGGTATATTGATTTTGATTAATAGACAGGGAACAGAACACTCTGTCACGGTCTGATCGTTTTCTGATGTGAAGAAAAAAAAAATTATATGAAAGTTATTCGCCATTGGACTGTTAGAATCCCAGGTTATTATGGCACGGTCGGTTCCGGCCGGTTAGGTTCGTTTTCCGGCCATTTCCTTGCCGCCAGATTCCGGTCGGAAATTCAAACGTAGGTTCCAGTCATTTTCCGACCGTTTCCTGCAAACTTCGAGCTGGAATCGGCGAAAACTGTGCCGGAATCGAGAAGAGCTGTACCGGATCCGACTCAGATTTCAACGGATCCAGTCGCCGGAATGATCGACCTAGGATATCCTAAACTAGAAATAGATCGTGATTTGACTAGTGAAGATTCATCGTCCAATTCCTCTCAATTTATCTAGCAGCTTTTGGAAAAGAGCAAAAAATGAAATTTCTTTTCTTCTTAACTTAGTTGCGTTCTCATTATCGGTGGTTGCAGTGGTAACACACAGAAACAGGTTCAAGCTTCTTTGGTAAAAACTCGTGAAGATTTTCTCAATAAAAACAAACACGAATCGAACTCATCGAACGATCTTTTGTTACAAATTTATCGTGCTACAAAGGTTTTGGATGTATGCCGGTCAATCGAAGAAAAGGACGAATATCGTAAGAATGATCAATTTATCGATGTATTAATCACACATGGACGAAATGATAGTCTGTACCTTGTTCTTCGACAGTGTGTTCATTTGTTCGACGAGAATACCGAACAAAAAACAGCTATTTGCTGCGGTTATCTACAATATGAATTGCCTGTCGATCATGATCTAAGTATGCAACAGGATGGTTTCTCGCTAGCTGGCGCTCAGTTTTACGTTAACAAGGACATCTTGGGACAATATGAAAAGGGTAAATTATTAGTTTTTCTCAGTATTGTTTGTTTTCCAAGATCTTCAATTATTTGTGAACGAATATTCTGACACTGTTTTCTTTACGATGTTTTAGAAGAAAAAGATTATTCGATTATTCATGATACACTCATGAAATTCGATGAAAATGTACGAAATCTAGGCGCTGTATCGATCAACACCAATGCTATCGGTTTCATTATTTCAATTAACAGCATGTTCAATCATCTGGTAACATCGCTTCCCCCGGATCAGAGCTGGGCAACTCAACTCAAAAAGGTGTTTAATTCAATTCATTGAGAGTAATATGCAACTCAATTCGTCAATTCAGAAAAATTTTACCAATTCAACTCAACACAATTCATCAAATCAAAAAAGCATCTTCAACTCAACTCATTTTTTGAGTTGAATGAGTTGAGTTGAATTGAGTTGCCCAGCTCTGGTTTGATCTTTGCTCTTCGACAATATGTTAATTTGTTTGATGAGAATACAGAGCAAAAATTAGCTATTTATTGCGGTTATTCTCAATATTTCTTGTTTGACGATGCTGATACCAGTATATAACAAGATAATTTATACGTTAGCTGGTGCCGAATTCTATATTGACTACGATATTTTTGAACAGCATCCTCACGTATTCTACTTGGATCGCACTCCGGCCCAGAAATGCTGGAAATTATAGCACAATTGTGCAAAACTACGACACAATCGTTCAAAAATAGGTGATATGGTCATTAACTATTTTATTCTTCTTAGCTTAACTATGAACGACTTCTTTTTCTCAAATATATATTTGTATTCTTTGTTCGGGGTGAGGATAAGAATGTGATGGTGGATTCAAGAGGAAAAATGCCACTCAAACTCTCCACTATGATATTTCCTGTGAAATCTAAATCGGTCTCTACAAGATTGAATTATTGTTTTTTTATTTTCAAGTAAACATTCATTCCAGAAATCTCCACTTTTGCATTATTTGTTGTCAGACGAGTCTTTTGAAAGAGTTCTGCTAATAATGTTGAACGTTTCACATGATTTGTACGAAAATGAGCTTTGACAAGATGCTGAAGTCGATTGATAAGATAATACATGTCAATCCGAGTTTCAATATCAATCAATAAATCCTCTACTTTAGGAAATAGTCGACAAAATTGCTCAACAGTTTCACCAGACACTGGATTTGAATATGAAGAAAATTCGATTGATCGAATGCGTGGAAAACATGCAGATAGACCATCATCTAAAGCATTAAATTGCAGTGAATGAACATTTGGCATCTGTTCAAGTAAGATGCACGTATCAATGTCTAATCTTTCGATTTCAACTTCTTCGATTTGATGTAAATCAAGAAATAATGACAGAACATCAGGCTTGATTACACGAGTCTTATACCAGAATCGTACACCTTTCGCTTGTCGAAACCGATAATCAATTGGTCGTGTAAAACCATTGACGAACTTTCGAAACAATAAATGAACAACTTTCGAGAAAAACACTGATAAAGGAGCAGTTGAATAAACCGGAAAGAAATCGTCTTCGCTTTTGATTTCAACCGTTGTTGGTGAAAATTTTGGTATTGAACAAATGTGATTACCTATCAATGCAACCCACCAGTGTTTCTTTTCGCACCAAAATGGCGAACGAAATGAATTGATGATTCGACAAAGGCTTTCATGATCAGTTCGAACGAAACCTATTTGAAAGTCAAGTTTCTCCAGACCAGCAGCAAATTCTTCCCACTGATTTCCATCCAATAAGTCGCCAGAATAATAGCAATCAAGTTCCAGCCGCTTTAAATTGTTCAAAGCCAGAACTAGTCGTTTTAATGTTAAAATTGAAACTAAAAAACAAAGATATTAGTACAGTCATCGCGTGCTGACCTGAGGTCATGGATGACAAGTATTTATTCCTGAGTACATAGCTATGAAAATATATTGAGCTTACTTTGATTTATTTTGATAGAAAGACGATTTAGTGATTGAGAATGTCGCTGAAAGCTGAACAATAACTGTTTTGTACTAAATTTGTTAAAATCGAACTGAATGTAAAGCTCGATTAGAGAATTTCGATGGAGTCGCTGAAGAATCGTTTTCAGATAAAAGTTATCGATCGAATATAATTTCAAATTTTGAAGATGTTTTGGGAAGATATTTCGATTCAATATTGATCCCTGGTCAACTGATAAAGTTCGCAAAGATTTCGAATGGAGATCAATGAGTTGATAAAATCGATCGCCTGAATAAATGTCGCTTAAATATAAACGTGTCAAATGATTCGCTGGCAAACGTTTTAATTGGAATACAAACAAATCAATGCCTTCATTGGTTACATTATACACACTAATTGATCGAAGATTTCGAAACGATTTTAAATCGAATAAAGAAAGAAAATGTTGCATTTTCGGTGAAACACTTTCTTCATTCGACATGTCAAGATGAATGACACGTTCCGGACGAAGATGATTTTTTAACGAATCGAACATTTCTTGCGACATGAACCGAAGATTGATTGAATAGCGAAGATTATAATCACATAAGACTTTGTTGATATGTTTATTCACATTTGAAAATGAATAACTGATTTCCAATGGAGGAAAGTATGAAAATATTTCAAATAGGATTTCTTTTGGTAGACGATCGAGAAGACAAGGCATTCGTTCGAGAAAAAACAACTTACTGTTTTTTACTTTTCAAACATAGATAAGCTTGTCGTTGACGATTCTTTTATGTCCTTGTAAAAAGAAAGAGAAAAACAGCCCGTCATCTTTCGGCGATATCTCACGACATTTAACGGAATTTATGATGATTTTCATTTGGAAAAGGTATTTTATATAATGAGATATGATATCGACATTATTTTCCTGCAAAAATCCTTCACACATTCATGACGCATAGAAAATGAGTGATTCTTTCTCATATTGCATCTGTATGAATCGAAAAATACGAAAGTTCGCTGCAAATATTTATTCGATAAGAGACACGTCATAAAAATCATGTTAACAAAGTGTCTAAACGCAATCGAATTTCATGCAAATTTTCTATAATCTAAGCGAGAATCACTTTACATCTACTTTGCGCTTCATTTTCATGATTTTTGTTTCAACTAAAGAATACTTCCCAACTTGATTCATTTCAACTGCAAAATGAATTGTAAGGTTTGGTGAAATTTCTTGCTCTCCTCAATGCTCCCTTTGCTTTTGATTAATCTTTGCAGCAAATGAGTCCAATTTCTACTTCATTTAAAGATTGACAATCTCTTCAGATAGTTCAAGCGTTCAAATGGATAAAAAAGCAAATGGAATCAGATATCTTATCAATAAGCTGCAAGCGCCCATTCTATTGAAGAGAAATCTGACTCGTATCCGTTTGCGACTATTTTTAGTCAAGAGATAGCATTACCAACAATTCTTGGAGGTCTCAAACTATGCGACGAAGATCCAACGTCGAAAAATCCATTGAATAAATATAAATCAGTCGATACACTTTATGATGTTATTATTCGTATTAACAATTTATCGGATTTACGTTCTGAAGAATGGGAAATCTTAGTTGGTAAACATACCAAATGTGTCATACCAATTCCAGTAATAACAGATAATTCAAATGAACCATTAAAAGCATCGAGTGAAGTGAAGGAAGGAGTCGTCGCATATAACCGAGGGAAAACGTATTTATTGAGAAAACTTCGTAAAGTTGAACTTCCAAGTGGAAATTTAATGTCGACGGAAGGAACTTCGATTGCAGCTGGAAGAGAAACTATATCAATCTAGTCTTTTTGGACACAGCCGGTACAGACACACCGGTGAATAGCGCAGAAATTGAATTCAAACGTGCGACAGAAGCACTGCTGAGAGAAGTTGTTTTACACTTATTCACTTGCATCATCATTGTCGTTAATCGTTTACGTGCGACGGATCAAATTTCTATAAAAGAAATTCTAAAATATTGTCGACAGGATCCCGAGAGAAAAAAGACCATATCATTCTCGTTCATAATTTTCTCGATATTCAAACAATCGAAGATCTCGATCAAGTTATTCAAAATGAAACTATCAATATTTCTGAAGCGAAATTAACATCAATACCATTAGTTGTTGATCGTGCTCACAAAACGGTCGCTTGATGCTATTATGAATCTACTTCAAAATTCCGAAAGCAAACGTTGTCTCGATTTGCACAATGATATGATTAAATTTATCAATACAAAATTGGCACAGCTGTTCAAACAAGAGAACCAAACGCAGATTGTTCAAATCGATCGGCAATATCGATACGATCTAAACGTAGATCCAATTAGTTTAGAATTATCAGAAAAACTTGTTTATGATGATGCGGGTTATATCATTCGAAATGAGAGTCGACAATGAGAACCGAGATATAATTTATACGATGATCAGGGTCATTATTGTTTAGTTGTTGAAGTACCCGGCTTTCAGCAAAGAGAATTGAACGCAAAGCGCACTGAAAAATATATTTCAATTGGTGGAACACGATCTGATTTGAATCGATCGCTGATGAATCCGATCATTTGACAATAGGATATTCCTATTGGATCTTTTCAATTAAACGTACCATTTCATCAATATATCAATTTTGAATTAATGAGAATAGGACGTGAAGATGGTTTTTTTCGATTGACAGTTCCGTAGAGAAAGATCAATGAACTGGAGGAATATTTTTAAAATAACAATGAAAAACCAATCTAATCTTTTTATTTTATTCTGAACACATTTTGATGGAAATTTGACATAGTAATCAAGAAAAACATGGGTTGTCTTATTCGACATATTATATGAATGATTTTATCTACAAACTAGAATTACTTCGTATAAAACGTCAAGGATTCGAAGTTTCCTTAAATTTTGATCACGGAGTAATTGTACAAACATCATACCTTGCTAAGAATTCTTGAGCAGCATTTCTACTAAGAGCTCTCGGATGAGCATTACTTGTTGTTGTTTTTTTATGGAGAAAGAACATACACCTTATATCCGAATATCACCTTTTTCTTTCAAAATGTAACGACTGAAGAGATCTTTTCCAGATTGGAATAATCTTTCGAGAACTTCATAACTATAGACGCTACGTGTGTCGTTTTTTTTTTATTAAAAATCTCCAAAAAGAAAGAAATTCTGTGAAATAACATCATACAAGAAACGATTGTGAACAGTTTTTTTTTGAATAGTATAGGGCAACAACACAAACTGTCTTACGATCGTTAGTAAACACACAACATCAGTTCCTTGATTCAGTCTCCGAACTATTATTCTATCATCATTAAACAACCAAGACGAGCAAAATCGTACTGACTTAATTCTATAACCAATATCAGTAGAGATTCATATAGTCTAAAATCATACACATATAAAATAAAACATTTTTCAAAACAGTGTTTAAATTAATTTCATTTCTTATTTACTAAGCTTTTAGTTCTATTTCCCATTCGCAGATTTCTGAACAGAGTTGAAGTGAAAATAAAGTTTTGGAGAAAATAAACAACGACACACGCGATGTTTATCGCATGAGGATTCTACATATTAATGTCATTTTCTAAAAAAAGCTCTTTGGATTATATGGAAATCACGATCAAAATTCCATTGGACAAATCATCAGTTCGATTTCTCAAGAAACAACAAAAATCCCTTCGATAACAATTGAAAATATGAAATTACAATTATTAACAAAACAACAAATCAACTAACAAGACAAACACTCGTAAATCTCAACACTTTCACATTGTTTTCTCATTTGTGCTTCTTTGAAACAGATGATCGTGTCACAGAAATGTTTTTAATTATCGAAAGGTCTTCATTCTTTATCAACCAAAGTTCCCTACGAAGATGTTCAAATGGCGAGTCAACAACTTCTTCAACGTGCTACCAATATTTTAACAACAAACAGATTTGCTTTCCTTATTTCTTTGTAAATGATTGATATAGGGTGTCAACGCGGAGTTTTACAAAAGTGATCAAGTCTTTTGAAATCAGATTTTCGAAGTTTAACAAAGACATCCGATGATTATGATACAAATTTGGATTCTGATTGGTTAAATTTGAGTAAGTTGAGGATATTTTCACCTGATCAAATAAAATCTCTTTTCTGTTGAAAAATTATTTAGTGATGAAAACGATTTGTCAATGGAGAAAATTAATGAAAATCAAAATCGATTTTATCAAGAGAAGTTGGCGAAAGAAATCATTGAGAAAATCGATTAGATCACTTCATCGTTCAACATTCATTTCAATATCGGACAGAACATGATTCTCGAGATACACCAGAAACAATTGTTTCATTCGAAGCGATTTCAGTTGAATGATTTTCAAACAAATCAATAAAAGAAGTTGGAGGAGCGGAAATGCGTCTTTCATCAAATGTCATATCTTCTCTTGAAAAGAATTCAGCTAGTCATACTTGGTTTATGCGAAGTGACCTCATTCGAACTCAATGAATTATGCTCGAATGAAAATCGTTCAATTCCAATTGATCCAGTCTATTCACTTCAGATTATCAAACACGAATTTTACCTCTAGTTGTTATTATCATCATGAAGAAAATCATTAGTTTTCTACAAAAATTTTTAAACAATCTAAAGGGCGCAGTGTCACTATTAGCGTGCTTCGCAGTTTCTTTAAAACTCGGCCGATAGTATAAAACTACTGTCTATTCCGAAACTGAAAACATATATTGATTCGATTTCATAACGGAACTTTGGGACTCATGTATATCTCAAAGCATCCAAAATTTGTAGAAATTTCTAATACTTTCTGGCTTTTTCAGAATTTTCTTGTCGCTGTGCTTGCTCTCTAACCGAGTTCTGCGCACCTTTAATACTCGTACGATTTTCATACGAGTAGCAACTAATATCAATACGATCGATACAAATAGCATGGTTCATAACAACTTTATTCAAATAAGAGAAAATAATGACGAAAACAAAAGCAGTGTATGGAATACTATGTTGGATAAAGATATAGCAAAAGCATAATTTTCTTTTCTTTATACAAATAAATATGAAGCATTGTTCTCTAATTGATATCAAAGTCAACTTTCAACAGTTGGAACTATTCTATTTCGATTCATTCTATATTTCCGAATATAATAAGAAACGAATTCCACTACTCTTGGTATAACCAATTTAAGAACAGTCATCAAACCACCAACTAATCCGATAATTGTCGTCACTATATAAATCGGTCTATTCTTTGTCTCATACGTATAACTACATCGAGATGCTGCACATTCATTATAATAGTTTTCATATATTATTAACCAATCCCATTTCTCAACCATTAATTTGTTAAGTATAACTTCGATAGTGGAATCTACATGGAACTCCATCAACAATGATTCATTCAGGGCTGTAATATTCATTAGTGTACTCCCATAGAAATATGATTGGATCTTACTTAAACATGATTGATTATACAAACATCGAAGATCAGATTGAAGTAACGATTCCACAATATAACATCCGGAGTACATACCAGGTACATTGAGTAAGAATGAACCTATCGAGTTGTAAAATGCAGCCTGATAGACACATTTCGCTGATGTTGCACATGAACAATTACCAAACCACCTTGCAGATGAATATACGAAAAGAATGGAAGAATATTCATACAGATTATAATTAGTAAGTAGTCCAGAGAGTAAAGCATTACTCTGTATCATTTGCCGTATTGATGAAAGTGATAACAAAAAGTCATTTGTCATCGAAGAAATAAATTGAGAAATGAATGAGTCAACTTGAAGCGAGAATGTTTCTGAAGGTACAACTGATGAACTTACATATTGTGTAGAATAGAACTGAATTAAACGGTTGTTAATTGTTTGTTGGACTAAGTTACAGAATGCACTCAATGATTGAAACATCGATGTGCCACCTTTTCGAAAATCCCGGCTATTTAATGTTTCATTTGGGTGACCGCCGGAAAGAAAGTCAAACCAATTTTGAGTGATAAAAATACTATTACATATTTGATGAAACGTGTATTTGATTTGGAGAAAAGTTTGATAGTTAATAGATATTTGTTGACAATCACATGTTAATGTTTGCGAATGTAAGGAAGAAAGTTCCACATATTTTGTAAGTGTTGGTTGATTGATAGTGACAGTTTGTGTGATATTGATTAGTGAAGTATAGAGAACTAGAATTAGTAATGAAGATGCTAGGAGAACGATAAATAATCTAGTAGAGATCCGTTCAATTTTAAGCTGATGTTGGTCATTTGTCGGTGGAATTGATGGAAATATGTTGTATGTTGATAAATACTCTTTTAGTTTCTCAGCAAAACCACGTCTTTGTTGTTCTTCTAATAAATCTCGCAAAAAAATGAAAGTTATTATTCAGCTTATACACAGTATCCCAATTATGTATGAATCCTCTATCAATTAGAAAACAGATAGGATATTATGCATTGAAACAAACTCTGACTAAATTGAAAGACATACGATGTCTTTTTTATTTGAGGAATACATCTTCAATGCGCGCAATAATTAAAAAATAACTGTCCGTCAATCTTACCTATTTCGGCTCTTGTCATTTGCTTCTTACGTCTTATAATATTAACCACTCGTGGTACGAATAATCTAAGAACAGTGATTAAACCACCAACTAATCCGATAATTGTCGTCACTATATAAATCGGTCTATTCTTTGTTTCATACGTATAACTACATCGAGATGTTGCACATTCATTATAATAGTTTTCATATATTATTAACCAATCCCATTTCTCAACCATTAATTTGTTAAGTATAACTTCGATAGTGGAATCTACATGGAACTCCATCAACAATGATTCATTCAGGGCTGTAATATTCATTAGTGTACTCCCATAGAAATATGATTGGATCTTACTTAAACATGATTGATTATACAAACATCGAAGATCAGATTGAAGTAACGATTCCACAATATAACATCCGGAGTACATACCAGGTACATTGAGTAAGAATGAACCTATCGAGTTGTAAAATGCAGCCTGATAGACACATTTCGCTGATGTTGCACATGAACAATTACCAAACCACCTTGCAGATGAATATACGAAAAGAATGGAAGAATATTCATACAGATTATAATTAGTAAGTAGTCCAGAGAGTAAAGCATTACTCTGTATCATTTGCCGTATTGATGAAAGTGATAACAAAAAGTCATTTGTCATCGAAGAAATAAATTGAGAAATGAATGAGTCAACTTGAAGCGAGAATGTTTCTGAAGGTACAACTGATGAACTTACATATTGTGTAGAATAGAACTGAATTAAACGGTTGTTAATTGTTTGTTGGACTAAGTTACAGAATGCACTCAATGATTGAAACATCGATGTGCCACCTTTTCGAAAATCCCGGCTATTTAATGTTTCATTTGGGTGACCGCCGGAAAGAAAGTCAAACCAATTTTGAGTGATAAAAATACTATTACATATTTGATGAAACGTGTATTTGATTTGGAGAAAAGTTTGATAGTTAATAGATATTTGTTGACAATCACATGTTAATGTTTGCGAATGTAAGGAAGAAAGTTCCACATATTTTGTAAGTGTTGGTTGATTGATAGTGACAGTTTGTGTGATATTGATTAGTGAAGTATAGAGAACTAGAATTAGTAATGAAGATGCTAGGAGAACGATAAATAATCTAGTAGAGATTCGCTGATTTTGAAGTTGATATTCATCGATTGTTGGTGGAATTGATGGAAATAAATTGTAATTTTTCAATGCTACGTTCAGTTTCTGATAGAATTGATTAATGAATACAGGCATTTTCTTCACTTTATAGTGGTTTGAAAAGGGAATAATAAATCTTGAAAAAGGAAGTGATAGATATCCTATGTAGAATGCGTAAAATAAGATAGTGAATGTTTTTCTTTATGTCGGAACATTTATCATATATCTTTCATAGAAACATAATTATTGTATTCATGATATGGAAATGAAGAAAAACAGTTTCTCTAATTACAGGAAGTACTTTGGAAATTGTCGAGTATTTGTAAAACGTTTTTAGTAATAGTACAATGAATAGAACATGATAGTGGTAAATTCAAATTCTAAAGAAATTTATTGGGTACCTTTGTGTTTGTATTTGTTCCGTTACTTGTATCTATTCCAAAAATGCTTGTACCGGGTTTAGAATTCAATTCTCTCTATCGAATGATATCAGATGTATGAGTGAAACAGTTTTTTCTTCGAACGATTCCATTAGAAGTTCCCTCTACTGAAAGGAGGGTGTACACAGAATTTGAGTTAAAGTTCGTTCGTTCACGTACTTTACACTAATGAAAGAACAATATATATGTATTGCTTACTAAGAAAGTTTGTCCGAAGGGTTTTCGGGATCGAAGATCATGAATCTGATGGTAGTTCTTTCCTATTAACCAAGCTTGGGCTTCTTCCTTTCTCTTTCCAAAAGAGATATTTTTCTGTACCCTTGCTAGAATCTTTTACAGAAAGTAATGGATTGAATGGTATTCCTGGGTGTGATGTGTGCGAAGGTAGTAGTTTAGGAGTTTACACCAAAGATTTAGTATATCTTACATTATGATGGTTATAACTCAAAAAATCAGAACAAGTGTTATTACCTTAATATCATTATTGGATTGTTAGGTGCGACATGTCCGATTTTTCGATAGGATTTTAGCGGAAAATATGGAGCAAAAAGTTGTGTCCCTCACGGTAACTGCATCTCGTTAGCTACATGAACTTTGACTATACGAATAGTATTCTAAACGCATGAAGCATTAGGATGGGTGTTCTTTCCCTGGTAAATCATAAAATAAAACTTCTTATCTATTTTCTTCCAGTAACGAAATGAGTGGAGGATCACTAATTTGAAAGTAGCAATGAAAAGAAACGTAGTTATTCACTTTAAAAGCTAATCAAGAGTGCAAGGCATAACGGAGACAGTTATGGAAACCACTAGACGTTATCCTGATAAGAGTTTAGGAAGCAAAATGAGTATGATTAAAAGATTAAGAGAAATTGTCAAATGATTGGATCACTTAAATCATGAGTTGCCCAATTCGACTTATATTATAAATGGACATCCAAGAGACTACTATCAATTCGAATATAAAGAGGCATCTATAATTTTGAAAGCATAGGAATAGATGTGGTTATAGTCAAACTCTCATCCTCACTCTATTCCTAAACTGAGATAGTGTCAGGATGTAACTATAGCTGAGTGAGGTAGCGGGTGTGACTATTATTAAATATATTCCTATCTATATCTAAATAATGATTTGGAGTGTATTAGGAACTCAGCACTTATATTATAAGTCGAATTAGGCAGCTACTCTAGTTTTCTACAAATTTTTGTACAAAAATTTTTTCCAGGCAAAGCACCGTTTTTAAAAATTTTTATACGAACTGACGGAGAGTAATAAAAGCTGAGGAACTGGAATCCAAGGTTAGTTCTGCTATAGTGCACAAACAAAAATCTTGGTAGCATTGTAGAACAATATATCTACGAGAAAGAGCTGAGCGAGTCCACAGACGAGCGTTACTTGTTGCTTAGTATAGTAAAAAAACTCGTATTTTGCTTATATTTTCATCAAATTTTCATTTCTTAACGAGAAACGTCTTACGTGTAGTTTCATCGTTGAAATATCTCTGGTATTTCCAGCAAGGAAAGTGAGAAAATGCCTTCGATATCAGTGTGAAGTGGGCATGTTGGGGTACCAATATCATGAAAAAAAAGTCCTTAAATAGATCTTCTAATACATGCTCCATTTTGTCAGCGGAAATCTACTTGACAGAATACTTTGAATGGCGACTTTCCCACATAGGTATCTGTCCTGCGACCCTCCTCTATTGAATGATGAAAATCGCAATTCGAAATAACTTTTCAATCAAATGTTATACAACTTTCTTCCACTTGCCTTTTATAAAAATTTTGATAGTAGTTGTGAGATCTTTTGAATTTTTCATGCATATTTCCGTTCTACCTAATGAAAAGTCCGTGAAAGAGGTCGAAATCTAGTTTGTAGGAATTCGCTCACATAATATTCACTCTCACCCTTTACTCCTCTTGAAAAATATTGTCTCCCACTCTGTATATTGATGGATTGTTATTTTAAGTTGAATAAAAGAATATTTTATTAGCAATCATTAATAAAGCATTATATACGAACGATTAGCTTTGAAAGATGAATACAGAAAAAGCGTTTTGCGCTTGATTTATATAAGTAGAGAAGATTAATGAAGAGCAAATTTTATTAACTAGAAAATGTCTTTTGTTTTTTTTCCCAAGATATCATTGCATTAATTTATTATTGGAATGATTTGTCGATTAGGAGATCGAATTAATTTGATAATGACCACAGCTACCACTCTACAGATAATAATTAACCCTCCATATAATCCAACTAAAGAAGTTATACCTTGAATGAAATTATTGCGATCAATATAAGAATCGAAACATGATGTGGGTGCACATTGATTAAAATATTTGTCGTATGATATATTAGTTAAATATTCTTCGATTGTAAGTTGATTTATAATAGTTTCTAAAGTGGTATTAATATTAAATCGACTAGAGTTTATCGATGATATATTCATCGCTTTAAATGTTTCAGTAGAATCAATGCATTGTTGATCATAGAAACACTGAAGTGTTAGTTGTAAAAGAGCTTCAAGTGGATAACAACCAGCTAACATATTTTGTGATGGAATAACACATTTTGATGAAATAGAACAACTACAATTTCCATAAACAATCGGAACTGTATGTGCAGCCCACCCTAAACCTGGGAAATCTGTAGTAGAAAATTTCCAATTAGTTGATATTGTATTCATAATCATATTGGTTCCTGTTGTTTCTCGAATAAGTAATAAAGTACTGAGGAATAAATTCGGCATTGTTAATTGAAAATCATTAATAAATGTTTGAACACGTTCATTTAATAAATGCGATGATAAAAGTTGAGCATCAATAAAATAACGTGTAATTAATTGCGAAATTTCATCATCTACTATTTTTTTAGATAGTCGACAAAGTAAAGCAAGACCTTGAAATTGAAAACTAGCTGAATAACGAAAATCATCGAATGCATATTGAGAAGATAAATTTCCATCATTATAATAATATTCAATCCATTCCGGAGAAACAAATTCACTTGAACAAATTTCATGAAAACGAGGTTTAATATTAAAAAATGATTCATATTTAATGGATATTTGTGAACAAGAACATTGAAGAGAAGAATCAGAAAATTGTTTTACAAGATTTTCATACATTGATAATGATGTTACATGATATTCTTTTGTTAAAGATTGAGGAATAAAAGCTGATAGCATATAAAAAGTACATAAACTTGTTAGAAGTAATATAAAATGTATACGATCTATTATTTGTTGTTCATCGGAAAAACGAAATAAATGTTTAATCATTTGAATAAAAGCTTGATAAGATATACCATCTATAAATTTTTCAATTAATCGAAGCAAAATTAAAATAAGAAGTTTATAACCAAGTGATAATCCTCCAAAAAGACCAATAATAGTAGCAATAACAACAAATATATTATTTCGATCATTATATTGAAATGTACATGATAATGGTGCACATGCATTATAATATGAAGAAAATGAAATATTTGGTAACCATGATTCGATCATAAGTCGATTAATCAATGATTCAATCGTTTCATATGGTGAGCTACGATTAGGATTAAGTGCAGAAAAATTAAAAGCATCTTGAAGTGGTTGTTCCATATACGAATCCAAAAATAGCATACATGATCGATTATAAAAACATTCTAATGTAGACGCAAGCAATCCTTCAATTGGGAGACAACCTGCGTATAAGCTAGGAACAGGTTGAGATATCCATTCACCAGCAACTACATCAACAACAGGTACACCCATTAGTGCATGACATGATTGAGATAAACCACAAGAACAATTGGAATATACTTTTGGTACTAGTGATATATACCCAGTATATGCATCTACTATCCAATCTGCACTAGTAAAGTCGTTTAATAATTGATTAGCTTGATTAGTTGCACTAAATAATTCAATTATACGCAAATATTCATTAGTAGTACTTGATCGTAAGTTAAGAATTAATTCATTTCCTTGAAACTTCAGAAGTTCTGAAGAAATAACGTGTGCACTAACGAGGTTCGTTTGCAAGAAAATTTCAAGAGCATCATTAACTTTTCGTTTTATCTGTTGACATAATGTTTCAAGTAAAACAAATAAAGCGCTACCTTGAGCTGGATAATATAATGTTCGACTTACTTCTATCGCAAAATGCGTTGTTATATAATTGATCCATTCAGAACTAACAAAATCACTAGAACATATTTGATGATATTCAGGTTGGATAGCAATAAAATTGCCATAAGGTATAGAGATAGATGAGCATGGACACACAAGACTATTTGGATACAATTCTTCGAGTTTCAAGTAATGAAATTCGTTTAGATTGAGAATCGTTTCTTGATGAACTTGTTTGATTAATAGGAAATATAAACTGAGAGTAATCAATGAAATTAAGATAAGTAATATATATAATCTTGTCGCATAATGTTGATAACGTATTTGACGATCATTACTTGGATAACGTTTGAAAATATTCAGCTCAATTACATGTTTTTCAAGACTTCTTTTCAATTGTTTTAAACGAATAGTCACTAAAAATTAAGAATAATAAAAAGACATTCGTCAAACTCCTAATACTTACATGGAAGTTTTGGTGTTGGTTCAGTGTTTCTTGGTTGTTTAATAAAACCAACAATGGCTGGAATAATTATTCCAAGTGCCACTGTTAAACCACCAAGCAAACCGATAAGTTTAGATATAACAAATATAAAACTATCCCGACTTGTCTGTGAATAGGTACATGAAATCGGTGCACATTGGTCATAATAATTTTCATATGAAAAATCATTCATTACTTCTTCAACCATTAAATGATCAACTAAAATTTTTATTGTTGAATTTATTTCGTAATTACTTTCTTTAGGAATGTTCATTGCTGAAAATCTCTCAGTTGTTGGTAAAAATCCAATAAGTTCATCTAAACATGTTTGATTGTAGAAACATTCAAGTGTCGAATGGAGCATAGTAGTTATTGGCAGACAACCAGCTAAAATACCAGGAATAGCCATTTGAAGTTCGTCGTTTGTATATCCAACTTCAACTTGTGATGTTCGAGCAAATATATTATAAATACCTGCAGGACTCGTACATTCAAGATCGTTACGACAATCACACCAAGATCCATTGATAAGGGTATAACTATTTGGTGTTTGATGTATCTGATAAGATAAATCCCATTCATTTACGTAATAAAATGGTAGCATATTTGTTTCAAGTCCTGAAAATAATCGATTAGCTAATGTTATTTCACGAACTACTTGTAATTGATTTTTGAGTGTATTTGGTGCAGTTTGTTGAAATTGATTAACCGATGTATTCACTTGTAATTCTAGAATTCTTTTTGATAATAATTGAGGATTAAGTAATGTGCTCATTTTAAACGAAGCAATACTTTGTGTAACACTAATCTTTGACAGACGACAAAAAGCAGCGAGTAATTGAAATTGAGCACTACCAAAAGTTCGAAAATCTTTATAATAGAAAAATGTTGAATTTGAACCAGAATTAATAGCTTCAATCCATCGATCAGTTATAAAAGCACTGGAACATACTTGATGAAAACTTGCATTGATCGATGTAAATTCACCGTATCGGATAGATATTTTAGAACATAAACATTGTACATCGATCGGTAGATGTTCATATTCATCGTTAGATGGATGATGAAGCGTAATAATTCTTGTTTGAGGATTTAACCACAAATAAATACCGAGAATAAATATAATTAGTATGAGAACTGCCAGATAGATTCGAGTACTAATGAGATTTAGTCGACGTTGCTGGTCGTTTTCTCTTTCGCCACTCTCGATTGATGGTTTGAAAAGATTTAAATTGAGAAGAAATTTTTTCAAAGAAGACATTCTTAACAATTATTAAAAAAGAATGATACTGCTAGTTGTTTTTTTCTCCTTCTTTTAAAACTGCAAGTTATACTTCTTCATCAAAAGAGGAATATTTAAAAGAAAAATGAAAATCCATGATGCATAGTTTAACTATGAGAATAGGCAATGAGTACTAACACATTTCATGATTATGTGCAGAGAAAAAAGAATTGCACTAAATCAGTGTAAAACTAGCATAAAAACAAAGCTTCAGCTAAAATAATTTCTAAAAATGAATTTCTATCCATAAAAATAAGTGCATTCAATCTAAGAGTTCAATTCTACATCAAATGGTGATACTTTGATTCATAGGAAAATGATTGAGAAAATTTGACCTAGATCGTTATCGTTCTCCTATATGTCTATTTTAGTGGCGTATCTTAGATTCGACCGGTCGACTGGGAATGCCTTACAAAATTTGAGCAAAATTGTTTTGTCAATTTTTCAATGGATTCCGATGTAGTTTGATGCGCTGAATCCGAATATGTATGATTTATTTAGATAAGAAATGCTCTTCCTACCGAAAATCGAAAAATACATATACGAAATAAATGGTCGAAAAATGACTAGGAAATTTTGAGAAAGAAAGTGAGTTAAAGAAAGATAGTATGTAGATTGTATCTATGGCACCCAGGAAGTCGAATGGCGAAAGAAAAAAGTGATTATTTTCATTAGAAAATGAGTTGATGCATTTTCAATGAGCTTCCCTCGAATGGTTGGTGTGTGAAAAGAAATAATTTTTTTTACGACAAAGATATGCATTGAGCGATGAAAACGTAGTGTCCTAGTATCAGTTGTTAATGCTGAATTCACAGAAAAAAAAACTTTCAAAGCTATAATAAATTTTTCGAAGCCCCATCGTCAAAGTCCCAGTAGAAAAGCTGTTTTTTTTACCCTCGGTTTTCACTGTATTTTTCGATTTTCGGTAGGAAGAGCATTTCTTATCTAAATAAATCATACATATCCGGGTTCAACGCATCAAACTACATCGCAATCCATTAAAAAATAGACAAAAAAAGTTTTGCTCGAATTTTGCATTGCGCCGACCTTATAACTTACTACACGACTGAACAATTATCTAATGGTTCAAAATTAATAGTTTTTTAGGAAAAAATCAATTTAGCACGAAACGAATCTATTAAAAGATACTATTGATCAATAGTTTAGCCTGTGCGCTCTCAGTTTTGTACGAGAAATAATTAACTTTTTAAACAAGCAGTAACCAGGGACCGCCGGAAGTCGGAAAAATGGAGAGAGTTGGTATTTGACGCAAAAAATTCAGGAAACTATTAGAATTCTGAAGTATTTGAAGAAATTCTCACAGAATCTTGGAGATTTTTTAAAAATGATGCTATTTTTTAACGATTTTTGAAGATTTCTTAACTTTTTGAAAAAAGCTTCAGAAAATGAGAAAAACTGGTCAACAGAAGAAATGAAATTCCCAAAGATTGGCAGAATATCGTGGCCTTAACAACGTCTCTATTGAGACGCCTCTGATGCTAATAAAATGTGTTCTATACTTAATTATTCTCTGTTAGACTTGGCTAAGTTTTATTTTAATCGACTGGCTCGAAATTACGTTTCTTCTCTTTAAACTTTATAAACTAATAGTTTGTTGATAGCTTAGAAACGTGATCACTTTGGCAACGATGTGCGTAAATCTTCAGACGAGTCTTATTTATGGTTATATCAGAGTACGGTGACGACACTCTATTCGCAGTCCTCGTTTTGAGATGCGGAGTCAATCATTAAAGTTCAGAATAGAAATTAAATAACAGAGGAAACTGACGAGTGAACATATTTAGATTTTCAGACAGTCTAGATCCCATCTACTGGTAGTAAGTAGGCCTCAATGAGATATGAAAAACCTCAAAAGGATTTATGCCCTTATACCTTTGTTCCTGAGTTATGATTGTTTTACTCACTTTTTGGGTTATTGCAAGGTGCTTCGATAAAATACCAATAACTCATTTTCGACTTGAAATCTTGCCTATAGATGGGTGTTATCTGTACTAGATTGCTCTGTAAATATTCGCCCGAATGAACGTCGCTTTCTTCAGATAATCGAATTTAGAGAAATCCTGCGTTTCATCAATCATTTGAAAAAGACTGATCTGCCTTGGAAATTCGTTATCAGCTGAAGGAAATATTCATTCGGGCTGATATTTACAGAACAATCTAGTACAGATAACACCCATCTATAGGCAAGATTTCAAGTCGAAAATGAGTCATTGGTATTTTATCGAAGCACCTTGCAATAACCCAAAAGGCGAGGAAAACGATCACAACTCAGGAACAAAGGTATAAGGGCATAAATTCTTGTGAAGTTTTTCATATCTCATTGAGATCTACTTACTACCAATAGATGGGATCTAGACTATCTGAACGGCTAAATATGTTCACTCGTCAGTAGAAAATTTTGATGTACGAATATCAGTGTTTGGGATATTTTATCAAACTACGAATTGGCTATTTTTTACTATTTGAAAAATCTCTCCGGTAAATGCGTAATTTAGAATGGGTTTTTAGTGTTTGTGAAATCTTTTCTTTATTTAAAAAAAAAAGAATATAACAAGTTTGTCTCGATGAGTACGACTGGATGCGCACATTGCACGATGCAATGCACTTCGATGACAAATATTATGAGCACAGCTGCATATTGTACGTAGTGGAAGTTAGCAGCGGATTCGAGTATTTCTTGCTGATATTCGCTCAAGGACTTGTGATGGATCTCTAAGCGCTTGTGATGGATAGATCTCGTCATTCCACATCGAATGGTGTAACTAGAGTGGGGATCTATCAACCCTACCTAGTGGTTTCACCAGTAAATACTAGTAAAATAGTGGTTTTTACCACTAATACCTGCTGATATTCGTTCAGGAACTTGTGATGAGTCTGAAACTTCTGTGATGGATAGATCTCGTCATTCCGCATCGAATGGTGTAACTTGAGTGGGGGTCTATCAACCCTACCTAGTGGTTTCACCAGTAAATACTAGTAAAATAGTGGTTTTTACCACTAATACCTGCTGANCCAGTATATGCATCTACTATCCAATCTGCACTAGTAAAGTCGTTTAATAATTGATTAGCTTGATTAGTTGCACTAAATAATTCAATTATACGCAAATATTCATTAGTAGTACTTGATCGTAAGTTAAGAACTAATTCATTTCCTTGAAACTTCAGAAGTTCTGAAGAAATAACGTGTGCACTAACGAGGTTCGTTTCAACGAAAATTTCAAGAGCATCATTAACTTTTCGTTTTATCTGTTGACATAATGTTGCAAGTAAAACAAATAAAGCGCTACCTTGAGCTGGATAATATAATGTTTGACTTACTTCTATTGCAAAATGCGTTGTTATATAATTGATCCATTCAGAACTAACAAAATCACTAGAACATATTTGATGATATTCAGGTTGAATAGCAATAAAATTGCCATAAGGTATAGAGATAGATGAGCATGGACACAAAAGACTATTTGGATACAATTCTTCGAGTTTCAAGTAATGAAATTCGTTTAGATTGAAAATCGTTTCTTGATGAACTTGTTTGATTAATAAGAAATATAAACTGAGAGTAATTAATGAAATTAAGATAAGTAATATATATAATCTTGTCGCATAACGTTGATAACGTACTTGACGATCATTACTTGGATAACGTTTGAAAATATTCAGCTCAATTACAAGTTTTTCAAGACTTCTTTTCAATTGTTTTAAACGAATAGTCACTAAAAATTAAGAATAAGAAAAAGATATTCGTCAAATTCATAAGACTTACATGGAAGTTTTGGTGTTGGTTCAGTGTTTCTTGGTTGTTTAACAAAACCAACAATGGCTGGAATAACTATTCCAAGTGCCACTGTTAAACCACCAAGCAAACCGATAAGTTTAGATATAACAAATATAAAACTATCTCGACTTGTCTGTGAATAGGTACATGAAATTGGTGCACATTGGTCATAATATTTTTCATATGAAAAATCATTCATTACTTCTTCAACCATTAAATGATCAACTAAAGTTTTTATTGTTGAATTTATTTCGTAATTACTTTCTTTAAGAATGTTCATTGCTGAAAATCTCTCAGTTGTTGGTAAAAATCCAATAAGTTCATCTAAACATGTTTGATTGTAGAAACATTCAAGTGTCGAATGGAGCATAGTAGTTATTGGCAGACAACCAGCTAAAATACCAGGAATAGCCATTTGAAGTTCGTCGTTTGTATATCCAACTTCAACTTGTGATGTTCGAGCAAATATATTATAAATACCTGCAGGACTCNTACCATTGGAAAGCACTTTTAGGCCAAACTAGGCGCCAAAACCTAGGTTTTTCACGGATTAGGGTCGGTTTTTGACATATTTCGGACTGAAGGAAGAGTCTGGCAGAAAAGTGTCGTTAGAGAAAGTTGTGGAGCTCGTCGAGTTTCATCAGTCCCAGGAATTTCAGACCCATCACAAGTGGCTGAGCGAATGTCAGCCGGATACACTGGTAAAAACCACTAGTTTACTAGTATTTACTGGTATGGTCCCACTTATGGTCGATGATACCTCGCTTATCCTATACCATTCGATGCGGAATGATGGGATCTATCCATCACAAGTCGCTGAGCGAATGTCAGCAAGAATTACTCGAATCCGCTGCTAACTTCCACTACGTTTGTGGTAGTTGAAATTCCACGAGGATATCGAAGTGTCGTTGATGTTGAACCTTGGCTACCCGTTCCAGCAACAATCATCAAAGGATTCCAATCATTAATTAATGATTTTGCCAGAACTTGATGACGATCACTATATGAGCAATAAAGAGTGTTTTTTTCAGTGACGAAAATATCAAAACATTGTTGACATAAATTCGTTCTATTTATTGTAATAAAATTTGTTGAATTGGATTTCATTTGACTTATTCCATCAGTCGATGCTGAATAATATGTATCAACGTAAATCTAATCTTGCATTGTAACAAATAAACTTGATGGAGTTGTTACATTAACAGAAAAATTTAATATTATTGTGAAATTTTCGTCTTTGAAAAGAAGAATTTCTCTATTTAAAATATAAATTGTATCATTTGTGTTGATAAAAATATCGAAAAGATTCGAATCATAGAAAGTGTTGTTAAATATTGTCATTCTATTTGGATTCCATGTTGAATTTGAATACAATTTTGGTCGATTATAAGAATATTTACCTGAGATTTCTTGAATAATGAAGAAAATTATGAAGAAATATAATGTTTTATCGAAGAACATAGCGAATCAATGATTAAATATTGTCAGTTTTACACAAATATTTGTTTATTGAAAGAGAAAAGAAATTCTGACATAAATAAAATCTATGATTTGAGTTCAAAAGAGTTTTTAAAGTAAAGAAAATGATTTGAATTTGCCCAGAAATTCTTTCTAGATTAACAAAGTCAAATCAGATCTATGACTTTCATTTGAGAATTTCTAAAGCCAATAATGTTAGGTGAATATACTCTGATTTTCTCTAATTGAATCACTTAGAATTTGATGAAGATTTAATCATTGAAGTTCAGAAAAGCATTTTGTATGGATATGGATTTAATTCGATTGGATTGGAAAGAAAGGAAATTTCTTACAAAATATTTCACTTTAGATTTCGATATGAATTGCAAAATTTGAATGGAGAAAAAGATTTCATAAAGAATTTCATTGAAAAGATCTTCCAATATTGTCACTCGAGCTAAATCTAAACGAGAAATATTTCAACTAGGAAAACAAATATCATATCGGAGATTTTTTGTCTTTTATTATGATGTAGCTTTTGCATTTCTGTCCTAATCAAATCACTTTTTTACTAAATTATACTGGCGTGTTTCTTCCAACATACAAATGAAAGAAAACCAAAAATGGGAATTTTCTCTAACTCATTTTCTAAACATTTAGTAAAACATTTCATTGTTCAGAATCATTCAAAAACAGTTCCAATACAAGATTAAGAATCTTTTCTGATCTATATTTCATAATTAGCATGAAACTTTGATTGAACGTGTAAGATTATATCTGATAAATGGATTCTAGATGTCATGAATCTCTCGTACATTTGCCATTCCATCCTTCGATTGCGTCAATTATTGGCATCACTTTTCAATACACATCGTCAATTTCATGAGATCAGATGGAAATCTATCGATTATTTAATAAATAACTGATGATTTCACTTNGCGCAGAAGAAGGTAGTTGGTCAGATTTGGTCAGACGCATTAGCGAATCCTTCCAGATTTTCCAGAGATCTGTATAGTATTTAGAGGTTTTCAACCAGAAGGGGGGGGGGTATTTTTTAAAAACTAATGTGACCATTGGATCGGGCTCGTCGAGTTCTATCTTGGTCAGTATTTGATCAGATTTGGTCAGATGAATTGGCGAATCCTTCCGGGAAATACTCGAATCCTAGCCCAAGATATGTTACGTGGAACGAAAGGAACTTTCTTACAAAATATTTCACTTTAGATTTTGATATGAATTGCAAAGTTTGAATGGAGAAAAAGATTTCATAAAGAATTTCATTGGATGATCTTCCAATATTGTCACTCGACCTAAATCTAATCGAGAAATATTTCAACTAGGAAAACAAATATCATATCGGAGAGTTTTTGTCTTTTATTATGATGTAGCTTTTGCATTTCTGTCCTAATCAAACCACTTTTTTACTAAATTATACTGGCGTGTTTCTTCCAACATACAAATGAAAGAAAACAAAAAATGGGAATTTTCTCTAACTCATTTTCTAAACATTCAGTAAAATATTTCATTGTTCAGAATCATTCAAAAACAGTTCCAGTACAAGATTAAGAATTTTTTCTGATCTATATTTCATAATTAGCATGAAACTTTGATTGAACATGTAAGATTATATCTGATAAATGCATTCTAGATGCCATGAATCTCTCTTACATTTGCCATTCCATCCTTCGATTGCGTCAATTATTGGAATCACTTTTCAATACGCATAGTCAATTTCATGAGATCAGATGGAAATCTATCCATCATTCAATAAATAACTGATGATTTTACTTTCTTTGTAGGAACTATATAGATTTCGACGTTTCTCTTTTTACAAAATAAGTCAATCATCTTGTTGGAGAATACCAACAAAGAAACAACTCATATGCGCTTTTTTTCTTATAGGGTTCTGCAGAAATAAAGCAGCGAAATTCAACTACAAATCTCGTTCGTAATGAAATTTAACGGTGTGATTGGTCAGTTGAATAAGTTTATCGATGATGATTTTCTTTAAAAGATTCACTCACTCTGACATCCTTAACTAAAAGTACAAAGATAATCACTTAATTTTTGAATTGTCTTTATTGATTTCAGAAAACATAGCAAGCGAAAATGTTTCCATTTCGATCAAAGTTGATCTTGCTCTACTGTAGATCAAAAACAATCAATTTGATCTCTGCATCAAAATGTTCAAATGGTCTTTGACCATCGCTGGACACAAACGTTGGTAAATAGACTGATGTAAATTCTGTTCCATTGAGTTTCTTCGTATAGATGTGATATGTTGCTGGATCAGTTGGTTCAACAATTGCGTGTTTAAATCCACGTTGAGCACCAAGAGCGAGCAGAATTTGATGAAGTTTCGTACAAAGTCCTGTTAAACATAAAATACAGTTTTCAATTGATACGTTGAGTTTCAAAACTTCAAAGGCTGACCTTTTCTAGTTTGATCTTGACGAACACCTGCCATTAATATATGTATCAAGTGATTTTCTCTTAGTTGAACATATTGTTTCATAAAACGTTGTTCAACTTCTCTGAATACTTCTTTGGATATATCTTCAGACGACCCTAATTCTTCAAAAGTTTGTTCTTCCAGTTTTTTCGCATCACTCGCTTGAACAAGACCGTGAATTTCTTTCGTCTGTTTGTGTACTGCTACGATAGAGAGTTGATCGTTCATAATAACCTTCGAGAATGGAAGTGTAGCACGATAGAATTCTTCATAGGTCGTTTTCATATACATTTCCAGTTGATTGTATTTGGTAAAGACATCAGCAAGAAGTCTAGTCGATTCTTCCAGATACTTTTCTTGTAAGATTTCATAAATATAATTTTCATCTTCTTCGATGACATGAGAAGACATCACTGTAATAATCTTTAGAGAAGAAGAAGAAAAGAATATGATGTCGTTCGTCAGTGAAGAAATAGATATGAAAAAGAAAAGAATTGTTATTGTGTAACATTTGTTTTTCTGCTCATGAGTCAGGAAATAAATAATGTGACGTTTTGTCCTTACTAAGACATCATGAATATTATTAATGACATAGAAATTTAACTAACTAATAGCATGATAGAGAAATAAATCTAGTGAATCTCACTATATAAAACTTTTTCAATTGTTAGATCGTCTCTTTAGGCATGGTATATCTTTGATTGAAAAATATCATATACTCATCCTGTAGAAAGATGAGATTCTGATGCGTTCTAGTACGACTGTCAAAATCAGTTGAATGCGTCAGACGTGTCATTTTCAAGATTTCTAAACCTGTTCAAGTGCACTAAATTCTTATTTGTCAAATCATCGAGAAAATCTTCATTTTTTGTAGTTTATATAAAATGTATTGACAATAATCATTGTTTAGGATTCTGGTTAAACTTGATTGTTTATTGCTCGAGGTTTTTTTCTCCATCGCTCTGGATGAATCGTAAACAAAACATGAATGAGTTGTTGACGAAATCGTTCAGATGCACAAATATATATATATATATAAAATGAACTCTAAAATATCCAACGAAAGATCTCGACTACGATAGATATCTATAATACAAAACTTACTGCAAAATAAGCATAATTGAGAAGAATAGCTATCGAATAAGCAAATTGCAGATATGTCTGATTAAATGCATTGGAAGGAATATTTGGACTTGTCTAAATAGTACTAACAATTGTATTTGGTAGAAGAGTAAAGATATTGACAATGACTTGAATTAAAACTATTTTTGTTAATTGTTCATCTAATTCACGTCGAACGATTGGTATTGTACGATAAGTAAGTTCTTGAACATTACGAAAGGCTAAGAATCCCAGAACAGTTGAAATACTAATAGGTAAAATTCCAAAAAGGATAAAAATAATCACATAAGAACGACAATAAGCAAAAATGGGATCTCTATACAGGTATGAACAAAATGCCTATCAAAGAAAATAAAGATCATAGTAATATGAAAAACGCAAAGGTAATACACGAAATTACCATTGATTTTTTCATGGATTTGACTAAACAGAAAATTGATTTAACATTGTTTTCTAATGAAATCTGACCCATTTGTTGTTATGATTAAATCTAAAATTATAGTTTCAACATTCTATTGGGATACTTTATTTAATTGCAAAATCGGAGAACAATTTGTTTGAAATTGGTTTATTCTCTTTTCCATAATTCAAATGAATTTTAATTAAGTTTTGAAATTTGATTTATTTTTAATCGTCACTGAACGAAATATGTGTCTTTTTTATTTATCTGATATAATTCTGAATTCTCAACATTCTCTTCTAAAATATTTCGTCAAGAAATAGTGAACACAATCAAATATATCAAACGATAATAGAATTGTCATAGCTTTGAATATAATAGACAATTTATCGTAAGAAAATCTCAACGATTTATATTCGAATAAATTCATTTAATAGAGATTGAGTTATATCGAATACCAGAAAAAAGATATTCTAATGAATTTTATTTGAAAATAAAATAAGAAATCTGAAACGACTTTTTTCAATGGATATTTCATGAAAATCAAAGGAAAATTCAATTCTTTTTATTCATTCTCTTTCTAAATGAGAACTGAAAATATTTATAACAGTTTCTAAAGTTTATCGAGTTTAAGATAATTGTACAAAAAATAGGATTTCGATCTTATTCCCTTTTCTGAAAGAAAGGGTTATAGCGTCATAAATCGGGTGGCTGAAATGCAAAAAGTTTGCTTGCTTGTTTGTTTGCGTAATCCAATAAAATTGCAGCATTTTATAAATCAATGAAAAATTAACCATTGTCATTAGAAAACGATTGACGAAAGGTTTTCGAGGTCGAGGATCACGAATCTGCCATTAGTTTTTCCGTAAAAACTATGAGTTCTGTTTTTTGCGACAACGGTTGACTTTTTTGCAAAAAGAAATTTTTTTATAAGGGCTGACCGAAGGGCTTTTGGGGTCGAGTAACTCGAATTCGGCGATGGTTTTTCCAGATAAGGGATATCTGATTAGAAAAACGGCTGTTTGAGGTTTGATCGCGCATGACTTGTGGGTGAGAAGTGAAATGGGAAGTCAACTTATGAAAACTGGGTAGATGGTTGGCGTTTCAGTGATATACATAAAACGCACTGGGAGAGTTCTTGAGCAGACCGCAGATGGTCTTTTTTATAGATTTAGTATAGCTTACTATAAGTAACTTTGTACAAGATATACTAAAAGTGATCAGTTAATTGGTGCATTAGAGAAGACAACGTAATGGAAAATGTTTACGATTGATTTCTGACTATTTAGCATCATAATTCAGTTGGAAAATGAACTATTAGTTGCGATTATCAACCATCATAACTCAAGTTTTTTGTAACGCGTTGCTTTTCTACTGTGAATTAGCTGGATGCAAATCCGAGTATTTTGCGTAGAATCATATGTGTAATGTTGCTTCCAGCCGAGTGAGTTTCACGCAAAATAGTTGGATTTGAATGCAGGCAATTCGTAGTAGAACAGCTACAGGTTCAAAGATAGTTGAGTCGTGGTTGTTAATAATCGCAATTAATAATCTATTTTCTGATTGAATTATGATGCTAGATAATTTTGGTTCAGTCATAGGTATTTTTCACTGGGATAGCAGAGAAATCATCGGTTTAATATAGGCTGTTACAGTATTGTTAGGGAACTAGTGATCGAGTAGATGAATTGATGAAGAGACAACGAGCATGGATTATAAAATAAATAGCTCTAATGTCGCTGGAAAACGGAATAAGTAGTAAAGTAATAATGTTGTGGTGGTTTTAGTATCGTGCAGCTTCAAGTTTTTCACGGTAGTAGGCGTTATACGCGAAAAATAATATTTTCACTTGTAGGGGTGAGTGCATTTACATCGTTCACAACATTTTACAGATTGTAGCAAGTTTCTTTAAGTCGGTTTTCTGCTGTTTTTTGAGGTAATCAACTAGCTTTTTGAAAGTATAATTTAGTATTTTTAAATATAGTTTTTAAATATGTCTCATAGTAGATTACGACAGTTTTGTGTAGCAACTGATTATGAAACGATGGTAGTGAACTTTATAAAATTTGTTATAAGCGGGGGTATATGAGTACCGACTATATTTATCAGTTGGAAATATCATGAGAAAAATATATTCGGAGTTGTTAGCAATCAGTTTAGTTATGGCCCATGAAATATTAAAATAGAATGTAAGAGATTTGTAAAAAAATCATTCAGGTTGCATAAGTTAAATGCAAAAGCGAGAAAGACAAATCATTTTGAATCAATCTTTGCAATTTCTCCATCAACAGAACCAACGATTACTTTGTTTCAATGGTTTGATTCTTTTGCTAATAATCTATCCTACGTCAAAGAAAAAATAGCCTTATGGTCGGCTGAACAATATTTTACAGGTAGCAAATCGTATTATTTGAACATTTACATTTTTCGGTTGATAATGTTACTTTCGAAGCAACATTCCATCAAGCTGTAAGCGGAGCAGAAAAGTTATTTCCGCTTCGGATTTCAAACATTAGGAAATATTACATTTAGTTCTTATTTTAACTGGATATTGTTTCCATTGAGTTTTTCTATTTTTTCCAAAAGAAAACGAAAGAACGTTGTCCGATTGTATGAAGATTCTCTTCTAATTGTTTCAAACTTTTAAAATGAGTTTCGAACTAGACTCAGTTTTACTATGGTCGAAAATATTTTGATTTATTTATTTATATTGGATTTACAATTCTCGTATAGACAAACCGTATATTTTATTTTTCCGCTTCAAATCTTTCTAAAAAAGAAATCGATGAAAGATTCATATTTGTCTCACGTGTGTTGTTTTGTAAGCACAAATCAGCTACCAAGGTATACTTTGACATAAGAATATCATCTATTATGATGATTAAAATATTTCAGTATCAATGAATATTTTCATGGTTGAATGATTGTTATCAAATGCTCATGAGAGTGAGCTTCCTTCTAACGAAAACGAAGCAATTTTGTTATTGAATGCTTTAGGTGTTAGATTAATAAAAGAAATTGGAAAGTAAAGTAGTAGATGTATTTCAAACTTAAAGATATATTTGAGTTATAATCTCAAGGAATAAAACGCGCATAAACTACCAATCACATAATGCTTCTCTTTATAACGCAGAACAAGGTTGACGGATTGTTAATATTTCTTTCATGTAAGTAACAATAGATATTCACTTTTTTCGTATGAAGTGTAGAAACTTCTTGAGAAATTATTGCAAATGAATGATGTTTGAAAGAAATCAGTCGCATAAAAGTATGTTCATCTTAATCTTGTCAGAAAAAGAATTTTGTGATTGGCCTAATGACCATTGTACCTATTAATAAAAAGTAGATATCATGTCAAAGAAAAATATTCATCGNTAAATTTTTTCGTAGTACAATCACGCATTATTATATACATCGTAAACAAGTGTCAATGTCTATAATTCTAATTTTTGAAATTTTAGATTTTGATATTTAATTTCTACTTGTGAAAATTTAATAGACTTAAACTAAAGCTACGACTAAGGTTGGCGACAAGCAAAACTGGAGCAAATTTTTTTTTGTTAAATTTTTTATGTGATATGATGCAGTTTGATGCGCTGAATCCGAATATGTATAATTTAGTGACATATGAAGTCGTCTTCGAGAAGAAATCTTCAAAATACTACAAAACCGAGGTTTTCGAAAAGTCAGGATTTTCACTCGAAATTTGACAGTAGGATTTTCCAAAAATATTTTACACCTTTGGAAGTTTCTGCTCCTGATTCAGCATCAAAAACTGATTCTAGGACACTGCTTTTTAGCGGTTCGACTCATGTCTTTGTCATTGAGAAAAATCAGTTTTTCCCTTTTCTGAAAGAAAGGGTCATAGCGTTCTAAAATCGGTGGCTCAAAACCTAAAAGTTTGTGAGTTTGTCCAATCCAATCAGATTGAGAGTTTTCCAATCCAATCAGGTTGAAGCTTTATATAAAACAATGAAACCTTAGAGATAACCATACGGAAACGATTCACCTGAGGTAATCAAGGTCGAGGATCACGAATCCCATACTAGTTTTTGCGTAAAAACTATCAGTTCTGTTTTTTGCGACAGCGGTTCACTTTTTTGCAAAAAAAAATTTTTTTATAAGGGTTGACCGAAGGGTTTTCGGGATCGAGGATCACGAATTCGGCGATGGCTTTTCCAGATAAGGGATATCTGATTAGTAAAACGGCTGTTTGAGGTTTGATCGCGCATGACTTGTGGGTGAGAAGTGAAATGGGAAGTCAACTTATGAAAACTGTATAGGTGGTTGTGGTTTCAGTGATATACAGAAAACGTACTGGGAGAGTTCTTTAGGAGACTGCCGATGGTCGTTGTTTATAAATGCAGTATAGTTTACTATAAGTAACTTTGGGCAAGATATACCAAAAATGATCAGTTAGTTGGCGCATTAGAGAAGACAACCTAATGGAAAATGTTTACGATTGATTTCAGACTATTTAGCATCATAATTCAGTTGGAAAATGAACTATTAGTTGGGATTATCAACCATCGTGAGTCAAGTTTTTTGTAACGTGTTGCTTTTCTACTGTCAATCAGCTGGATGCAAATGCGATTATTTTTCGTAGAGTCATATGTGTAACGTTCCTTCCAGTCGAGTGAACTTCACGCTAAATAGTTGGATTTGAATGCAGGCAATTTGTAGTAGAACAGCTACAGAGTCAAAAATGGTTGAGCCGTGGTTGTTAATAATCGCAATTAATAATCTATTTTCCGATTGAATTATGACGCTAGATAATTTTGGTTCAGTCATAGGTAGTTTTCACTGGGATAACAGAGAAATCATCGGTTTAACCCTTTGGTTACGGGAGGCCCATATATGGGCATTGAACTTTTGTAGGTATTATCTTCAATACAACGTCATTTAGACTTTATCAAAAGAACTACTATTTCTTCCCCTTATTCTAACAAAAATTTTATTTTTTTATACTACTAGAACTCATTATAAACTATTTCTGAAAGAAAAAAAAAGATGCATCTGCAAAAAAAAACCCGTAACCAAAGGGTTAATATAGGCTGTGACAGTGTTGTTGA